CAAAACCAAGAAAACGTATAGAAAAACAAGACAGGAGCTTAATCACTTGCACCGTTGGCTTTTCTTGTGAGAGGACATTATAATGTAAGCAAGTTTCTGGCTCTCTGAGTTGGCATATTTTAATAAACATTGCCACGTTGGGGTATATACTGACTTGTCATCTGGAAAGGACAGAAATGTTTTAAAAATATCACTAGTGATGGACGCCTATTTATTCTGGAACTGAGTCACCCACCCTACTAGTCTGATTTTTCAAGATATATTTTTGCCTTGGAATGAAGCTTTAATGACTTCTCATGTTCCTGATTTTGGGAAAGATTGTGTCCACTTTTTTTAACCATAGCTAAATCCCCCAACAGGGAAAAAAAAATCACGTGTTACCATATTTAAGGAATGTTTTTTTCCTAATTTACATTGCAGGATGTTTAGTTACTGGTGCCAAGGTGTGCAGAAGAAGGATTTTATAGCAAGTGACTCTCAGAAGCTCTCTAGAAAAGACAAATTTGCTTGTGTTTACAAAATATATCTGATATTGATATATCAGTTGAAACTGCAAAATCTATATTGATTTTCGTGAACTGCTTATCCCATAAATTACAATAATACACAGAAGAAAATTATGGTAGAGAAGGAAACCAATGGCTTGAGAATGTGCTGTAATTTTTTTTATAAACTAGTTGTGTAAATGCCTTGATAAGCATCATCCAATATTGAAGGATATCTTAAACCTGTGGTTAACTACACTTGTTTCATTTAGATTTTACACTACAAAGTTTAATCATAATTTATTAAGCAAACAACAGTTCACTCTTCACACTAGTCACTGATTTAGTGCAGACTGCAGAAGCTAAGTTTGTATAACATATAAAGTCAGATTGAAACACATCACATTGTTGCTGGATTTGTTTTATGAAGCAAACCAGTGAATCAAATCATTGATCCATCTAACTCAGTATGTTGCTGGCTGTAGCTCTCTGATATCTAAATCTTTTCCAATGAGTTTTCTGAAAGCTGCTTTAAGTGATAGGTATAAAATCTGTGTCTTTTTAATGTACGCATCCTACCACTAATACTGTGCCTTTCTCTTTACTCTTCATTTCTTGTTTAAATTATTGGTTGGGCCAGGTTTTTCTCAATTTAGTAAATAGCTTCTTTTCCATTCAGTTGGGTAAAACGCAAAGTTTCTTTTAAGTTGAGCTGAATTCATGAGTTCATTAATATATACCAGTGGTGGCTAACTTTTGGGGGCTCCTGTTGCATGCCCGCATGTCAGCTCCCAGAAGGCAATGCGCGTGCCCCCCAACCCCCTGCACATGGGCGCACAATTCACCCCGCCGCCCCCTTACCTGCACTGATTACCTCCCCACTGATTTTTGGCCCATTTGAGGCCTTTTTCAGCCTCCCAGAGGCTTGAGGAAAGCCTCTGCAGCCTTTGCAGGCCAAAAAATGGGCCAGTTTCATCACTTCTGGTATTTCCGGAAATACAGGAAGTGATGAAACAGGCCTATTTTTTGGCCTGCAAAGGCTGCAGAAGCTTTCCTCAAACCTCTGGAAGACCGAAAAAGTCCTCAAACAGGCCAAAAATCAGTTGGGAGGCGCGCATATGCACAGTGAAGTAAGTTTGCCTGCAGCTCACGTGCCAGCACAAATGGCAGCACGTGTGCCATAGGTTCGCCATCACGGACATATACTATCTGAATTGATGATTAAATGAGAAACATCTAAGTCATGTCAGAAGTACAGAAGGAATATATCGGGGCAAACAAGGTACAAAAACATGTTCAAATATTTCTGAGTTCTGGTTTGTTCATTGGAGTTGGAGCAGAATCCGCAGTTGTGCTCAGTTTCGCCCCAAGCTCACTTGCTGGAGGATCCTGATTGAGACCAGAACCACCCTGGAGGGGTGGTGAAGAAGGGGAGAATTACCTGGAGGGTTGAGGGGAGCTGCAATTCTCCCCCCTGACAGGAAAAACCCCTCCCAAAGGCAAACTGTAGCGGTGATCCCCAAATGGCCACCACAAAGACGAAGAACAGTCCGGGAAATTAAGGCTGTGCTGGAGCGGAGAAGCAGCAAGTGGAGTGTGAACCAGGCAAAATAAATGGATTTTGAGGTACCCCAGTATTAAAAAATTAAGGACTATTTTGGAGGAAAGTATGTAGGAGCGGCAACCAGAGAAAGTGAGAAGGAAATTGGATTTTAAAAAATTGGCTTGAATTATTGTATTGGATTAACTTGGAGGAGAAAATATAAAGGAAAATATTTGAACACAACAAAGGCTTAGAAATTAAACTGGACAACTATTGGATTATTAGCACTTAAAGGGATTACTAAATGCTGAAATTGAGTGTGTTGAAAGAAAAGAAATAATAGCTAATGATTGAAATTAGCGAACTTAATAAAAGTACTATATTTAACAAAGAAAGTTAAAGTTAAGGAAAGAGTAGATTGTGGAAAAGACCCAAGAGTGCCACCTGATGGTACAGGAAAAATTTCAGTGACTTTTTAAAAAAGTGCTTGGTCTTTTTAAGAAATTGGACTTTGGAACTTAAAGTAAAAGAAACTCCATTATAATAAAATAAAAACCCTGGAAAGTAGCATTAGAATATTACAAAAGCAGGGGTGGGATTCTACCTGGTCAGACCAGTTCTATAGAACCAGTTGTTACGATTCTGCCCAGTTCAGAGAACCGGCAAATTTGCCACTGGCTGGCCCCTCCCCTCCCCACCCACTCGCTCCTTACCTGACATGCACACCATCAAACTTGCCTGCTTTTTTTCCTTTTTTTCATCCCGACCATCAGTTGTTCTGCTGTGCCAGGATGTTTAGATTAGCTAGAAAGCAGGAAATCATTGAAAGCAGAACTGAACCTTCCTTAGGACTGAAGGAAAGCAGAGCTGAACCCTCCTTAGGACTGAAGCTTCTATTTTTCAGTGTAGACTCAGGTAGCAGATTGCAGATAGATAGATCTCTAAGTGAATCTGTGATTATATGAGCAACTCAATCTGCCTGCCTGCTTTGCCTGATTTTGGGTAAAAGTTGCTCTTTTTTAATAAAAAAAATTCAATATTTACAATATTCACAATATTTACATACAAGCCAGGCCCAGCCAGTCACGTGACCACCAAGCCACACCCACAAATTAGGCCATGCCCATAGAACCGGTTGTTAAGAAATTTGAATCCCACCCCTGTACAAAGGGGTGAAAAGGGGTGAAATATGTGAAAATATTGACAGAGAACCATCTGGTGACTGTGGGAAACAGTTGGGAAATGGCCAACTAGAAGACCTGGAACAAAGACATTGATTGTTGAAAATAAACTTAAAAGACACTGGCTGAAATACTGGATATACTGGACTTTGGGATTGAATACATCTATTAAGGAAGAGGAATACGTCTATTAAGGAAGAGAAAAGAAAAGGAAAAAAGGAGAAGATATAATGGAGGAATTATTTGTTGAAATAAGATTGGACTTGCAAGATATAAGGGAAGTGATGAAAATTAAACTTGAAATGTCCAATTACGTATTACAGAAATTAGAAATGGTGACTCAGCTTGTAGAAAAACAAAGTAAAGCAGAGGGGGAGGAGTTTGACGAAGAAGCCAGCTTCGAAGAACAAAGGGAACAACAATTATTTAGGCAGGGGGGAAAAGGAATTAAAATAAAAAAAATGTAATAAAAGGGAGAATGGTTCAGAAAATGAAAAAAAGGAGAGGGAAAAAGCAGAAAAGGAAAGTACAAAAGAAAAATCGAAAGAGGGAGGGAGAAAAACTTAACAATTGGAATGAAAAATGGAGGGGAATAAGAATGGGGAAAAAGGGAATTAAGAGAAAGGACCAGAAAATAAAGAGAAACAGGAAGCAAACAAGGATTACATTGTTAAAAGAGTGAGAGAGAAAAAGGATAGGGAAGGAGATTCCGCAAGGTAATATGTTGTGATATATAAGAATAAGTACTGAAAATAGATAAGTATGTAACTGATATGGGTTTTTTTTTAGTTTCTCGTTCTCTTTTTCTATTAAAGCATTATTGCTACATTAGACATGGAACTTAATGAAATAAATATGGAATTGGGAATTTATAATAAGAATATTATATATTAATTGATGAATAGCAATGTATAAGAAAAGGAAAAAAAATGATGAAATGGAAACCATTATGAAAAGATTAATATCAATTGCTATAGTTAATTGATTAGATTAATACTTTTGTAATGTATTGATGATTTATAAGGTGATTGAGAAAATGTAATGCGGAATCTGACAAAAATATATATATTTGTGTTATATAGTAAATAGGGAGACTGGTATTTAGGTAGAATGAAGGTGGTTAGCTCAAATTATTAACCAGAGGGGACAATTTTGAATTAATAAAATAAGGATTGATAAAATTGCTAGTGTGACAGAAAAAGATAATATGGGAAGTGAACGTAGAAATAAGATGAGAATTTTAGATAACATTGTAAAATAAGGTATGAGAATATCCTAAGAAAAATGAAATAATTTATAACATGAATTGGAATTGGATAAGATAAGTTTAATATTTAATACTAATAAAGATAATGTGATATGAAATTGAACAAATAAAATGAATAGGTGACTATGGTCATATTTGTATTGAGATGTGAAACCAGGAACCATACTGCTTGCCAAATGAGAATTTTTTATTTAAAAAAACAAAACAAAATTAGAGAGGAAATTGAATAATGAAATTACTAGGTATGTTTAACTGATATGGTGGTTGGCATTAGCAGAGAGTATTGAAATATTGAAAATAAGCAATGAATGATTATGATTTAATATGAATATGTGTATTAAGATATGATTGGTATTATTAAGTTTGCCTATATTAAAATGTATGATATATTGATGCCAACTGTTAATGTATAGTTGTGTATGTGTAGATTGAAATTAAAAAAAACTTGATTAAAAAAACATGTTCAAATATTTCTGGGAGTAAAAAAAAATCAATGTGTTAAACCAGTCTATTTTTCTTTACAGAAAGATCCAGACTACTTGAAGCTCTGGTTGGACAATTTTGTTTCTAGCTATGAACAGTTTCTGGATGTGGACTTTGAAAAACTGCCCACTAGGTATGTTGAAATAGATCTTATTGATCTAATATATAATATGGCTAAATAGATATAAAATATTCATGATAATACTTTTATTAATTATAGTATGCAAACATATACTGTAATGAAAGCACAAATCAGAGTGAAGAACATATCTGATGATCAACTCTTAAATCACGTTGCCATATGTACAAAAGGGGTAGTACGTTTACCATGACTATGAACACATTATCTTGGAGATTTTGACTCCTCCCTCCATGGACACTCATGCACACATGCAAATCTAAAATGTGAAGCAGCAGTAAATGGAACAATGCAGCCAAAATTTAAATCTTAGCTGCTGATTTTTCTATGCAGAAAACCTGCAGGAGAGCAAGGCTTTTGGTTGGTGGCCAAATTTTGTTGGGAAGGGATTGCACATGTGCATTAATGTACTATTACCAGGTTTGAATATATGAATGACAGCTCATGGCCCCCTTTATGTTGACCCTGATGCATGCACAAACATCACATAGCCTGAAGACCTAAGCTGCTGTTCTCCTCCAAGATATACTTGGAACCTGACACACAAAAGTTCCAGTCTGTTTCATCTCATACCTTATAGGTCAACTGTTAGCAAAATGATCAAAATTAGCAGTGCCCCTAGGTAAAGTTTTGGTATTAATCAACTTTATTTTACATTAGGATATTCTTTCTTTGTTCCACACTGGTACTTCTTGTCCTAGTTTACATTTTTCAAAAAAGGGCTTTTTTAAAAATTTTTTTATTGTTTTTTAACATACAAAACACAACAACAAAACATAAAAGTATCAGCTCCCCCATATTTTTGTACACACAGTAAGTCGGTTGGTCCATCGGTTTTGTGCATTCACCTCATAGTCACAATTACAATTACCTTATATAATACTCTTATCAATACAAATTTATAAATCATAGTATCACTATTAAAAAAAAATTTGACTAAACTTTTATTCGGTCATGCCTTTGTGAGATAACTATATTTTAAATATTTTATTCTAAAACAAATCTTATAATCATACCAATTCTATCCCAAATAGGAAAAAGAAAGAAACAAAAAAACTATTATATAGATATAGTATCAAAAACCAATAAAAGGAAAGGGAAAATAAAGTCATTATTATTCCTTATTATCTAACTTTTATATTTTAATATTTCATCATTCAACCATTGATAGAAAAGATCCCAGACTAAATAAAATTGTCTATCTTCTTGCTCTCTAATTTCAAAAGTCAATCTACTCATCTCAGCACATTCCAAAATTTTCTTTACAACTTCTTCTTGCAATGGAATTTTCTCATTTTTCCAATTTTTTGCAAATACAATCCTAGCAGCAGTCAATACATTTACAATCAAATATTTCAACTCTTTACTATAAGTATCTGGTAGGATTCCCAATAGAAAAAACTCCGGTTTCAAGTCTATATGCTTCTTCGTCATTTTTTCCAGCCACATGTGGATTTTAGTCCAATATTTTCTAGCATCCTCACAAGTCCACCACATATGATAGTATGAACCAGGTTTCTGATGACACTTCCAGCATTTTTCGGATTTGTTCTTGAACATTCTTGCTATCCTTGTCGGGGGAAAATGCCACCTGTAAAACATCTTATACAAGTTTTCTTTATATGCTGTAGACATTGTCATTTTATAATTTTGCGACCATAGTTTCTGCCATTTCTCTAAATCAATCCCATATCCAAAATTCCTCCCCCATGCAATCATAGTTTCTTTAACTTGTTCTTCCTCAAGCTTAATTTGCAATAAATAACCATACAATTTTTTAATCACCTTTTCATCAGTACCCATCAAAATCTTATCCAAGTCAGTTTGCTTATCATAAAATCCCTCTGCTTTGGAATCCTCATAGTACTTTGAATGTATTTGCAAATATGAAAACCAATTCATCTGTATACCTTGTTCTTCCAGTTTTTGCATCGATTTAAGTTCACCCTTTTCATCTAATAATTCCCCATAGTTAACTGTTTGCTCCTTTTTATAAATTATAGGATAAGAAAACGCTTCTATCGTCGATAACCAAACTGGAATTTTCAAATAACACTGTTTTTTTATCTTCTCCCAATTCAACCACAGAGACTCCCGTATATAATGTCTTCTAAAATACCCCTGTGTTTTGGTTCCCTTGTACCATAAAAAAGCATGCCAGCCCAATCATGACCTTCTAATGTCAACAATCTGGTTTTCCTTAATGTTATCCATTCTTTAACCCACATCAAGTTTGCAGCTTGGTAGTACAACTCCCAATTAGGCAAACCAAACCCTCCTCTAACTCTAGCATCCTGTAAAAGCTTTAACTTTATTCTTGCTTTCTTGCCTTGCCATATATACTTCAAGACAATTTTATTTAAATCCTCAAAGTATTCTTTTCCAAGCCTAATTGGTATTGTTTGAAACAAGAATAAGACTCTGGGTAAAATGTTCATCTTGATTGTTGAAATTCTTCCTATTAATGACAATTGTAAGTTCTCCCATTTTTTCAAATCTTGAGCTATCTGTTGTTTAAGTTTAATATAATTATTCTCCTTCAATGTACTACATCTTGATGTCAAATAAATCCCCAGATACTTAACCTTGTTTGTAACTTGAATTTTTAATAGTTCTGCCAGCTCTTCTCTTTGTTTCAGCAACATATTCTTTGACAAAATCTTTGTTTTATCTCTATTTATTTTCAGACCAGCCACCTCCCCATAGGCCTCTATCTTTTCCAACAGCTTCGAGGCTGTTCCTATAGGATCTTCCAAAATAAAGACTAGGTCATCTGCAAAAGCTTGTAATTTGAATTCCTCCTTTTTGATTTTCATTCCTTTTATAGTTTCATCTTCTCTAATGTTTCTATTCAAGACTTCCAAAGTCAATACAAATAACAAAGGCGAAAGAGGACAACCTTAGCAAAATGAATTCTTGTGTGCTTGTTCAAAGGTCAGTCCCTGTGGTCTCTAGTGGAGTTTACTTATTGGTTAAGACATGGAATTGTATGACAGATTGGACAGAAATCTGGTCCCCAGTAGTGTGATCAGGAATGTCCTCAAATGCAGCACAACAGTAGTCCAGCTACACAGGGAGTGTCTGAGACCATGAAGTCTTAACTCTAAAATTACCAGTTTGCATCACTGAATATCAGGTGTAGGATCAGAGCCTGATAATCATGGATGGATGTTCATTGTTTGACTCAAGTTGGACTCAAATTGACTCAACTGAAAACAGGATACTGAACATAGAATGAAGATTAGTAACATTTTGCTGGGGGAACTCTTCTATCAGTACAATCAAAAGAGGGTAAATTCTTTGAATCAACTTTAGAAATTGGACTGAACAGAGCATGGTGGATTGTTACTTACAGTCTCCTGGCCACAGAATTCTTCAGTTGTACCACAATACTAATTTTAACATATTCTTAAAACAATAGTAATTTTGAAGACCTACAAATCAATTTGGATGCTTACTGTATGATTGATATCTTTTCAATTAAGCTTGCATTGTTTTATCATTTCTTAATTAATAGTGTTTTTAGTTATCAGCATAACAAAATATTAAACATATTTTATGGGATGTATTTTTCAGTTATAGGCGCTACCATTTCAATATGCAGTTATACTGAGAATATTTTGAATATATTACCCCATATTGTTCATGAATTTTTATAATAGTGGTAAAATACTAAATTTAAAAATAGATTTGAAATGGAAGGCATGGATTGCTAAAAAAAACTATTGTGTATTTTTTAAAATAATACTGGGTGCCTGATAATCTCTTTTTTGTGTATAACAGGTGCGATTTTTTTATAAAGGCAAATGGATAGTTATCAAATAAATCAGTTCCGTAGGTATAGGATGATGGTTACTTGACTTGGGTAATAATATATGTATGAAGGATCTAGAAATTATAGTTGACCACAAGTTGATAATGGGTCAGCTGTGTGAATGGATTGGGTAAAGGCAATTTTAGGCTTCATCAGTAGAAGTAAAGTTCCCAAAATATGGAAAGCAATGGTTTCACTATAGTCTTCATTAGTCAGATCTCCACCTTACTGAGTTTAATTTAAAGCACCACACTTTAATATTTAAAGAAACTGAAACAAGTACATGGAAGAACAAGGAGGTACAGAAGGAACTGATGCTTGAGAAAAGATGATTGGGAGGATATTACAGCACTTGTTAAGCAATTGAAAGAATGTAACAGAGAAGATACTTTTCATCCTGGAATTCAGGATGTGGAACAATCTTAAATTACAGAAGATTCCAGTTGAAGAGTTGAAGAAACTTTCTAATAGTAAGAGTGATTCAACAAAGGAGCTAGCTATGAAAGGACATTATGAACTTCTGTTCAGTGGACAAGTTTTAGTAGGGGCTAGACAGCTGCCCATCAAAAATATTTTGAGTTTCGACACTGTCTTAGGAAGGGGCAGGACTAAGTGACTCAACAGTTCCCTTGTAGTTCTAGGATTTTGTGAGCTTGTTCTTGACCATTATATTTGAGAAGCATAGAATGAAACCAATTGACCCTGTCTTGTAGACATTCTCCTAATATTTTTTCTTGCCCAATTTTTTCTCAAGGCAACTCAAAAAACAAGGTTGTGTTATATTATTCAGTGGGAAGGTGCAGGCTTGTAAGGAATGTTTATAGATCAAAATCATTGAGAAAAAGCCAAGCACTCCATATTACAATCAGTTTCTATGTTCCAAAGTTCCTTTGTCATGTTGTTTTATTTATATCTGAAAAGGTAAAAACCTTCCTATGGTGCAAATCTTACTGCAGGGGAGAGTTTTTCTATTGGGAAGTAAATAAGAATATGTCAAATTCTTTTTTCTAATTACTGTGTTAAACAATAGGTGTGCCGACTATTAAGGTGATTCACAATAGAGACGTTTATCTCAGTTTCAGAATCTGATTTCATATAAAACAATCATAGAAATGCAGTAATTCACAGCAAGCTTTTTGTTTAGAGGTTAGCTAATCACGAGGAATCTAGTGCTATACTTTATTGCTCTGAATTACATGTAGGTCTGGAGTGAGTGGGGGAAAACATTGAGAAAAATCTTGATGAATAATATAACTTATGCAATAGTGGAATAATTTCTGTAATTTTTTTCTGTTTCTGCAATCCTCAATGTATTTTCAGTCATCAAATGTGCTTAAGTTTGAGTATTATTATCATTATTATTTTTAAGTATATCACTATTAGGAATAGGACAGGTGGTTTAACATTGAGAAACTGGAACTTTTTTCCAAGGAATATTAAAATAAATATCTACAATATTGTTAAAAAAATCAAGCACCTGCTTTGGAGAAAAAACTGGAATTCCTATAAAAAATGCTCCCTCTATCCTCAGCTATGTCATACAAATTCTCTGCTTTTCTCTTTGATTGGGTTTCCAAATCTGGATTATAAAGTTTAAAAACATACCATTGTGAATGCCAGCCTGAATTCATAGTTCTTCGGTCTCAGACTAATTCTAAGGGTGTAGGGGGTCAATCAAGTCTTTACTTTAATGTGGTCGGACTTGGGTTCTATACTTTAATTTGGTTTAGTTTTGGTTTTAGCTTTTCTTGTAAAGCATAGAAGGGTGGGAGTTGGCCTCCCTTCAGGGAGAAAGCTGTTGCTCAATGAGGAGGTTGCCACTATGGTCATGTTCTGGACCCCAACTTTTTAAAATCTCTTAAGAGACCTTGTCATGCAAGCAGATTGTACCTGGAGAAAATAGTGTCATAGCTAAGAAGGTACAAAACTACAATTATGTCAATGACTGTTGCTTTTTGCCTCTCATATTAACTGGCTTTATTTTAGGGTGGATGACATTCCCCCTGGAATATCTTTGCTTCCTGATAACATTCTTCAGGTTTTGAGGCTCCAGCTGCTGCACTGTGTCCAGAAATTATCAGAAGGGTTGGAAGAGCCACAGCAAGCACTGACACTGCTCCTAGTCAAGTTCTTCATCATTCTTTGCCGGTATCTTTTTTCACCTAATTGTTTTTTCAGAATACAGGGAGTGTCAAGAAAGGGATACCCTATTTCCATTACTCTTCTTTTGATTTTTTTGCTTACTGATTTCTGAGTATACCTGCTCAAGTGCTCCTCTCTTTCTGTATTCTTCCCATTTTTTTTTCATCCCCTCGATCTCTTTTTATTGCTTGGAAGTAATAGCATCAAATTAGTCTGGAAGCTACAACATTGGCTATACCTATGGTAACTGAATTCACATTATCAAAATTGCTGTGCTTTTATCTTGTTTGTATATTCGTTTTTTATATTGTGAACTGCCCAAGTTGATGAGAGCTGGCTGTATCCAATCAACATACTTTAAAAAAAATCATGTTCAGTCATGATTTGATTTATCTGTGGCTTGTTGAAGAAGGCATAATAGGAACCAATTCATGTTAACTCATGTTAAGCCATAAGTTGCTTTCAAAGTAAGATGAGATATCATTCTAAGCCAGAAGTAACCATATTATAATTAGCATAATATGTGGCTTCAGCTATTTAAAATATAACTGGTCATTCTGATATTAACACATTTACTATATCAAGTCTAAGCTTACATAGTGTCATTGTCCAGATCTAAATACTTTACTACTCTGAATTATTTTGAGACTATATTACAAAGAAAGGTGGGATTTTAAAACATGTAGCATCTCATACTTGGCATTTTGGGATATTTAAACATTTGTGTAAGAATAATTTTGGAAATCTCTGTAGTTATTCTTCTCCATCAGTCCTCTGCTATCATACAGTTGCTTCACCTCTTACATGTTTCATTCTGTTTCAGAAATTTAGATAATGTGGAAGAGATTGGGACTTGTTCCTATATTAACCATGTGATTACAATGACCACACTCTACATTCAACAGGTAAATGAATATGCAATGGCCAGAAGGATGATCACAATCTTTGTTAGAACTCTAATGGGGTTAAGCAGTGGGAGCAAACTGAGGCTAAAGTTTATCCTCAGAATAGTCTGTTCACTTGAAAACCAAGTATTAAAACTGAAGTCTGTAATGATGTATATTTAGATATAGACAGGATATGTGTTTCTACAATCATTGCTATGTTTCCTCTTTGTTCTAGTTTTGTGCTTTCCTTTTTCACTACCTTCAAGGTTGCAATTTTGGAAAGGGAAAAGAGGAGAAGTATGTTTATTATTCTAAACTAAGCACAAAAGCATTATTTAAGCACTTCATTTTTTATTTTTGTTGAGAGTCATGTCAGGGAGTGATTGAGATGTCATTATGCAATTTGTGTATTTTATTTATAATTTGTTAGATTAATTATTGTTAGAGCTTCATGAGGGAAAAAGGTGGAATATGAATCTATTAAATAATAATGATTATTTAGTCAGCAGATTGAGTGAGGACTGTATAGAACTTGAAAAATTGTTTATAATCTGCCACAGATGCTGTTCTTATTCTTTGATATACCAGTTAGTTAATTGGTGAGCTCTTGGAGTTTACTGAGAAAGACTTTTGCAACCACATACATCTCAGCAGCCTGTGAATCAAGTGACTGGCTGGCTGGCAGGGAACTCAGTGAGGGGGAGGTTGCCTAAATGTGTCTTTATCCTCCATTTGGTTGAGCTCCACCAGGTCATGACTAATGCAGCCCTTAGAATCAAAACATTTGTCTGATTGTGTTATAGCTAAAACGAAACAAGTAGGATTAAAACCTTTTCATTCTTATATGTTCATAGTGATCATATGCCATGGATTGGTTCACATATAATTTGTGGTTTGTTAGAGTTAGGATTGCTGAACAAGCAACGTGGATACTTTTATACATAGGTAGCAAACTGAAGATGTACAGAATGTTTTTAATTCAAGCCATTAAAAATGTTTGTAAAACACTTCTAAAAGTGTTGATGAAAAACTTGGTTATTACTTCTTTAGCTAAAGACTAAAACAAAAGAGAAAGAAGTGGCAGATCAAACATCTATAGAAGAGTTTGTGCGACACGCGCTGGCTTTTTGTGAAAGTCTTTATGATCCATATAGGAACTGGAGGCAAAGAATTGCAGGGTATGTGAGAATATTATATTAACACTCTGTTCTTGTTATTTTAATGTCTTTAAAATAAAGATGCAAAATATATAATCCTATAAAATGTTAGTGCTAAATAGAAAATACATTAATTAGACAAGGGGATTGGGGCCTCATATAATCTTGCCCGTCAAATTGCCTACACTTGTGATATGCTACCAGAATATCGTATAAGCCTCCCAGTCAGATATATCAGGACCTTCTGTATCATCATCCACCACAGGAGAGACTGAATGAGAGGCTGCACCCAGTTTATGCTATTAATGAGATTAGATGGACCTAATCTTTCTTTAAATTTGAACAGATTATGTCATAAATACTCAAGTTTCTATCTGATGCTGCACTCAGATATTCAGACTGGAAAATAATGGTTACCCATTTTTGAATAAGACAGGACGTTAAACAATAAATTAAAACAATGTTTTAATTCTGGCTTCTTTTAAAACATTTAAAATGGCAGAACGGAGTACTAATGAAATCGTAACAAAAGGCAGAGTATAAATCAAACCAAAGCAAATAAATCAATTAAAATTTTCCTTGTTTGATTGTTCACATCCTGAAGATTCTATAGGAAAAGGCTCCTTTTGGATCTGGGTTCACAGCTATAGGAGTTTGGGTAATAATTTTTTATCATCCAGAAGAAGCCATCACTTCTAGGAGATCAGTAAAGCCCATTGTTTTTGTGAATACTGTGTTTTCTGTTCAGACCATATCAATCTTTATGTGAATAAGATGATATATTTATAAAAGTTGCACTGTTAAAGCCAGATACCCTTAAAGTTTTTGTTTATTAGCTTGATGCAGAAATAACAACCCAAGGGGTATTTTAAGAATGTCATGTGAAAAAAATGTTATACAAATCAATGTATTATTAATAAACCTATGTTTTGTTATACCATAACTAAAATTTGTTTTGAAGCTTTATTATAAATGAATACGTTTTTTCTCTCTCAATATATTATAGGCGTATTCTGAGCACAGTTGAAAAAAGTAGACAGAAATACAAACCAGCTTTACTCACAGTGGAATTTGTCCCTTTCTTTTACCGTGAGTACTTTATTATATTGTCCTACCATTCAGAATTGTTTTAAAGTGAGAACCTTTCAGAAATAAGATTTGTTCCATAGTTTTCCATTTGAAGGTACAGAGTCCTGGTGTTCTCTGAGTTTGGTTTAGCTCTGAGAGCACCAAGGACCCTGCTGTTCAACTCTGAGCTACAAGTATTCTCTTAGATCAGTAATTTGAAAATGATAAGTAATTAAGCAGTTTAAAGATATTATTGACCCAGATGCATTCTGGATAACATAGGTGCATTTTCAATGCTACAGCAATGGGATGTATGCGATAGAAAGTATTTTGCCCAAGCCTCCACCACTCTTGGGGGGGTCCTAGGATACATCACAGCACCCATCCATCTGTATGTGGTATCATTTTTTGAGAGGTCACAAGAGGTGCCCCAGAAACTTGTCATCATATGAATCATTAATGTCGTGTATCTCTTAATGGATCTGTCATGAGTCACAGATTTGCAACTGGCTTAATTGCTGTTTTTTTAAAATTAAAACAGCTTAGATCTGAAATAGGTACTACCAAGAACAGTGATTTTTCATGAAGTGTGAAGAAGACTCATCATCTAAAACTCAGAACCAGTGTAGCAGTCCTTTAAACATTGTGGAAAATGTTGCAGAAATGACTGTTACAAATTATTGGCACAATAATAACAGCACTTTTTGAGAGTAATTGAGTATGCTATATTTCTTTTTTTGAAATCAAGTCTGAAATGTAAGACCCATACATTTCTGGGGAGAAAACCTGTAACCACTGCTGAAGTTGGGATGTAGTTTACAAAAGGCAAAAAAAAAAGAATTTTATTTTTATTATTCATGAGTTAAAATCCCTTTCAGCGTTAATGTGGATCTCTCTATGCTGTTTAACTTGCACAATGAAGCTCTTGAATGCTCTTTTTATTTCAAAACTTGTTTTGCATTTGATTATACCTCTCTCTTGAAGATTTTAACAGTTTTAACATGCAGGCTTCTGCCGTTACTGGAAACTTCTCAGGATGCTAATTCCAAAAACATAATATGTGGTAGTTTTGGCAGGAGCTAGGTTATGGGTCAATCTATTGCTATGGCAATGATTTCCAGGTTAATGTTTATTACTAAGCAAAAATTATTTAGGTCGGTTCTAATTGCCTTCTATGACATAAGGCTTAAATTTAGATACATTATAATGATTTTTTTTCTATGGCAATTTGAGTCAACATCACGTTTGCCCATAAAACATTAGCCTTCCCAAAAATAATATGGGGAACTATGGCTACTTAAGACATTTCATTATGTTAAACATATTTTATTTAAATATCTAAAAACTGTGTAACCCTTTGAATGGTTTTATCACTTTGACAATCCTGCTAATTTTGGACACAACTTCCACAATCCCTGGCCATTGAGCAGGGTGGCTGGGCCTGTTGGGAATCCAAAGCATCTGAATGATACCATTTTGCTTCCTCCTGGATTATGTCTTTCTGCCAGACTGATGTGAGTCCCCTTTCGTTTTCAGTAGGGATCTGAATAAGCATCTGGAGCCTTTCGCTTTGGTTCTAGATTAACTGCACCTTTCGGTGTGAATTTAAAACCAGATAGTCTTAGCTTCAATTAGGGGAGAAAGGTGTCTCTAATTTATAATGGTGGCTTGGTAAACAAGATTTCGTTATATTTTACTAAACTATGGTTAAAAGTGACTTTTATATTTCATTCAGCATTGAGAAAAGTGGACCAATATCTTACAAGATTAATCTGAATATTAGCTATTCAAACTACTCTTAATACTTAACATAATCTTATTTTCCAAACTTACCTAGTATAGTCAAAGTACATTTTATTGTTTGATTAAAAAGATATGTTGTATAAGCTGCCAGTAGAATGAGCAGGAATCTCTCTTGCAGGACGAAATGGCCAAGCTCAATTCTTAGCTTTTCAGTTGTGCCTGCTTTGCCCAGTTAGGGAGGATTGGATTCCCTTGTATTTGTGGCTGCTGTATATGATGAAGGGCTGCAATCTGTAATTCCTTTTCTGATAGTGATTTTTGTGAATAAATACACAAGGAATTTGTTCTTTGCTTTTCAGAGTGTTTTCAAGAAAGTGAGCATCTCAAAGAGAGCCTCAAATGTTGTCTGTTACATCTCTTTGGAGCTATTGTGGCTGGTGGGCAGGTGAGAAAATGTTAACATCCTTTTCTTAATCATTGGGATGTGGGACTTATATCTTTACTGCATCATCACTTTGTGGCTTGTATGTTATGAACACTTTCCCAAAGTGAAGAATTTGGAGTAGAAATAACTAGTTATGACAAGGTAGAGTGTGTAATTGTTAAGTTATGGGACAAACCTTAGTTCAGAGGTAAAATGGACTCATGCTCCTTTAATATTTTGAGAAAGATCCTTTCCAATGGAAACAGAGCTGAGCAATGAAGGTGAACAAAATTGTCGAACATACTGTGATTGAACTCTGTGGTTGAAATTCCATGTGCTAATTGCTTAAAATAATAAAGGAGAGTCTATATCAGTCTGTCATACAATACTTGAGCACCACACTTTTGTTTCCTCTTGCCTGAATTTATGACAGAGCAGCTGAAATTATTCTGAAGAAATGTAAGAAAAACTATACATATTATATGTATGCTAGAATTCAAAGATGCTTTTGTTTAAAATTTTTAATCTTGTTTTTCTCATCAGGACTCAGTTTAACATTAAAGCAGTGCTGCTTAAGATGTTCTAGTAATCAAACTGACTCTTTTCCATTTTTCTTATGTAATCTGATTTCATCCAGTTGCAAAGATGTATAATTAATGAAAATGTTATAAATAGCTTGTCCTAAAAGATGGTTAGGCTGAGACAATATCTTAAGTAAATAAAATAGTGCCATTAGCTCAAAGAGAAAGAATGTGTTATTTTTCCTGATATTGGTGAGCATAATGTACTGGAACCAAAGTAATGTAAAGATATGTGCAATTTTATGTTAATAATTTTTCTACAAGAATACGTTCCCAGAAAAAAAAAGGGGGGGGTGTAACATGTTGCTTCTTTGTATTGACAAAATCCACACCGGACCAAGGGGAGGGGTTCTAACTATCTAAGCTGCATGCCTGGACCTGGAGGTATATGCTTTGAACATCTCCTGGATATCTTCCTTTTCAATAAAGAATTCCTTTTGAAATACCCAGTTTTCAAAAGTTCATTCTTGTTGTCTGAAGGGGAGAGAGTCTGGGCCTTACAGGAAACTGACTTTATATTGTTAGGCAATCGTGTGACTGTCTGAATTTCCAAGATGTCTCATGAGAAAAGCTTTCTTCTGACCCTTAGTGCCTGTGTGTGTGTGTGTGTGTGTGTGTGTGTGTGAGAGAGAGAGAGAGAGAGAGAGAGAGAGAGAGAGAAAGAGAGAGAGAGAGAATGTGAGCAATTGTACTACATGACTCGGTAGACATAAGAATTTTGGGCATCTTTTGTGAGTTTTTTCTTTCTTTTGTGATTGTGTTTTCTTAATAGTTAACATACTATGCAACTTTTGCTTCATTTCCTACACACAAGTAGCAAAACATTGCCTTTGCTCAGCAATTATCACCAAATTTTGATGGCATGAAATTCTAGGCAATCTGAGCATGTTTGATGGTTAGGGTGAAACACAAAACATATCTTCAATCAGTTCGTATGTGATTCCACTGTCAAAGGAAAAAGTACTTTGATATCCAACCACAGGATTAATTTGCTGCTTTTGTCCAAGTTATATGATTTAAAACTTGTTTCATGTGCCTGCTTATACTTCTTAAAAAGGAATTGTTCCTGATTATTTTGATAGTGAAGAACTTTTATTATTAACTTTAGAGAAATGCTCTTCAAGCCATCTCTCCTGCCACCATGGAAGTCTTGATGCGTGTCCTGGCAGATTATGATATGTGGGATAACAGAGACCCAGATGACGTGAGCAGGAAGGCTGATTTGACATTGAAGTGCCTGACGGAAGTGGTGCACATTCTTCTCACTAGTAGTTCAGACCAGCGGCAAGTGGAAACCAGCACCATACTGGAGAACTATTTCAAGCTGCTGAACGCGGATCATGAGGCTTTGCCCAACTCAAGGTCCCGTCAGTGGGAAAGCAGGTTCATTGCACTGCAGATTCAAATGCTGAGTAAGTAACAGGATCCTTTGGGGAGGAGAAAGGGAGGCAGGATGAGATGCTGGAACCACATGTCAGTAGAACCATTTTATTTAGAGCCACAAGCAACATTAAGCAGCTGAAATGTCCATAGCTACAATAAAATGATAGTTCTTCAATAATGTATAGTAAATTATTTTCCCTGATTTTCAGAGGGCATGCCAACTGCAAGGGTATGTAGACCTCTGCACGCAGTTCTTTTTTAAAAAAAACTAGGTGAACAATTACAGTAGAAGGTTTTTTAATTGTGTTGTTTGGGCAGGAATTAAAAACTAGAATTATAAAGTAGGGTTTCTCCTTGCTTTATGATTTCTGGCTTATTAGGAAATATCAATCCAGGGTCCAGTTTTAAATGACACACTAGACAAATTGGTCCTGGGTTGTTAAGAGAACATCACTAGTGAGAGGAACCAAGTGATGTGTTGTGTTCAAAGATGTTAGCATTCTGCAGTGCTGCCAATGCTGCAAGTGTCTCTTTCATGAGGTTCAACTGACTGAGGAGTGAGTGCAATTTCTATCTATTTAAATAATTTAAGTGCTGACTAAATATACAGTAAGAGTGGCTTACTAGAACCAAATTGCAAGAATTGTAATCAGCTAAGTATTCTTTGTCCAGTTCACTCAGAAGAGGCAAATTGAATACCTATTCTCTAGGCAAAAAGATTCCCCACAGGCATTTACCAATTATTTGACAGGCTGGTTTTAGGATTCCAACGGACTGTATTCTTGCATTTCTTTAAAGCAGTGATATTGAGAAGGCAGCTTCAGTTGATGGCTATTTCCTTTTCCTTAGCATGATTTGCAGGATAAAGAAAGTTCAGTAGAAAGTTCCTTCAGATACATTTTTCTGGCTTCTCAAAGGAGAGATATGCAAGCTTCTATCATTCATATTATTGTTTAGATTTCTGGCCTTGAAATGTAAAAAAATGTGCAACATGTCACTGTGTGTGTGAGGTAACTTGACATGAGAGAAAATGACATGTCCAGAATCATCCAATGAACTCCAAGGTCAAGTGTAGGACTGTCATTTCTAGGCTACAAAATCTATAGGGCTATTAGATGTCAGCAGATACAGAAACTGAAAAAAATTCTTTGCAATTTCCTTTCATTAAACCTAATCAGATGAGGTTTGAAGTTGACTTTCCCTGTTACCAGTTTAACATTATATTACTTCTGCTAAATAATCAAAAAAATAGATCAATGTTTTTTTAAAAGGCAGATGGTTTGATGCTGCATGCTATTGTGAATCAGCTATATATATTTTTTGTTTTGTTAGTAAACAAACCTGTTTTAAAAGTACAATTCCATATTGGTGGTAGGAAGAATTGTATATTCATTCCTTACTTTTATAAAAATACATATGCTTACATATGAAATATTACTCCTACATAATTAGCTATTGCCTTTATGTTCCAATTTGGCTTCTTTGAGCCATCTGATTGTCCAATGTAAGAGATGAAGATACATCTTTCTGATCCATTAGAGTTTTTTCTAAATTGTAACATAATTTTAATGGCAAAAAAGTATTTCCTGCTTTTCTTTTTTGCTTGCAAATTATTTCTATTCCTTTGGAGGGAGACTAAAGCTATGTAATTATTTTAAGATATGATCCTTCCTCTTTGATTTTTAGTTTTTCTCTTTTTAAGATGCAATAACTGCTATGTTGGACTGCACAGATCGGCCTGTTCTGCAAGCCATTTTCCTTAATAGTAATTGTTTTGAGCATCTTATTCGACTTCTACAGAATTGCAAGGTAAACAAAAGATTGTAAGAAATATATTCATAATCTTTTGAACATGTATTTTATTACAGTTTTAACAGAACCATTTCAGTTATATTCTAGGAGAAAATCTGATTATTAAATTTAGTTCAAAGAGTGGATCTAATTTACTTCTATGACGATCTAGTTTTAAATAGTTTTTCAGAGGAATGTCTTGTCCTTATAGCACCAGTAGCAGGGAAGAGTATGAATAATAAAGTCTTCTCACAAAGGATTCCTTCCTGATATATCCTTTTTATTTAACCGCAGCACTATATGAATTGAGACAACGTTAGAATTGCACTACAGTTGTAGTGGAAATTATATAGATTGAAGCTTAGTTTATCTAGAAGTCATCCAGTTGGACAAAACATGGATAATGGTGACATGGGTATTAATATTGGAGAAAAGAAGAAAGGAGAAGAATACGTAGCAAGATTTCCTATCTGAAAACCTGGCAGACAATGAAGACCATGCAAAGATCTTATAACTAGAGGGCTAGGGTGCTGCAGAATTTAAGATTTGAGGAAGAAAAAATGCTAAGTGCCTTGGCACCCACATTGCTCTATAGGCAGTTCCTTAAGTGAAGTGCATCTTTCCTGGAATCATACTATAGCCATGGAAGACAACTATGCAATTCCAGGAAAAAATGCAACTGCTTTATGGAATTACAAACAAATACATACTAATCGCTGACACAGGGAGGGAAAACTGATTTGTATCAGAGATTGTTAATTTGTCCCCACACTATGTGGAAAGATTGATAATCAAATACCATACCTGATTCTGCATAGTACAGACAAATGGCATCATTTTTTGTGGCCCTCCAAGGGTCTTTTTAGAGAAATTGGGACCAAATTTTCACCCCATCAGGGGAGCATTTTGTTTGTTGAACTTAAATTCTAAAGGATCTTCTTAAATGTAGAGTTGAAGTTACAATTTGGACTTTCTAATAAATTAGGAACTTTAGCTTTTTGTCATCTTAATATTGTTCTCACTCAATAGGACTTACTTATGGACAGACATGAATAACTCTGGACTTAGTTTTATTTTGTGTGAAAAAAAATATTTCCTTTTGCCTTCACAATAGTCAGTCCTGATATGGAATCCAACATCCATCATGAAATAAAAACCACAATTTATTTCAGCATGTTATTAACAGTGTCATTATTTGCAGTATTTATGAATTTGTTCAATTTGAATTTAACATTAGAGTTAATCAGATAACGAAACTGTATAATTAGCTCCCTTATGGTTTTGGGTTTTATTTCAAAAGACTTTGTTAGATATGTGTTTTGCTGCATAATTGCATATACATAGAGTAAGGGACTGGGGTGAACTTCTATAGGTTAGTCATGCTTCATATCCATGTTGCATTCTGCACACAAGTAGAGGAATGGAGTGAATTAATCTTCATAACCCATGTTGCATGGGTTTTAATCCCAAATAAATCAAGGTTGGCCAGTTTTAGTTTGGAGATCATTGAGAAACCATATTTATCTCTTCTTGGGTTTCTTCCTTGATGAAAGGCAGCATGGTACTGGGTTTTTGTGTGTGGTGCCTATTGATTACCAGTGCTTCTAATTTCTTAGTCATTCCAGAGAATTTAATATGTCATAAAAAATATGCAGGTCATCTTACCAAAGCCTCCTGGTTTTGAGGCAAAATAACCTAACATCCCTTCCCTTTTCAGCCTCAACTATGGCTAGTACTTACATTATATTTTCCCTTAACTAGGTTATGAAATTAAAAAGTAACATGGAATTGCAAATTCTCAATAGGAAGAAACTTTAAATATGTATTAACTGTAAGTACAGCTGTAAACCTTAATTATGGTTGAGATCTCTAGAGGTGCGAAAATAGTCTGTCAGAAAGGAGAGCTGTTGGAGAAAACTATTTTATGGACCATCTTTGCTGAAAACAATGACAATATTTTCCATTCACCTGCTGAATTTAGACACAGGACTTACCTGCAAGTTCGTTATTAATATATTGCTTGGAGGAACAAGGAAGATGAGAAATGCCAGATTTTGGCATTTTTATTTTTTAACTAAATGGATTTTTTAGGACTGCCATCTGACATTTGCTTTTGCTATGAGCTCATTTCGAAAAGAGCAACAAACCTAGAATTATTTTCTTTGAGCAAAGAGAATCCTTACAGTACATGCTATAAATATTCTGGTAATTTGTAGGGGTACATACAACACGTAAGTTATGTTTTGTTTTAAGCTTATATTAAACATGCTGTCAGTCTGTGCTCCATTCAAAATCCAAGAAAGAAATACTTAGACTCCATAGATTAGAGGAAAGATATCTTTTACTGAAATTCGAAGTGGAAGCTACAGGAAGAATTCTGAATCTGAGAAACTAGGCGCGCAGATCACATATACAAAGTGATGGAATTGTTCCCACCCCCCAAGTTCAAAAGATTCTTCCAATTAAAAGTTCTGAATATGATCATGTGGGCATCTTCAGGTGGTGATGAGGCCTCTGTCCGTTGACCTTGACATATTTTGATAAAGATTCGCAGCTGCGCAAAGGAAAGAAAGCTAAGCAAGGAAATAGAAACTTAAGAGCAGGAAATTATACTCCCCCCCCACTCCTCATTTTTTCAACACAAGAAAGTAACACCTCCAGCTCTCTTCCCAGACACAACCCCTGCCCCCGTTACTCATGGCAGCCGAAAGATGCAAAGCAGTAGAAAAGATCTTGGAGGCTGACACATGCATTTTGAAATATATTCAAGTTGGCTGGATTCTGACAAGAAAACTGGAAGATATTTAAATGTTTCGACCATGGGACAGTAGGAACTTGGAACAAACTCTCCTCCATTGTTTTTCATCCTAGTGCCATAAAAGTACTGGACTGATCTAGGATTTTATTTCAGTGAAGATTTCCTTTACTGTTTTTTTTAAAAAATGCTGAGCTAATCTCAGTAACATTCTTTCAGGTAGCAACTAATATCTCCTTAAGGTAAAAAAAAAAGTCAGCCATGCAGGCAAAATCAGTTAACAGGTTTGTGGTATCTTTAGTTCACAGCCTACCTCTTAGGCACAGTGCCATTAAGTCAGCAACCTGTTGTTCCCTGGCAACTGTGTTTTCCATATCCCATTAATTTGACATGGAGAGATTATTCTCCAACATTGGGTTGTCTAGATGTGTTAGACATCTCCTCTTTCTCATTATATGCTGATTGGGGATGATGAAGTTTGTTGCCCAATGTATTACCAATTTGGCAACTTTAAGATATATGGACTTCAACTCTCAAAATTCCTCAGCCAGCACATTGCCTGGAGAATTCTGGGAATTGAAGTCCATACAACTTATAGTTGCCAAATTTGGAATATACAGATATTGAGGTTAAGGAAAGCTATGAATTTATTACACTAGCTGTTGTGAGCTAACTAATACTTCTGTTACCATTATTCTTATCTCCCATTTTAACAGCTATTTTTAAATGCTAATAATAAGTTGGCAGACAAGAATGAGAAAGACCATGCCAACAAATTGCTGGCAGAAATGAATCAGGAACAGGTATCTCCTGCGAGTTCCGTTCTGTTCTTAGCTGAAGGTCCTCATGCAGGTGGTTATGAACTGTTTCCTGGACTTCACTTTGAATATGCTTCCTGAAAGAACTAGATGAGTTTTGACTTATTCACATGCAACATTCACACAAAATTTATTATTTTAGTTAACCCAAAACCCATGTGTTAAATCTAAATTTCACTGTGCTTCGAGATACGAAGTATCTAATCCATATAATACTCCATGTCTTTTTTCTAAAACTGAGGAAAGTGAAGTCCAAGAATGGAATTCAAATTTGAAAACAATCAACTGGGTGATTCTTGTTTTTATTTTGTTACTTGTCCCTCCTTTCTTGACTCTCTCCCTCCACTCTTTCATCTGTTTGTCTGTGCACTGTGGTGTAACTTTCTTGAATCTTTCTTGAAATCTTGATTCTGTTGCCCAAAGATTAGAGTTCATATTTCAATGGACAGTCTGAATCTGAGAAGGGAGATCTAATTGATAGATTTATTTTTTAACATTTCCTTTGATATTTATGAAGAACTGAACAATGTCAGTTCTATTTTTTTTGCTTCTTTAATAAAAGATATAGAGGCCTCAATATAAAAAGTTTGCATATAGTTAAAAGTTAATGTAAACAATGCCTGAGAAACTTCAAGCATTATTGCAAAGTATTGCAAATAATACATTACAATACAATAATGTATTACACTGCAGATGAAATAGTCTTTATTTATTGTTCAGGCTCACAAATTAACCAACGGATTTGAAGGACAATATACAAATATATTTTAAACAGTAAAACTGTCTACTAATAAGATAAAGAAATCAAAATATTTATAGTTCTTTTGAAAGGAAAATACTGTGATATTGCTTGTGAGGAATGGGCTTGTGAAGTAAATATATAATTTAAATAAGGAATTAATTTATGTACACTTTAATACTACCCCAACTATCCACTAAGACCGAACTGTTTCTCACCAACGTGTGACAAAATTTGTTTGATAAGAAGCTCCAAAGATCTCCCTTTTTCATACCACTCTTTTGAGGTTGTCCATTTAAAACATGAAATTGTCCATTTAAAGCATGAGGAAAAGCTGTCCATCAGATTGTCTTAAATAAGTACATGTGAAGGGTTCTGTTCTCCTTGAAATGGCTTCCCGTCTCTTTTGTCTTCCTGCTTATAGGTTGTGCTATCATAAAATCCAATTCTTTTTCTGGGTTGATGATTGGGAAGCATGCCAAGGAACATTTTTCTTCATTGTGGCACAAAAAAGGGTGGAGTGTGCTCATTGGAGTGTCAAATTTGTCCTTATATGCCTAATGTGTTGTATCTTTTTGGGGGTTTTAGGTATTCCAGGGGCAACTGGACCGTTTGGCAGTATCAGCTATTCAGGCTCTCACAGCGGTGATGCACAGCTCTCCAGCTGCCAAGGTCAGCATGGCTTCCTCAGAGCAGTTGGAATTCTTGTCGTTGGGTAGCTCTTTTATTGTACTTGCTGAAATGATGAAGACTAACAATAGTGCATATTATAGTTTGAAACAAAGTACAGAAAATGCAGCCAAACAAATGGCAGTACAGTGAGGCAATGCTACTAAGGCAGATCTCACCATTTAGCAAAATGAAGGGGACTAGATTGGATGGCAGGTGTGGTAATTTTTAAATTATGAAGAAGTATTTTAAGAAATCTAGCCCCTCAACAAAAGATCTAGGTTATAACTTTTCATCTTAATATGATAGTATACAAATGTCAGGCTGTGGTTTGTTTTATTCTTATATGGTAGCAGAGCATCTAAAAATTATGTTCTTCGTCTGTTCTTCACCTGTGGAGTCACTGTATGTCAATGTTTTGCTTCAGTGTCTTATTCTGCCACAGGATGTTTACAGTTCAACTGATTATCACTAGATCTTTTTTGGCAATCTCCTCTCTTTCAGATAGACAGCCTTCACTTTGGCTAGATAGGATGTGTTATTTACGATTCTAAAAAGCCAATTCAATGGCATTCCTCTGCAGAATATCTTTGTTCTTGCCCACTAAAGGAAGTTGAATCAATTGCCCATATCTTCTGATCCTCCCCTTTTTACTCTCTTGAGAACAAAGACCTGATCTCTCTTTTCTTGCAATATGTGGTGGAAACTTGGAACATAACATTCTTGCCCATCATCATTTAGTGGATAACTTAGTAATGACTTTCAGGGACCTAGTAAAAATGTTCCCAACTTCAATTGTATGACAGCTCAGCTTTCCTACCCTGATATTGAATCTGATTATTTTACTATACTTATCTGGGGTAATTCTTGACCATGTCAACCTTTAGTTATTATAATGAGTGTTTGAATATCTCAGTAGCTGTTTATAGCAAAGCACAATCACATTAATTTAACAAGTAAATACCTTTGCCATTTGAATTCTTTTGAACTCCTACTCCTGTAATCTACTTTTTAAACCTTTTCCTTTGTTCTATGCAACTTTCTTAGTCATTTTCTATCCTATTTGTATTTTTCAACTCTGAAAACATTTGTCAAGAAAATGCATTCAACTTTGGCTATTGACCATACTAAAAGTGGCTGCTATTAGTATTATATTAACTAATGGGGGGAAATTTGGTTTTATATTGATTACTAAGAAAAAGCAAGTTGATTGAATTTTGATTCCATATATATTAGAATTCCCTTAAAATATGACAGGCTGACAAAGTTGTGAAAATGCACATATGGGAGCACGTATATAAAGTATGCATGCTTATACTAATGGAATTTGAATTGATACATATTTATTATTTGTTATGAATAAACATTGCCTTTCTTAGCTATATGCTGCTAATATATATTGATGGTTTTACTCTTTAGGAAGTGTTCAAAGAACGAATTGGTTATGCCCATATATTTGAAGTTCTAAAATCTATGGGTCAGCCTTCACAGGAACTACTTGAAGAACTTCTGAATATGGTGTGGTATTTTTCTTGTTTTGAATATAATTTTAAACCTATGTTAAATTATTGCAATCAAAACAACAGAGAATTTTCTGCCACTTTAAAGGTTAACAAGATTTAGTTTTGATACTTCCAAATTATGTGACAAGTTGCTTGAGATATAACCTACAATTTGCATACACACACACACAGAGGAATAAATTAAAATGACAACGTTAGTTTGTTTTGCAAACTAATGAAACAGGACTTGGTTGTGTCTCTTATCTTAGTTACAGTTTGGATTTGCATAAGAATGTCCCTTATTGCTATTTAATTCCAGTTCTTTTCTTTTTTTGTTTAATGGCTTTTATGAATTCATAAAATTATGTACTTATATGTAAACATATGTACTTTATATGCATAGGCATGTGTAAGTGTTCTGCTCATTCAGGGATCTTGTTAACAGTTAAATATTCCACATTATCTAAACCTCTCTTATTTTATTGCAGCAGATAAAAAATTAAAAAGTATCATTTTAAAGGCTTACTAATATGTAAACTTTGTAGAGTTAGACAATCCAATAATAGAGATCTGTCAAACCTCAGTAAAAATTATTGCTGGAGAAAAATCAATATATCTTTGAGGGGCCACAAGATTCCTTACAGTATTCTGTCTTAAAAAATATTGTTGTTAAGCAGAGTTTCTACATATGTCAAGTGCTTGTAGTAATCTTTAATTTGCTTTTCACCAAGGCGGTTGAAGGTGACCATGGATCAGTTGGAATGTTGGGCATAAGCAACGTTCAGCCTTTGTTGCTGCTAATCCAATGGCTTCCAGAGATGGAGTTACATGATCTCCAAATCTTAATTTCAAATTTGCTGAAGCGGATTTGCTGTATTAACAGGCAGAGTCGTGCAATTTGTGTCAACACAAACATGGTCATCCGTATCATTGAAACACTCAACAAGCACCCTCAACTCCATGGAGCTTGTGCTGAGAATCTGATTGCCCTCTTGGGTTCTTTGGGGAGCCTGTCAGTGAGCTCTGAAGAACTGCATGAACTGATTCAGCTGCTAAGGACTAAGGACTCAAAGCTGGCTCATCCGTACATTGTTCCTGTGATGCGTGCAATTCTCACAATGGCTCGAAAGCAAAGCTTGGACAACGCCTTGCAGTATTTTGACTTGTCCCATAGCATGGCAGGCATAGCAGTGCCGGCTATTCACAAGTGGCCAGGTTCTGCATTTGCTTTCAATGCATGGCTTTGCCTGGATCAACATCAAATGATTCCAGATGCTAGCAGCAAGGGTGGCAAGAGGAAGCAACTTTACAGGTATGGCTTCCAGGATGGAAAGGTGAAGAATCTGCCTAAGTTCAGTGACATTTCCTGGGTGGCCTAAATGATGAGTATATTTTTTGGTCTTACTAATTTTCTATGTGTATCCTATACTGCATTGTCCTAATCAAATATTATTGTTGTTTGAAACAAAGAAAGCTAGACTTCTTCAAAGGATGTCCCAAATAGCATACTCTGTGATTACCAAAGTTAGGAGTTTCTAATGAATTCTTAATTAGTTTTCTAAGACTCCAAAAGTATAATGGTAATTGCAGTAGGTAATAATAAAAATAATGGCAACTTCAATGTATAAGACCACCTAATAAAAATGACTTGCCCATACAGTGGATTAAAAGCATAATAAAAAACTAAACAATTCTAAATATGGGAATAATAGTGCATTGGGGAAATACACAGAAAAATACAATCCCCCAAAACCATTCAAGTGGAATAAAAACTTGCCCTAGGTAATTAAAAATTAATACAGGAAAATTGGCTAGAAGAAGAAATGGTGTTTTCATTTGTATTTTTTAACAGTTGTACAATAAACAATTGGGGGTGATATTTCTTAGAAAATGTTTCTGAGTTATTTAAACCTAAAGTATATACAAAGATATTATTATATGAGGATATATACAAATAATGTACAGATATACATACTTCTCAGTGGTGCGATTCAAAATTTTTTACTACCGGTTCTGTGGGCATGACCTGGTAGGCGTGACAGGGGAAGGATAATGTAAAATCTTCAGTCAGAGGTGGCATTTGCCAGTTCTCCGAACTACTCAAAATTTCTGCTACCAGTTCTTCAGAACTGGTCAGAACCTGCTAAATACCACCTCTGGTACTTCTACAAAATGTCCTTCTACAAATTGCCAGAGGATATATTTATGTTCAATGGCATATTGTTTATAATACAATGTTTGGAATTTAATGTGGATTACTGGAGATGAGTGCCATTTACTGAAGTAGGATCATAATTTACTATATATTTATGCATTTTAAAGCTGCTTTAAACTCACAGTTTCTATGCCTTAAAATAAAATATTTTATAAAGAGAAATTATAGTGGCACCTAAGGTTGGTACTATGGTTACCTGCAACAAATTTATAGAAACAGACAGGTCACCTTCTGAGGAACTTGGGTGTGCAGCAGGGTAGGATCTCTGATAAACTGTTCCATAGCATAGTATCAGTGATGTGAATAATTGTGACAGCCTCTCCCACCCCTTCACAAAAAAAAGTTAAGTGTGACTATCTGAGAATAAAGATGCCCTATTCTCTAAACCAGGCTTAAAGAACTGTTGATCACTGGGCTTCGGTTTTGGCTATAGGGTACAGAGAACTGTGAGAGGGATGTTCGGAGCTCTCCTTACTTGCCAATTCCATTATTGCTTTGCTAAGTGAGTTATGAATCTACGTATTTGTTTCTGAGTCTATGGGTGAATGCCTTTTCATATTTTGTCTGAGAGCTTGCCTGCTCAAAAATTTAATTCTCGGGTTCAAGAAAGGTTCCACCCCTGATGTGAATTAGTAAGTCTTTCTACTGTACCAAAGATCCAGGATGGGACTGGAAAATATGTGTGTATGCGTACATTAATAGGTTATGTGTGTGTATAGTTCACAACATTCCATGTCTTAAATCCAGTTTTTTCTCTGTAGCTTTTTTACAGCTAGTGGGATGGGATTTGAAGCATTCATTACATGTTCTGGAATGCTAGTAGTTGCTGTATGTACAAAGAAGGAGTATGCTACTGTGATGCTATCAGACCATTGCTTCTATGATTCTCTTTGGGTAAGAGCAGATATTTTGAGTTTTGTTCAGATATATAAGGGGATGGGTTTCGTGCTATTAGCATGCTTTAGACTATTTCTCTAAAGCAAAATGCAGATAGTCATTTTTCCTGCCCTCTTAATTCCTATTTTATCTTTTTCCTATCTTCTCTTCTTCGATCATTGTATTAAGCTTAGAAGTCTTCATTTAAGAATAACTTCCTTTAGCATCCAGACTGTCATACCTTCCCAATTTGGATACAAAAATGGACTATCTGAAATGCAATTGAATGGGACTAGGATTGATTGACTGGTTGATTGTTTAATTACTTTATCAATGGGTCATCTGTCAAAGCAGAGAAGGGTTGCATGCACAGACACAGTGATCCTGACTGTTTTTGCTTATTAAACCAAGATATGATTATCTACGTGCCACAGTTCTTTACAATATTTTCATTGTCTACTCTGCTTATCACAAGTCTAGCCCAAATATTTATAGTACATGATTCATAAATCATTATTCTGACTGGCATTAATCTTGACTTAAATGAGCCTGGGAAACATTTTTTGCAGAACATAGCTTTAATCTGAAATGTGCATTGGTTCTTTGTAGTGGCCCATGTTCATTTAACCTGAGATTATCAATATAAACAACCAGGAGAACAAGATGCTTAAGGGATTTTTTGAAGGGCAAGGATGCGAGATGAGTGCAGTGAGGGTACAGTTACAGAATTCCTGCCCATTTAGCCTAGGAAATGATGCATCTGTAGGAGAGCTCAGAATAAAATCGGGGACTATCTGGGCAGTCTGTATTTTGCCCTTGAGTTTCATGGAATACTCTATGTACCCTCTAAATTTTCTCTCCTGCCAGTTTCAACTTTAGCCATTTTTACCAATTTAAACAACAGTGTTCCCATTGCCAACATTTTTACCTTCCTTCTCCCCCCACTCTCCCAGATCCCATCTTCATAGTTAACCCTGTGATTGGGGTGTTCCCCAACATGCTGGGGATTTGAAAATCAGAGTACTAGCATGATTACTGAATTTCCTTTGTGAAGGTTGGCAGTGACTGAGTAAATATTCCTTGATGTAAAAGAACACCAATTAGCCCCTTGTAACTGTTCCATAGAAATGATGATGATTCTTTGCTTAAATAATTTTTCAACAGCACAATATATGCATTGTTCACATGCCTGGGAAAAGACCCTTTGGTCAAAGTCTTGTCTATATTTATGTAAATGGACAACAGAAAGTCTCGGCACCACTTAGATTTCCTGCCCTGAATGAAGTAAGTCTCTTCTCTGTTATTATTTGTATTTCTCCTTTTTCTTAGAGGCTTTTGCTGAAGTATCACCACCAAAATACATCTATTTGAACTTGCCACATAGGCTTTGTCCAGCTAAAAAAAATGAGCTAATTTGACATGTGCATGTCACCTCACAGTAGGATGACCTCCTACAGAGACATTCCAGAATGATCACCAGTTTCTGTGTGAACTGAACTGGAAAAAGCTCTGTGTGCAAGAATGTCAGCCCTTTGGTATTTCTAGCCTCAGTGAAGGTAGAATCTTAATTTTGAGTTTTCACTGAAATACATATGCTGATTCTCCAAATGTTTATATTCTTTTCAATTTTGTCTACCAGAGAAATATATTTTATAATTTTTTGAAATATATGTTTTATGAAATATTTCATGAACATGGGGCTTTGTATAGCTTTTTCAATAATATACATTTTAATTGGTAATATGTACTGCAAAATTTGGAAAAGTAAATGTCAAATGATAAGTTTTAGTGCTTGTATTGTTCAAAACTCCAAAATCGAGTAAGGTCTCATTCAAAGGTAATTTTTTTCTTTTTCTGGTGAAGTTCTCTGTGTATGTGAATATCCTTGGTAGAAACTCCTACTTTCAGCTATTTTATCATCTGAGAAATGACACAAGACAACAGAACCCAGGAACCTGTTGATCAAAGCCTGTTGGCTAAGGTAGCTTTATTGAAATCCCCTTGATAGCCCTGAATATATAAGCTAAGCTTTTCTTCTTCTTTATTTATATCTTCATATTAGCAGCAAATTTATCCAAGCATCTTTTCTGGACACTGAGTCAAATTTCTTAACATTTTCTCTAGAATTCTTGATAGATATTTATTTGGGGATATACAACTCATGTTTATGTTGGGTAATATTTATCTCCATTATCAGTTCTTCCCTTCTTCTGTGACCTATTTCCATATTAATGACAAACAAACAAAATCTCATTTTCCAAATAAAATGACCCAAAATTTAAATTTAGCAAATATGTCTATAATGTAGTATGGCAGAAAGAAAGCTTGCAAACAAAACAGATGTTTTTAAACACTGCCAGAAGAAAACACATGGGATCAAATAGCTGTTCTGGATTGAAATGAAATATGTTATACTAATGTTTTATAGAAATAACTGGGACAGTTTGTCTATAAGTATAATTAACTATTCTTTGCTTCCCCATCCACTTGATGTACAGTGTTTGCATCAGTTAGGTCCTAAAAAAGAATAAAAGGATAAAGGATAAAAAGTGATGAGACTTTACAATAAATGAGCATATTTATCAGAGAGAAGGTATCATATGTAGGGGAAAATTAATTTCCAAAGCAGTGAAAATATCCATCGATCCATCCATCATATTTATATATATTTATATAGCTCTCACAAAATGTGATTCTGGGTAGCATACAATTTTAAAAAACCATAAAATAAACAAATTAAAAACATTGCACAATTTAAAGACATCAATATTAAGAGACTAAAAGAGAACATATTCAGTATAGTTGACATTGTAGCCACCTCGCCAGTTCACCATTCCCTGAGATTACCAAACCTGTTGACACAACCATGTTTTGAGGGACATCAGAATGGGACAAGTCTCACCTTAGGAGGAATGATATCCCACAGAGTGGGTGCCATGGCCGCAAAGACTGGTGTCTTGGGACCTGCCAGATGGAACTCCTTAACAAACAGGAATTAAAATGTCAAAGATAATTTAAAGAAGCACCTTAAAATTACAGCTAATCAGAGGTAGGGATATTGTGGCTCCTAGAGTCCTTTTTTAAGTACCGGAAACCTTGTTGCCCATATATATGTGTGCTTATACGGACAACCCTTCTGCCAGTGAGGCAAAAAGACGGTGCATACATATGTTATCTTTTTAAAACTCATTCTCTAGATTATATTGGCCACTTTAAATTTGAATGCATCAAATTCTATTTTAATTGTTCATCTCTTTTTTTCCACTGGGGAAAAAATTCTCTAGCCATTTACTTCATGCTGCATTGGTTCAGCTGGTCAGAGAACAACTCTTCCTCCACCATCGCAAATCCCGGACCCACCCTTTTCATCCCCAGTTATACCTCCTCGGACTTCATTTGGGGCGATCCTTGGACCAGGCAGCTGGAGTGGCCTGCTGGGGAAATCAGAACTTATCACCAAGCTGATCTCTGCAGGAACTCAAGATAGTGAGTGGGGTTGCCCCACGTCTCTGGAAGGCCAGCTTGGCTCTGTTATTATATTCCATGAAGCCTTACAACTATCTCACATCAAAGCCTTATATTTGACAGGTGAGCAGTTTTGGTGAGAGATTACTTTTTCCCTGATTTTGTGAGTCAAAAAGTTATTTATATCCTTGTTTCTCTGATCTGACCATTGCTTTTCATAACTATTTCATATACAGTTGGGTTGTTGTTGTTTTGCCTTTTATGAAAAACATAAATTTTGCCTTGATTTTCCCTCCTATGTTGTGTTCTGCTTTCTCACTACTTTACAGACTTAACCACCCACATAATGCAATGTGTATGTTCTAGTGTTCATTTTTAAGATCCTTCTTCAATTTCTTATTAAAAGGGAACCCTGGATAATCCTACCGATCTGTGTCTGACTCACATCTGTGACAATATTGGGCTTAAACATAGTAAAGGCTTGCAGAGAATGTTCATGTCTCTCAGGCTGAAATGTAGAAGCATGTATTTTGGATTGTTGAGCACCATGACTGCAATAATTCTGTTTTATTCCAAAAATAAGTGAAAAGTAGTGATGAACTCCCCCCTGGAGGATGTTTTTAATTTTTTTTGAAGATTAAAATGAGTGGTTGCTAAAATATATTACATGTTGACCAACTGCTGTTCTCTGTTCGGCTGAGAATTATGGGAGTTCAATACAGCTACAAAATTCCAGGTTATGAAATGCTAAATCTAAACATGTAACTTGTTTTTTAAGATAAGCATGTCCTTAGAAAGAAATGAAATTCCCCATTTGGTCAGAAAACAAGTTTGAAATGTTATCTGCAAATAGAGGCATTCACTCACATTTCTATTGCCTCTGTGAATTGGTCTGCTGCTTTTAATGTGGAGAGAGAATTTCAAACTTAATTTATTTTGAAACAAGAGAGAATGTAATTAAAAATTGTGACTACAAACATAAAATTCAATGTCTGTTTTCTGTATGTTGAAGGTCCAAATTGTTTAACTCCTTGGAAGTCCCAAGAATCTGAACTGGCAGATTTGCCTAGCAAAATACTTCTTCACTATGCTCCTAAGGTAGTATTCAACATATTTTTCATCTACCTGGTAAAAGTGATTTAGCATTAGAAGTAGAGAAACTGGAGGAAGGTCATTTAACCTCCAGCTATTTACCATGCTAAAAAAGCAAAAAGTCCTCTCCTCTGAATAGAATGCTAGTTGCTAAAGAATGAATGAAGGTCTAAAGCAATTCTTTCCTATTTTGTGGCATTTTAAATATGTTCAAATTTTCAAATACTTTCAAATACTTAAAATTTTAAGCCTATCCATCTGCTACAAAAATATTGTGAAAAGCTTCATGCAGATCATCTACTGCAGTATATTTTTCAGACCTGTTGCTTTTAAATATAATACATACAATGAAGACTGCCTTTTAAGCATAAAAAACAAAGGCATTCTTCAAAAGGAGTAGTAGATGGTGGAAATGGGGTGGAGATTGCTTAACAATGTTTTCTAGCAGATTTGAAGCCAGTCAATCAGTCTGGCATTGAATGTAACTAGGGCATGAATCTGTACTCCCTCTTTACTGGGATAAGTATTTACATAGCAACCACAGGTATGTAACTGTCTGGCAAGTGTATAGTTGTTGAATTAAGAGCAAAACTGTTTCTTTCCTTCTTCCACCTAAAACATGACTTTCTTTCCCACCTAAAACAAACCATAAAGTAACAATCTTAACAATACCCACAATTAAACAACAATATCATTATTCAAAGATTATAAAAGAGCATATTTAGTATTGCAGACAGAGTATTTACCTCATCAGTTCACTGTTCCTTGAGATCCCCAACCTTGTCCACAACATCCACTTTTTGAGAAAAGGCTACAAAGGTTGGGATCAGTCTCACTTGAAAAAAATTGTTCCACAGGGCAGGTGCCGTGGCAGATAAGGCCCATCTTCCTGCCCTCACCAGATGGAACTTTTTAATAGATGGGAACTGCAACATTTATCTGCATACCTAATGGGACAGGCAGATAAAATCAGAAAGAATAACCCATGATTATGGTAGCACATAATAAGTATTGCTGATTCATGAAGTTTTTATTAGGTTTTACATTTTTTATTGGGTTTCACATAAAAAAGTGTTCAAAAGATAACCTCTAGTTTGCCTTTGTGTTATAGCCCATTTTTTCTTTTTCATTTGATTAGGCCTGCAGAAGCCCTATCTGTCTTGACCTTTCTGCAAATCTTTTACATGGGAGGTTAACAGGGATCAAAATAGTAAACTGGGACATCAAGGTGAGCATTTTCAGTGATCTAATGTTAATGCTGTAATGCTTTATATGACTTGGATGATAGCAATGTCATGAGAAATTTCCATATCATATAGTAACAATGCATGGCATCATGAATTGATTTCCCATTCCATTTTTAATTTGGGGGTGAGGGGAACTATATAGATATAAAAGGGTTGAACATGACAAAAGCTAAATACAAAGCTGCAATCTTTCAAAATGATGTCATGGGGGTAGATTTCCGCTTAATAGTGATAGTTCCAGATGATAAAAGAAGTTCCTTCTGCAGACAGATGGACTTTAGATTAATCTCTGTGGTTTTATAGAACGTCAGTCATAGCTAATATCTTTGGCTAAACCACTAAAAAGTGAGTGTAGACCCCCTTTGTACAGAATTGGGCTCTTTGTTTGCATATCTTGGAAAAAATTTGGATCTTTTTAGCTGATACCTGAAATTAGCTAACTGTTCCTCTGAGAAGTTAAGCTGAATGCAGCAGCTCATTATTGATTGATTAACCTGGAACGATTTGTAGTCTTTTGTGGATCTTTATTTTCTCCTATGAAAATGCATTAAAAGATGTATTTATCTGCATGCATTGATTTCTTTCCTGAAAATTTGGCTCATTTTTTCCCCTAAATTCCAAACTTCTCTAGTAGTACTACAGATATTCCCAACATGTCAATTGCTCTGTGCTGTTCTAATATTTTTATGTGACATGTGTTTAAAAAGTTTTTCCTGCTGTTGGTTTCAGATTGGTGATTATTCCTTCTCCCATTTGTTTCCCTCACCCTGTTGTATTTCTAAAGGATATGATTAACTGCATAGGTGGATTAAATGTTCTGTTCCCACTGTTGGAGCATATCAGTTACCTTGATGGGCAGTTGCCTGAGAGGCCAGAGGTAGAAACTCTGCCCCATGAATTGTTGACACCTGTTGAAGGAGATTGGGTTGTATTAACATCCACCAAGGCTTCAGGTAAGGACATAATTAGCTTTTTCCGTTATTGCAAAGGGAGCAGTGGACCAAATAGAGATGCATTCCCTGCTTTTAATATCTTTTTTCATTATGTGATAGTTCTACTTTTTTGCCCTTGAACTAAAGTCTGCATTCCATTTTTACAGAGGCTCGTTTGGAGAAGAATATAATTGCAACCTTCATCTTGATGATAAAGCATTTTATTCAAAGGCATCCAGTCAACCAAGATAATCTTATTCACACTCATGGAATTGCAACATTAGGAGTCCTTTTGCAAAAGGTATCCAAAGCTACAAAATATTTTGGATATTGTATATTGTGAGCTTTTGTTTGAATATCGAACTGAATTTTGTATCTGTGAGATTGGAAAATAATAATTGCTTTAAATTACCATTTTTTGGCAAATTTTGATGTGAAGTTTGGAATACTTTTAGAGGCTCATCTTCCTAAGCTTCATCTCCCTAAAATGCAAGCCTTTTGTTTTAGGAATAACAAAAATGCTCAGAGAAAAAAGGCAATGAAGTATTTTGTTTCAGGCTATATTGGATGGATCTTCCAAATATCGTATTTGGATAATTTGCCTATTCTTCATTGTGTTACAAATAAATCTACAGAACATACATAGTTTTGGGCTGCTTTTTGTTCTCCAGTCAGGATGATAATCTCTTTTTGTTTACTTTACTCTCACTCAGTTTGTGCATAATATTGTTAGACTGATGCTTGAAGGCCAGCGGGGGAAGGTGGATGGTTGTCAGGAAGAGCATTTCTTCCTTTGCTGGGGGAGGACAACTACTACAAATATTTCTGCTGAAAACTTGGCAGACTTTTCTCACTAATGAACAAGCAAACAATAAAAAAGTGACTTTAAAAAAATATTTGACAACAACCTACTGTTTGAAATATAGAAATCACTCTGTTTTTTTTTCTTAATAAACAATATAGCCCCTCCTTTTTTTAGGTGCCCAGCAGATTCATGGATGTGAATGTACTAATGGCAGTCCAGTTATTGATAGAACAGGTCTCTGTGGAAAAAAACGTACAGCTTTTGCAGCAAATGCATCAGCACCTACTTTTTGACTTTAGCATATGGAACCGTGGGGACTTCCCATTCCGAATTGGTGAGCTTGTTACTGTTGTAACAGTTATGATTTTACTTAATGTTATAACCTGTTTATTGATTATATAAGCACTCAAGGAAACACAACAATAACATCGTACAATGGCATGCATGCTACACAGAGCCATTTGTGCTGACATGCGAGCCACAGGCAAACTTATCTTACTGTGCATGCGCGTGTTTCCCAGCTGATTTTTGGCCGGTTTGAGGCCTTTTTCGGCCTCCCCAGCTTGAGGAAAGCCTCTGCAGCCTAAAAAATAGGCCCATTCTGCAAGTGACGGAACGGGCCTATTTTTCAGGCTGCAGAGGCTTCCCTCAAGCCTGGGAGGCTGAAAAAGGCCTCAAACCAGCTGAAAATCAGCTGGGAGGCACAGTGCAGGTAAGGGGGTGGTGGTGGGGCGATTGCGTGCGCATGCACAGGGGGGATGGTAGGGGATGCATTGCCTTCTGGGGACTGGCATGTGAGCAAGTGAGTGCAAGCGCGCGCACAATTTTTGGCACAGGAGCATAAAAAGGTTAGCCACCACTGGAATAGAAGGTTTGGCTGAGGTCAGTTGGGATAAATACAATCCTGGTACTCTTTATCAATATGGGCTGTAGATAGATCACATACAGGTAGTTCTTGATTTAACAACCACATTTGGGATTAGAACTTGGGTTGCTAAGCAATGTGTTTATATCTGAGTCATGCCCAATTTTATGTCCTTCTTTTGCTACAGTCATTAAGCAAATTTCTGTGGTTCTTAAGCAAATGGTTGTGAAGCAACTCCAGCTACCTTCATTGACTTTGCTTGTTGGAAGTCCCCTGGGGAGGTCACAAATGGTGATTATGTGACCCTGAAGTGCTGCAACTGTTGCAAATACATGTTGGTTGCCAAGTGCCCAAATTTTAGTCACATGACCGTGGGGGCATTTTGATTATCATAAGTGTGAGGACTGGTCATATGTTGCTTTTTTAGCACATTATAACTGTGCATGGTTGTTAAACAAGCAGTCCTAAATTAAGATAGTCCTATCTGTGTCTAATCAGTGATCCATACAATTTACAGGTGTAGCTCTATTCTAATAAGGACTTCTGATTTCTTTTTTAGGTCATATCCAATACCTTTCCACAATTATCAAAGATAGCAGAAGGCTCTTCCGGAAAAAATATGGTGTGCAGTTTTTGTTGGATACTTTGAGAATTTATTATGGGTATGGAATCTTGTATTCCTTTTTTGACTTGGGCTTTGCTTTTCAAAGTCCAGCTCTTTATTTTACATGCTGAAAACTCTGAATTTTTGAAAAATACCATTGCTGCTATAATAGTTGCATATTATGAGCAGTAGCTATTTTTGCATCCTTGCAAGAAACACTGTCAATTATATCTATGAGACTTTTCCAAAGAAAATTGCAAAGGGTGCTTGTACTCTTTTAGGGAGGAGTCTAATTTTTTTCTATTTCCTTATTATCAGTGTCATAATGGATGTAAAATATGATTTTATATGGGGGACATGCACGTATACCAATTCCAAATTGTCTAAGGGTGTATCCAGTTAAGTGTCCAGAATTTCTTGCTTCTGTTTAAAATTGAAATTCTAATATAAATAGAGTTGAAAATAGTAGTTGATGCTTGCTGCTCTCATCTGGGAACTGCAGCTGGCAAGTGTCTGTAACATTACAGCAGTTGCCTTCTTCTATCAGTTGTAATTGGATATAGGATGGATGTACTGGAATGTCCTATATTGAATTCACACATTGCACTAAGCTGATTTACTTCATTGTGGTTTTAACTGTAGTTTATTGAATAAACCACAGTTATAGGTTCAATTGCATAAACCATGGCTTAAAAACACCTTACAAGGTACACACAGCATACTAGGCTGAAACTATGCAAACTGCATTGTAGCTTAACCCTTATGAATGCTCCCACCCCCACACAACTGATTGTATATCCTGGCATATGTTAAATCTTGTCATGTGTCCCAAACAATGCCCAGTTATGAAAACATTGACATCTAGCATTTCTTCAAGGAGCAATAAACCTGTGAGGTAGGTGCAGCCAGGGCAGCACTGGCCTAAATTCTTCCAGCAAGTTCATGGCTTAGTATGAACCAGTTTACATAAACTTTCATAATAATCATTTCTTGGAAGAATATCCCATTTAGGAATTTTTGTTTCGTTAAATTTTATTTTATTTTGAAAATAAAACAAACAACCTCCCTTCAAATGCTGACAATAAACAAATGTTCAGTGTAAAATCATACTATAGCATTCATATTAAAAATATGTTTAAATCGAAAAAGTAAAATACATTTAAGCAAGGGCTTTATAAAAGATTACTTTTCCCCATTTATTTTTTTTAATGTCTTTTAAAACTCTTACATTCGAAATCCATGTATTTATTCATTTTGCTGTCAGACTGGAAACCGATCTTGAAATTCTGCCCTGACGACATCAGTGTAACAGACACAGGTACTTAAGGAACAAGAGAGAATGTCTTGTGAAAAGTACATTACAACTGATTATTATGTTTTAATTAGCAATTCTTGTTTCTGTTAGAAACCACTCCAGGGACAGTGACTTGCTTCCAGATGATCTTAGGACAATCAGGACATCTCTGTATGGTCTAATCAAATACTTCTTGACCAAAGGTGGGACACACATGGAAGTCCAGAGTGTCATGGGATACATAGCAGCCACAGGTGATGAGGAGCAGGTAATTTACTATGTCTGTGCTCTTCACCTCTTCTTCCCTCTTTTGCTATAATTGTCCATAACAATGGAAAAAGCCACCACCATCGATAAAACAGATGTAACAAATAAGGATACAAGCAACAAAGTTACAATCATATAGTCACAAGTGGGAGCGGATGGTAGGAGTGATGAGAAGATTAATAGTAATAGTAATGCAGACTTAGTAAATAGTTGGGCAGTGTTGAGGGAATTACTTGTTCAGCAGAGTGATGGCATTCAGGAAAAAAATGTCCTTGTGTCTAGTTGTTCTGGTGTGCAGTGCTCTATAGCGTCGTTTTGAGGGTAGGAGCTGAAACAGTTTATGTCTGGGATGTGAGGGGGTCTGTAAATATTTTCACAGCCCTCTTTTTGACTTGTGCAGTATACAGGTCCTCAATGGAAGGCAGGTAATTTACTATGTCTGTGCTCTTCACCTCTTCTTCCGTCTTTTGCTATAATTGTCCATAACAATGGAAGGAGCCAGTACCATCGATAAAACAGATGTAGCAAATAAGGGGATAGCCAGAAGGAAGGAAGGTGTTGTGGTTAGCCGGCAGCAGGTGCGGACAGTGGAGGAGAACGAGGAATTAGATGAGGGGCCAGGACTATTAAGGAGTAGACTGCTGCTTTCAGAGATTGTGGGGGCTGGCAGCAGTGATGAGGAGGTTCCCGAGGAGCCTGTGCCAAGTGCGTGTGCACGCAGGATTGATTGTAGGAGAGAGCAGTTACAGAAGCACAGGTAACTTGGGAGTAAGGCTGCAAAGTAATGGCCCCTCCCTCAAGAGGATAAAAGCCAGGTTTGAATAAGCGTTCTTTGCAGAAGGCAAAGATGCTCTGAAGCTCAGCCTCATGGACATCATAGTTAGTATTTGCAAACTCTTGTAAACTAGTTCGTATCTCTGGGTTTTTGGCAGCCTTGATAAACAACTTGGCAAGGCTCTTTCTTGTTGGAACTAATTAATTGGAAGCAGCCTTTTATCTGTGAAGAAACAGAATTCGCAGATTAAACTTTAAAAAGTGGGGGCTGCTGCCTTTGTCTTGTGTTTGCTCTCTTGGAACCAGGTTGGTTCAGAACGGAAGGAAGGAAGGAAGGAAGGAAGGAAGGAAGGAAGGAAGGATAGTAGAGCGTTTGAAACAAGAAGGAACATAGCACACCTCTAGTGATTATTGAAGATTCAGGTAAAGATGGGGGCCAATTGGTCAGCACAGACTTTTAAGCAAGAGGGAATTATCTTGTCTGGGCCTCGTGCTTTTCCTGGCTTTTATCTGTAAAATAGACCTTGCACTTCTTTTTCTGTGATCACCAAGGCTTGTGAACCCAGTGGGTTGGGATCAGTTGTGGAAGGTTTGGCTGTTGGTGTGTCTGAGATGGGGGTTGTGGAGATAGGTGGCTGTAGTTTGCTTTCAAACCTACAGTAAAACATATTCAGATCATCTGCCAGTTGTTGATTTTCTTCAGCCTGGGAAGGAGGTTTGCCATAGCAGGTGATATTTTTAGGAGTTTTCCATATGTTTGTTGGTTCATTTGTTGAGAACTGATTACTTAGAGTAGCTTCTTTTTGCTGCTCTGATCTCCCTTGTTAATACATTTCTGGCCTGATTGTACAACATTCTATCACCTTTTGTGTAGGCTTCCTCTTTGGAGTGACATAGTTGCTTAAGTTTAGCTTTGAACCAAGGTTTATTGTTAGTGTATATTCGCAAGTTCGTGGTTGGTACACATAGGTCTTCACAGAAGCTGGCTTTTGATGTTACAGTCATTGAAGGCACATGTATTTCAGAGCAACCAAGCTCCCTCAATTTCCTCTCTCCATTGCATAGGGATTTCTTTTCATTAACCACATAACATGATGAGAGTGCAGTGTTTGCACAGATTTGTCTGGTATGCCAATTGTACCTCTTCCTGGACAAGGAGGCCTTGATCACAACCACTCATGCCTTGGTCATTTCCCATTTGCATTTATTTATTTGTCAAATTTTGGAACCATCGATCGCATGACTCAAGTGACTCTGTGCTGTCTGTGAGTCTGCCCTTGAAAACCACCTGGAAGCTATAACTTTCAGTGGGGTACACAATGCAGTGGGGTGTATAATGATGGGTGCCCCTAGGTTTACCCAGGTTCCATGTCTGTTGCATGAGCTGCACTGGTTTCTGGGAACTTTCAGGAGGACTGTTTTTCACCTTCTCAAAGAGCCTCTGCACAGACCCTGTACTTACCTGCATTCAAAATGGGCTGTGTGGAGACTCCTGGGAGGGGTGGAGCGGCGTGGGCGGGGCCAACCAGTTGGTTCAACTGCTGGTTTGGTGAACCAGACATAAATTTAACATTTGCCTGAACCGGCTGAATCCCACCCCTGGTCAAATATCAGAAACTCTCAGCAAAAATGTTGAAATCTGTCCTGTATCAACATCCACGATAGATTTCATGAAAACTGGATATACTCAGTTTTCTGGGTGTATTATAGTCATTTTCTTGAAAGTTGTGTAATGTGTTTATTTTGTGGAAATCAAATAAGATTTCAGTAGCCCATTTTTTATATGCCAGGTGGTTGGTAGAAACTTGCAATAATAAGTTGGTTTGTGTATTTGTTTGTGTGTGTGCGCATATGTATGTCCCCTTTTCTCCAACTCTTTCTTGTATGCTGCAATTTTTAATCTGTAAGCCTAAGGAGAGGTCTTTTTTTTAATTGATTGGTTGATTTAAAAGCTGCTCTGATAAACCTTTCCAGATAATAATGTAATAGATTAGAACAGAATAAAAATGTTCATGGAAAACATTGTTGGGAAGGCTATGTGAGGTTCCCCAAATGTTTAACCATCATTTTTTCATTGTGCTTTTTAAAAATTATTTGAACAGCCATGTATTTCTCTACCTCCTGTTCTTACAGATCTCTTTATCTCTGCTATAAGTATCTATATAGTTGAGGTTCAAAGTTCAGCTACATTCTTAATAAGCTGAAAAAAATGACCTGTGTCTGAATAATTGGGGCAACTCTTACAGTAACAGGTGTTGCTTCTGTTTGCATTTTTAAACATACCTATATTTCAGATAAGCCACTGGTGACTAATGTTTTTTTTAATGATATTGAATGTCAAGAATGACTTGCATTCTAATCATCTGTGTGTGCCTTTTTTCTTTTTTCCCCCCCAAGCTCTTTGGGATTCTGGATATGCTCTTCAGCCTGCTTAACACCTGCCCAACCCGAGATCAGCTTTTCTTATTGCTTTTTGAACCAGGAAATGCAGACATCCTTTATGCTCTTCTACTGAATCAGAGGTATTCTGATAGACTACAAGAACTTGTGTTCAAGGTAATTTTGTTTTACATCTCTCCTAAAGTGATTGATGGTATTAGCAAGGTTGTGCATTTTTATATGAAGCATGGATTTTTTGGAAGAAGAAACAAGGCATAACTCCTCTTTCAAATTAGCTTGTATTAAGTTTAGGGAATTGACAAATACTTTTTCTTCTGGGAGATATTTAGAAGTATAGAGTATAGAGAGATGCCAATATATCTTAAGTAGCTGAGATCCATGAGGTCAGGAAAGAAAGCTTAATCTGACTTCCTTATGAGATTTGTGTTTCTTCATCTCACTTTCTGGCAAAATCACACACAAATCTAGTTCAGCTTTGTAATTTGCAAATTCCTTTTCCTATGTAGACACCATTTGTCATAATGATGGGCATCTTTTGGGCTATAACTATGGAAACTATTATTTTGTGCTGTGTGATGTAACTTCCAGAAATCAACAGGCAAATAATAATAAAAAATTAAAGAACAGAGTTGTTTTTTCTATGAAAAGTCTATTTGAATTCTGCTTTTCCACTGAGGTCCTGTTTGCAGAATTTTCAGTTTGTCCCTGGCTGAGAAGTTCATGTTTTTTGTGCGTATGTGTTGCAGATTGCAGAGCAAATGCTTAAATGCACTAAAGTTTATGAACGGAGCAAACAACGTATGAAACTCAGAGAAGTTGGCTATTCTGGATTGGGTCTGCTCCTGAATGAATCTCCACTTAGCACTTCTCTTATGAAGAACCTTTTCAACCAAGTTCTGCATGCTGGTACTCAAGTGTTTATTAGCTTTTCCACACAGCATATGTCCAGCATAACATGCTGTAAAATGTGCAAATAGCAGAAATATGGCTAACTAGCAAAATAGCAAACATATATTGATAGCCATATTTTTGTGCTTTTATGGCATTTTGATAGAAATGAATTTCTTTATTGTTGTAATAAGTTTCTGTACTCTACAGATCCATATGTGAATTGCAAGGACTTTTTAGCTGTGGTGCACTTGGCTCATCGAGCAGATCTAAACGTAAGAGTGGCTGCCTGTCGAAAGGTTAGTGTCTTTGTGGGGAGGGCACATTAATATTAAATAGTGGTCAGCCTATTAATAGTCTGGAAAATAATTGTGGATGTTAGGATTTCTTAAATACTTGGTGAACTCTTCAGACCATTGCTCTTATAGAGGTAGCTGCAGAGGATAAGATGCAAGTGTATAATTTCTCTTTAATAATATGTCTATCTTCAATAATATTCCTGCTGATAGTGCACCCTGAGAGAAATTGGCATCTAATGGTTAGTGAGACAGCTAGTACCACCAAAGTCAGAAGACAATCTGCAAACCTATTATCAGAACATGGGATAGATGGAAACTCTTCTTCCTGTCCAGAATCAGGCCAGGCCTTGGCAATCACTGGCTTTCTTTCTTAACAGTTTTCATAGTTCTTGCAGTAAGATCTGCACTTTTTGAATGCTAATCCTACCTTTATACTTTATCTGAAGAGAGGGAGATGGCTTTGAGGAAATAGGTAAGAACCATTGTTATTTAAACAAAGAGAGCTGAAAAAGTCCTTAAATCCTGGGAAACAAGCTAATATTGAGGCAGACTGGTTCAGACTGAATCTCTGATTCACTAGGATATAAGAGGGATGGTAGGAAAAGTGTTACCAGAGCTTCTGTCAATAAAATAGTTCTCCTGTGCAGTTGGTTTTTCCATAGGGCTGACAATATATGGTTCTCTTCATCTATTTTTCAGAGCACAATAAAGATAGTCTAAGATGAGCATTTTTCAGTAGTGCTCTGTGGGTTATATATCTTTGGCATTCAGTGCTTTCATTTTTATGATGTCTGTGTATCCAGTATAGAGTAATATATACTGAAATTAAATTTACTACTTTTGAAAAGACAAATGTGGGCAGTGTTTAGGACTTAAATAATTATGGGATATATCCTATAATTGGACCTCTTCTTCATGCTTCTCTGACCTAAGCACCAGACCGTTCCCCTAATCATTTGTCTAAGGACATATCCTCATAAAGCAACCTCCATCTCAGTCTTATGTCAGCATTCTGATTCAGCTGGAGAAGGAGGATGGTAACTTTAATTATCCTGCTGCAGGACCTCACCCTCCCATCTGGCCATGGGACTCTGTGCTTCCAGGGGCATTTCTGCTTTGGTTGCTGGAGAAAAAGCCATACTAGCAACCAGAGTCTGTCCTTCCTCTATTCTTCCCTCCCTCCCTCCCTCTCTCCTTCCCCCCTCTCTCTCAGGGAAGAATAGCAACTTAGTGGAAAACATACTATGATTTTGCTCTTCCTACTAGTAGCATTTGCTTCTCCCTTCACCCTCACCAGGAAATCCCAGATGCTAGCTTTCATCTTCCTTTTATTGTGCTTTTCTTAATTTCTGGAGTTATTTTTCTTAAGAAGCTATAGAAAGCATGCTTCTGGGAATATGGGAGAAAGTTCTGTAAAGAGCCCTAGCCAAACTGATATAAAGTTAATAACAATCCATGCCCTATTCATCTAAATGGGACTTTTCTAAAGATGGTTGTATTTAGCTTAGTACTTGCAATGTAAATTACATGTTCATTTAACACTTCTCTGGCTATTGTTAGTATTAGTTTATAAGCCTTTAACAGAAAGAATAATAAGTAGGTTATAAGAAACTGAGAAAGTTATTTTATTGTATTTCATTCAGGAAACAAAAATAAATCTAAAGCACACAAAACTTTTACAATGTATTGCCTTTGAATCTATGTTTTTGGTAGCTTTTGCAAATCCTACATTCCCAACAAGATTCAGCGCAACAGATTTCTCAGCAACTTGGGTGGCAGGAGACGCTGACTCGACTGTTCCTGAAAGAGCATGCTGATGTCAGGAATGGTGTGAGGGACACTAAAAGCGACTCTACTAAAGGAGATGATAAGCGTGCTTCTGCCAAAGACCATCAGCAGGGTCGTACTTCCAAGGCTGATGGGGAAGATGGTGCTAGTTTTGCATCTGTCAATGGTTCTTGTGATCAGTGGAGTTTAGAAGATGGCAAATCTGTGACAGTGATGGAAGATACATCTGTGAGGGAGATGCCCTTTAGGCCTGAGGACCAGGAAGACTTGTGGCAGAAGAATCTACATTTAAGCTTAGACCTTTCAAGTGTTGACTCTTATGAATTGGGTGACAGTGGGAGCCAGATGGCTGATAGTCTGCCCAGCACCCCTTCTCCCATAGAGAATACAAAGACATTTTCTGGACAGCTTGACAAGGAACCAAATGCTGCAGAGGACCTGGTATTTGCTGCTGATCTTTCCTTATTTGAAATTCATGAGGTACATAGCTAAAAGATACCCTTGCTGGTTTGTACTGATTTTTTTAAAAAAATAACATGAATCAGTAAGAATTTAGTGAGATATCCCCAGTGTACATAAATACAAAATTGATGCTCCTGCTTCTTTCCCAAGCCTGGTTGTTATCTCCATCTGGATTGCTTGAGATTGTAAGCAGACAATTGTTAGCCAGTTTCCAGATGTGCATCTCTTGGAAGAGCCATACAGTACATCCTCTTTCCTCCTGATACTTCAGAAATGCTTTGGTTGGAGCACTATGGTTTTTAATTTTAATTATATTTGATTTATAGTTGCCATCTAAGGTTACTTTGTATAAGATGGGTGACATATACATTTTTCAACAAATCATTATGAATGATTGAATGAATAAGTGAGTGAATGAATGAAAGAAATTGAATGAATGAGATGCATCTTAGAACTGTCCATGCAAATTGCTCTGGGTTATTTATTTTCTTATTTTAAATTTCTTGCACTTTTGCACCTATTTTTAGGCCACCTCTTTCAATATGTTTCCTTTTCTGTCTTTTAAAAAACAGTGTAAGATATGATTGTATAGTTTTCTGGAGCTCATCAGTCAAAAAAGCTGCCTATTTTCATTTTAGAATCTGTAATATTAGCAGTTTTTAATACACTGCTCAAAAAAATAAAGGGAATACTTAAACAACACAATGTAACTCCAAGTCAATCACACTTCTGTGAAATCAAACTGTCCACTTAGGTAGCAACACTGATTGACAATCAATTTCACATGCTGTTGTGCAAATGGAATAGACAACAAGTGGAAAGCATAGGCAGTTAGCAAGACATCCCCAATAAAGGAGTGGTTCTGCAGGTGGTGACCACAGACCACTTCTCAGTTCCTATGCTTTCTGGCTGATGGTTTGGTCACTTTTGAATGCTGGCAGTGCTTTCACTCTAGTGGTAGCATGAGAGGGAGTCTACAACCCACATAAGTGGCTCAGCTACTGCAGCTCATCCAGGACGGCACATCAATGCGAGCTGTGGCAAGGATTTTTGCTGTGTCTGTCAGCGTAGTGTCCAGAGCATGGAGGCACTACCAGGAGACAGGCCAGTATATCAGGAGACGTGGAGGAGACTGTAGGAGGGCAACAACTCAGCATCAGGACTGCTATCTCCGCCTTTGTGCAAGGAGGGACAGGAGGAGTACTGCCAGAGCCCTGCAAAATGACCTCTAGCGGGCCACAAATGTGCATGTGGCTGCTCAAACAGTCAGAAACAGATTCCATGAAGGTGGTATGAGGGCCCGACGTCCACAGGTGGGGGTTGTGCTTACAGCCCAACACCATGCAGGACGTTTGGCATTTGCCAGAGAACACCAAGATTGGCAAATTCGCCACTGGCGCCCTGTGCTCTTCACAGATGAAAGCAGATTCACACTGAGCACATGTGACAGACGTGACAGGGTCTGGAGACGCCGTGGAGAACGTTCTGCTGCCTGCAACATCCTCCAGCATGACTGGTTTGGCAGTGGGTCAGTAATGGTGTGGGGTGGCATTTCTTTAGGGGGCCGCACAGCCCTGCATGTGCTCACCAGAGGTAGCCTGACTGCCATTAGGTACCAAGATGAGATCCTCAGACCCCTTGTGAGACCATATGCTGGTGTGGTTGGCCCTGGGTTCCTCCTAATGCACGACAATGCTAGACCTCATGTGGCTAGAGTGTGTCAGCAGTTCCTGCAAGATGAAGGCATTGATGCTATGGACTGGCCCGCCCGTTCCCCAGACCTGAATCCAATTGAGCACATCTGGGATATCATGTCTCGCTCCATCCACCAACGTCACATTGCACCACAGACTGTCCAGGAGTTGGGGGATGCTTTAGTCCAGGTGTGGGAGGAGATCCCTCAGGAGATCATCCGCCACCTCATCAGGAGCATGCCCAGGTGTTGTAGGGAGGCCATACAAGCACGTGGATGCCCCCCCCACAGTACTGAGCCTAATTGTGACTTGTTTGAAGGACATTACATCAAGGTTGGATCAGCCTGTCGTGTTTTTTTCCACTTTAATTTTGAGTGTAACTCCAAATCCAGACCTCCATGGGTTGCTCAATTTGATTTCCATTGATAATTTTTGTGTGTTTTTGTTGTCAGCACATTCAACTATGTAATGAACAAAGTATTTAATAAGAATATTTCATTCATTCAGATCTAGGATGTCTTATTTTTGTGTTCCCTTTATTTTTTTGAGCAGTGTATAAGCTGTGAATCTTTGTTATGAAGTGGAATTGATCTGCTCTTTCTAAGTAAAATTAATAAGATGCTTTACAAAACTACTGTGATCTTTTAAAATGTATGTCTGCTTTTACTAGGCATGCAAAGAAGATCTCCTTCAGCTTCTGACAGATATTTTGCTTTGTGTGATGTGGAAAGGCATTGAGAGATCAGATGATGCAGCTTGGATTGAGAAGGGTCAGGTTTTTTCTGCACTTACCAAATTGGGCATCTCTAATGAATTACTACTACCATCAGATGAGATTAAACTCAAGTAGGTCAAATTATTACTTTTTTAAAATTTGGGGTTTTTTTGAAAGAAAAAAAGTGATAATGGAAAGCAGAAAAGAAAAATGATGACCTGAAGTTAATTAATTTGATCTGAATTAACAGTATAAACACCACATAAGTTATTTTTAAAGAGAAGGAAGAGGGTGCTTAAAAATTCGTCTATATTGCTCAAAAGTATCTTTCTTGTCTTTTTTTAATTGAGTCTGTCCTTACAGTATTCAATAATGTAAATGGGACATTTCACAAATCAGTTGTAGCTTTATTTCCAATGTATTATAATTTTTATGGTTATCCCCATGTGCAAAATGATAAGGCAATGGTATGACAAGACAGACCATGTGAATTAATGGTTCAGTTCTTGAATTGTATCAACAAGCAGAGATTTGTAACAAACCATATTGGATAGTATTATTTGTCAGATACTGAGTGGTATATAATTAACCCACTGCCCCACTGTTTGTGGGTAGCATGATGTTTATTCAACTTCAAATGCCATTTTGAGCCCTGAGTCCTACAAGATGGTCAAATATTCAGAGATTGAATGTCCAAAAGAGGGCCTCCTTTGTGAGAAGGGTCCAATGTATGTATGCAAAATAATTTTATGTATACTAACAGCAGAAACTAGCTTCCTTTGTTTTCACAAATCAGACATTCTAGATCCAGAAACTGGGTAAATAGTGAATATTTATTTTATTTGCTTCCTTCTATTTCCTGTTTAAAGTTATGCTAACACAAAAGCTTCTTTAATTCCTGTGTTATATTTAACAAATACAGAATTTCAGACATGGCAATAATATCAGGACCAAAATGTCCAAATAGGTGTTTATATAACTTAAAGATCAGACTACCAGTAAGCATTTTGAGATATTCAAACTCAGTTTACAGTTCTACAAAAGTTTAAAAAGCTAGGTTGGTTCCACCCCCTTTCTGATTTAACATCAGGAATAGATGTTTGGATCTGATAAAGGGTTTCAGAGCAGTTACGAACATACATTCCAGTTATGTCTGCTAGACCTTCTCTCCTTAAAGGAGCTACACATTTTTCTTCTATTCCCCAGAAAATATGCATTTGAGCTAAGGAGGCGCTGACAGGAGAGGAGATGCAGCTTCTGTAAATGGAGGTTCCTTTTGCTGAAGCTAATTTCCTCTGACAGCCCATGCCAGTTCTTCCCATTTGGAGAATCACCATAATGTGATGATTCACTTTTTGGGGTATGCAAGGCTAAAATGGAATGGGTAAAAAAAATCTATGTATTAATTTTTGTATTAAATTTATTTGTCGTCCATCTTGCTGTGTGGCTACTCTGAGCAGCTTACAACAATAGAATAAAAATTATAAAACATGCAAATATAACAGTAAAATATAATGAAAGTTCAGCAATATGAATTAAAAGATGGTAGGGAAGGGAGTTGGCGGCATGGGGTGAGGTGCAGATTGCTATTTGTCTAATAGCCACCTCCGGTGCAGTATTCCCATATTGGCTCACAAGGGCAACAGGCAGAACCAGGTGTTTCAGGCTTGTATAAAAAGACAGGAGGGTACGGGCTTTTTGGCTTGACAAAAGCAGCCCCTTAAAACAATGGGACTGTCTCATGTGAACTCTTCTGTTTGACAACCAGAGTGATTGATTTGAACATTAAAGTAGAACATAACTTTGTATAACACCTGAGAACATAACTAGACTATTTCACAGAATATAATTTCTTGGTTGCAGTGGCAAAAGCTAAATAATAGCAACACTGAGTTTAGCTGTTTTCCTGCTGCCTTTCCATCAGTAACTAAAATTCACAAAAGTTGTTCATTTTGTGCCACCTCTTTCTCTTAACTTAGTTTGTTAGAGAAGATGCTGGAGTGGGCAGTCACTGACACAAGAGAAGCCAAATCCCCCCCAGTGTACACAGAAAAAGCTTTCCGACTCTTGTTCATTGTTCAGGATTTCCTGCAAGCAGAAGGTCTCGTGAATTCAAGACTCTGGACAGAAAAGGTCAGTATGAAACTATGTAGGAAAAGCTTTGGAAAGATGCCAATTATCAGGTGCAATTGCTTACATTTTCATCTTCTTTGAAAATACAAGATACTGATTTAAAAGGCTACATTTAAATGATTTAAATTTAAATTACATTTACATGGATTTGCCCTCAAATATAGTTGGAGTATTTGGTAAATTCTCTAAGAATAATTTTTCCAAATTTAATTTTTAAGTGTAAGTTTTAAAAACTTTAGTCAATAAATACATTTTAAAGTTTCATCAAAGATTCTGTGAGGAAGAAATTATACAGTGATAACAAATGTTGCTGTTTGGCAATTTCTATTCTCTGCTTGTCATTTATCTTCCACTTACAAAGCTTCTGTGAAATGAACAGTTGAATTGCTTCATCAATATATTTTTCCCAGCTTTTCCCCTCCCTCCTTTTAGGTGACAGTGTTGTCCATAAGTAGACCTGACAATACCAATTATGATCTGTTGGTACAGGTCAGTCTTGATTTATTCAGACAAATCCATGCAGCTTTCTTGGCAATATTTTTGGAAATGATTTATCGTTGCCTCCTTCTTTAGGGGTAAGAGAGAGCTATTGACCCCCAAGTCACCCAATGATTTTCCATTATGGATAACAGATCTCAGGTCACCTCAGTCCCTACCCAGCAATACTGTACTCAATGCTTTATCACACTGGCTTCAGACACGACACCATGTGACTCTTAACCTTCAAAAGTTTATCCAGGTGTGGAAAAAAGTAAGGATCACTTTTCTCTAGCAAGGGTTTAACATAAAAAAGTATTTGCCAACACTTCTAAACATTAACAAATGAGAGTAAAATCTATTAAAATCCTCCCAAATAATCAAACTCAGGTCATTCTAATTCTGTAGTAGTTTTCCTCAATCATTATATAGTTTTAACCGTGACAGAATAGAAAAATTTTAAAATAACATAATTGAGTTTTGTGTCATGGGCCATGCATTCAAATGTTCCTCAGCTTATATTCTGAACTTTTTTCTCTCTTAATTTTGGATTTAATTCTGCATAGCTTTTGGAAGAACTGGTGACGCTTGTGGATACTTTGTCAATCTGGTATTCTTCTGGTCCAGAAAATGTGAAGCTCTATCAAGTACAGGTCCAGCTGCTTCTTGGATTCATTGGACAAGATAATTTACAGGTGTGTTGCATTACTGAAGGTTTTTGTGCACAAGTATGGTAAACTTTGATTTTCTTTTGCAAAGAAATACCTTCTGGCAAATTTTGGGCTTGAATATCCTTACTTAATACACAGTAAAAGAGAACTTTGCTATCTGGATGGATTTAAAGTATAATTTATTAATGTATAAATGTATGAGAATGTCTAAATACAATTCAGGAAAAAAATACCAGCTTCTGCTTTCTCTGATTAGAATATGTCATTGTACAAACCACGGTTCCCTTCTTTTGTTTAGGCCACTGATTTATTTCAAATTACAAATGTCCTTTTTGTTAAGTCCATCTACCTATGGAGAAATTGTGAATCCAAGATATATCATAATATTTTCTTCATAATAAATCAGAGTTTATCATTAGTTTAGAGTGTCTTTTTTAGCCTAACTTCCTTATAAAGACTGAAAGGATTCAGGAAGATGCTGTATATATTTCTGAGGCTTTTCAGAAGAAGGCTTGAATATAAATATAAATAAACGATAAATACAATGTATGGTGAGAATATGCTAATAATCAATATATAAATGCACTAATAAATGCTTTTTATATGTCTAATTTTATTGAGTTGTGCTTTCATGGTTATCATAATAACTCTAAGACCTGAGCCAACTGAAAGTCAGGAATATTTGGGAGCCCTGTGTGCAGTGCCTTGAGTTATAAAGAGGAACAACTAGACACAAGAACAGTTTTTTCCCGAAAGCCATCTAAACAAATAATTCCCTCAACACTATTCAACTATTTAGAAAGTGTACACTACTATTACTGTTAATCTTCTCACTACTCCTTATCACCCATCCCCTCCCACTTGACTGTTTCCTAGTATGATTTGATTGTTGATTGTACCCTATGACTCTCATTAAGTGTTGTACGTTATGATTCTTGATTCTTAACGAATGTACCTTTTCTTTATGTATACTGAGAGTATTTACACCAAGACAAATTCCTTGTGTGTCCAATCACACTTGGCCAATAAAGTATTCTATTCTATTCTAAATGCAAATGTAGGTTCTCCCCTTATGGAATAATATATTTCCTGCTAAGCTTCTTGCTCTACTTAATTTATCTCAGGACAACGATATCAAATGGGAATCAACAAACTGCAAAATAAGGATCGGCCTCAAGTACTACCTAAAGTTTCAGTAATGCCTCTAGAGCACAGAAATGCCCTTGGAAAGGCTTCAGTGCAGTGACTTATGACAGCCACCATCAAAAGCATTTCAAGAGAGTCCCTGTAGTATGCTCTCAAAATTTCAAATGTGCCCCAGGACTCCAAAATGTTTGGGATTTGAAGAGATGCAAGTGGAGAATTGAAATATCTTTTGGGAAAAATATATAACTTACATTATCTGTATTGTTTGACTGTTATTTTTCTTCCCATTTGCCCTATTCTAGGTTTGTGCAATGGCTGCAGCCAAGCTCAACACCCTCCTTCAGACCAAAGTATTTGACAACCAAGCGGAATCCTGTTACTTGCTGGGAAAACTGGAAGGCATCCTGAGTAGATCTATCCAAGAAAAGACTGAAACTTACTCCTTCTTGATCCCTCTAGTTCGAACTCTTATTTCCAAAATATATGACCTTCTGTTCATGAACTTACACTTGCCTTCCTTGCCTTCTACTAATGGAAGCCCTTCCTTTTTTGAGGATTTCCAGGACTATTGTAGAACTGATGAATGGCAAGCTTACATTGACAAATATGTAAGTTGTAATTTCTTAAAATGCTTTTTCTCTCCAAAAAGGGAAGTGTGCATTAACCTTCTTATGCTTTGTGAACTAGATTATCCCTAATATGAAGCAGTACGAGCTCAGCATTTTCAGTGATGGCCATGAACGTATGGCACTATATTGGAAGGATTGCTTTGAGGCATTAATGGTCAACATCCATAAACGTGAACGGGAGAGAGGAGAAAGCAAGCTCAAATTTCAGGTAAAATCTGAGTGATTTTCTCAGAAGTTTGCCTCAGCAAGAAAATCATGTTAAGATGGCAATACAGGCAGTCCTTAACTTACGACCACTATTGAGCCCAAAATTTATGTTGCTAAGTGAGAAATTAGTTAAGTGAGTTTTATCACTTTTCTTGCCACATTTCTTAAGTGAATCATTAAGCGAATCTGGCTTCCCTATTGATTTTTCTTATCAGAAGGTCACAAAATTTGGTCACATGACCCCAGGACACTGCTACCGTCATGTATATGAGCCAGTGGTCAAGCATCTGAATGTAAATCACATGACCATGGGGAACAGTCATAAGTGTAAAAAACGGCCATTGTAACTTCAAATGGTCACTAAATGTACAGTTGTAACTTAAGGACTACTTGTATTTTGACACTGGATTCCATAGGACATGGTGTCAACCATTCGTCTTTCATCAATATTGTATCTTTGACAGCGAAGGGAAGGAAATCTAACACTAATTCTCCTTTGGCTGATGTTGGAATCAATTTTTCATATAAAGGTTTGCCTGGGGTACGTTTGTTTTTTTGGCTAGTGATGCACAGAGTTATATTTTTTTTATCTGGTTAATGACTAAAAAGGAACACACTTGCTTCTATATATTATATGCAATTTGGATTATTATTTTTGTTGTTATAGTAAGCTCTCATCTAACAGGTTTTTCAAGTCCTTTGTTCTAGCCTTCCTAAGCACTTCTTTAAGATTTATTATGTTTCTGTCTCTAGGAATTTTTTGTAGAGCCATTTAACCGGAGGGCACGGCAGGAGAACATGCGTTACAATGGAATGCTAAAACAGTTAAATAATCAGCACACAACAACTCTGAGACAGTGGAGAGCTGCCAAACTTTACCTTACCTGTGAACAAGGCCCTTGGGCTGAAAGGTATGGAAATCAGCATGTTTTCTTTCTCCATGAAGCATATTTTACCCTTCATGTGACAATAAAAAAAGAGAAAGAAAATCCTGGACATTTTTGTAGCACATTTTGGGATCTGATGGTTGCATGGTTAGTTTTCCAGGGGTGGGCAGAAGTTGGAGTGCTTGTTGACTTGTAGTAATTTGGCAATAATTCATTATCTATTATTCATCCAAAGTAGAAGCAAAATAACTCTCCTCTTCCTGCTTAAATGATATCGCTTGTAGTAGCACACAGTAAATTCTCAACTTCTGATACCTGGAACAAATTCCTGGACTCAGGTTCTAAACCTGCCTTTTAATTTATTCATCTCTCCAGTTGATTACACTTAGAATTCTAAAGGAAAAAAGTTGGTCCTGCCAATTGGAATTCTGCTCACTCTTGCTTTGAGATATCACAGTTAGCCCATTAGATTTCATGATTCTTGTTGAAGCCCTGACTTCACATGCAATAAAAATGCCTAACCCCTTTCTCTTTTGAGGGGGAAGTCAGGGTTGTTTTGAGCTATTGGCAGAGATAATTCATAATTATCAAAGAGAGATAAAACAATTCCCTGTATGCTTTTAGTATAACAAAGAAATCCAGTTCAGCTTGCTTGATGGTCATTTTCTATAAGAAGAAATCAAGTTATTTTCCCCAACTAGAGCGATCTTCATGCTTCCTCTGGAACGGTAGAGAGAGAGAAAAATGAAATAGAAAATCTAATTGCTGCAGGTTTTTAAAAAAAGATCTTGTATTTGTATCTTCTCATTCTTTTCAGTACAAACAGTAACATCACATACCTAATGTTGTTCAATATCTTTTGGTATAACCCTTTCATCAGGAAGCCGAATCTCATTCACTGGAAACTTTCAAATGTGGAAAATTATTCACGAATGAGGCTAAAATTAGTGCAAAATTACAATTTCAACTCTCACCAGGAGGCCAGTGCCCTGAGGGATAATCTAGGTGAGGCTGTGATGCTTTTGATGCTCTTTAAAATATTCAATCCTGATTTCTCACTGAACTTTTTAATTACTTTCAAGTATAGAAAATTCTATTTTCTGTTTCTGTTAAAAGTGTTCCTTTTCTGAGCAAATCTACTTTTGCTTATCTGCTAAAATTACACTATAATATAAGTGGAACTATGTAATTATAGGAACTTTTCTATGGATGGAGGAATGATTATGTTGGCAGCCCAGTAGACAAACAGAAACCAATATTTTTTTTAGGATTTGAAGGAAATAGGCTCAAACCAGTGTAAAATAATTCAGAATGGTTTTATTGAATGAAATAAAAGTAAATTTAAATTAATTAATTAACAGGATCTGTAGCAGACAGCACCTGCAAATATTAAGTGATCCTTTTTATGAGAATATTGTTCTTAGGTAGTTATTGTTCTCCCTTCCCTTGGAGGATGTTAGATTAGGGAGCCCATATTGTCTCTTTATCTTAATGGCTACAAGTAAGAATGCAGATGAGCAAGTATGGACAATACAATATGCAAAGCTCTGCTAAGTAACTTCTCTTAAATACACATGTGGAGGAATACATAAAGTGCTTCGGCTAGTTCAATAATCCTTTCTGCATGTGCAGAAAGAAAAAAAGGAGTCCTATTCTGATGCCAATGCAATGTTACAAAATAACAGAATTGGAAGGGACCTTGGAGGTCTTCTAGTCCAACTCGCTACTCAAGCAGGAGACCCTATACCATTTCAGACAAATGGTTGTCCAATCTCTTCTTAAAATCCTTCAGTGTTGGAACACCCACAACTTCAGGAAGCAAGTTGTTCCACTGATTAATTGTTCTTCATGTTTATTTTATTCATTGAGATACATGCTCTATTAGAGTGTAAAATAAAGTTGATTTGTTTAATTGAATATTCCCACTTCATCTTTCAAGGAGTATTACAGATGCCACCATCAAGGGAAGCTTTGCTTCTGGAGGCAGTGAAGCAAGTAAAAGTCAGTGATATGGAAGATGATATACTTGAACTACCAGATGAAGATCCAACATCCAGTACAAATACGTATGTAGAAGAGTATGTGAATTCAGAACCAGGTTCCAAAGGGTATGGCTGCAAATATTGTGGGGATAGTCATCAGGATTTTTTTTTAAACCTCTCTCCACATTCTACAAAATGTATTCCAATTCAGACATGAGCATGCATGAAATGGAAATACCTTTCTTTTTAAACTTGGAATGAAACAGTCCACCTAATATGATGGTTAGAATGTTTAAAGTTAGCTGCATTCCGATAGATGAAAATTTGTTTCATTCCAAAGGAAAAAAAACTTTCATTTTTTAAAAAAAAACTACTAATAAGAAAACAGATTACAAAATTGTCAAGGAAACCAATACTTTTAATGTTTCATATCATGATTTTTGAAAATATAGTTTAAAAAATTAAATATAATATCCTTTGTCATTTTTTTACATTGGCCATAGATAGTAAATATAGACTAATACCACATCTCTTCTGCTAAGTAAATTCAAACAAAACTATTTACTTACTTACTTACTTACTTACAACTTGCCTACCCTTTTACTTTATTCTTATATTCAGATATTTTATTTCAAAAACTACATGCTCAAACTATATTTTCTTCTAATTATATAAAAGATCTAAATATATTTTAGATATATTTCCTATATTTTAGGAATCATGTTTAACATCTCTTGTGCTGGCAGTATGATAATTAAGTTCTCACTGTTCATAACTTAGAAATGAGAAATTTGTTACAGGATGAAATTTTCGTTTATTCATGATTTTATCTTCTTAAGAAGTGTTTTCTTTCTGTTGTCACTTGTTTAAGGTATAGAGTGAAAACATTGCTAATCATACTTGAGACTAATCTGGCTACTGAATAATTAGTACTTAGTGATGGATCATTTGTATAAGATATGTTTAAGAGGTTCAAATAATGATTATTTTGTAAGAAATGCTGATGCCTTGTTTTGTAATTTTTGTGTTGTCCAGCTAACCAAGCCTCTCATTTGATATTTCTGCTGCAGGGATGAAAAGGAAGAGCAGGGTCAAAAAGAAAAACTTGTGCTCTCAGAAGACTGTGAACTTATTACAATAATGAATATAATATGTGGCAGGCTGGAGGTCACTACACAACACATTTACTTTTATGATGGCAGCATTGAAAAAGAAGGTAAGACCTTTGGACTTTGGTTGCACTACTCTGTGTAGTATAGAGTAGTTAATTGGCTACATACACTCTTTCACACTGGAATGAATTTCTGGAAGAAATATTTCAAATGCTTAATAATATAGAATTCTCCATTTGCATTGCCATGGAGAAAAATATTACTGAATATTACCAAATCTTCCCCTTAATCTTTTGTGGTTGATGATTGGGGGATGTGACATGAGTACTTTCTCAAAATGGCTGCTATCATAAACATCTGTTTATAAGAATGCAAGTTGAAAGTGCTCCCAGCCTCTCACAATTCCCAGCCTCTCACAATGCAGCTTCACACTTCAGCCTGCCTTTATCTGCTTCCTGGGTGCATAGGTTCTTTGGAGGGGGCAGGGAGGTGGTTATTGGGGCAGATTTATTTGTCATTTGTTCTTTTTTGTTTAACAGATTACAACTAATTTATACTACAGTTCTTCTTTGTTTCCTATTTTAATTGTTAATAAATGTTACAATTGACTTTCAGTGACAGGGAACTATAAAAAAGTAGTTTGAAATAATATGATCCTGATGATTCTGATTGCTTAGTCCTTCTATGATTTTTAGCAAGGTTTCTATTTTAGCTCATTCCAATTGGCATTTTTTAACTTTTCCAACTATGTTACCAGATCTTCTTGACTTTACCAGATCTTCTTGACTTTCATAATTATCATATACCTTCTCTTTGGATATAGTTAAGAATAAACTGAAATTCTTCTTCATCCAGGTATAGGTTTTGATTTTAAATGGCCTCTTTCTCAAATTCGAGAGATTCACTTGCGCCGTTATAATCTGAGGAGGTCAGCTTTGGAGATCTTCTTTATTGACCAGACTAATTATTTCCTTAATTTTAAAAAGGAGGTAAGTAATTTTACTTGTTTCTTATGCAGAATACCTTGAGAGAAATCCCTAAAATATCATTTTCATTACTGAGTAACTTTGGCCAGTGATCTCCTGTGGACAGATGAATAAGTTCAATTCAACAGTATTCCTGACTGTGCTAAAATGAACCCACCTTGGATGGTGAAGTAATTGAATGGTTTTATTTCATATTAGGATCTTAGGTGCATATTTAACTTTTTGTGATTAGCTGATATGTTTAATAATGAAAGCCAAAATATCTAATTAAAATACCATGTTTTATGCAGGTATGCTTAAAAGAAAACCAACATTGGTTTTAACATCTTCATTGAGCATATACCCTTCTTCAACGCTTAGTGTAGTGGGCCATCATTGCTGGAGATGACAATTTTTTTTTAATATAAATTTTATTTGAGTTTTCACAAAAACATAATACAAATAAAACATCTTTTTTTTGAGAATAGCATGATCCCGGGTTATGACAAATGTTGAGGCAAAGCACTGTTAAATAATGTAATAGTGTTTATTGAAATGCATGAGAATTTATAACAGTAAAATGATAAATTGAATTGCATGATCAGGTTGCCAAAACAGCAAGCCCAAATATAAAAATAGGGAAATTCTGATGATGTTATTTAATAAATTAACCTATGTATCTTCTTTGTTGTAGGCAAGAAACAGAATATATAGCCGAATTCTGTCTCTGTGTTCTCAAAATATTAGTGGGACCAGATCTCCCCAAGAATTATTCAAAACTTCTGGATTGACTCAGGTAGGAAAATAAGCTGAATGGTGGGGACATTAAAAACAATTCATGTCTCTTTTTACTTGGTATAATAGCTCCGTCAGCTGATGTCTGAGCTAATTTTTAAAAGTATAGATAAATAGAAGTTATTTAAATGATAACTTCTATTTCTGCTTCTATTCTATATTAAAAACAGTTTATCACTTGAAGAGTACAATAAACTTTAACTTGTGATGTATATAGGATGAAATCGATTTCCTTCTCAACAATGACAAAACTAATATTAGCTTTATTTTACATAACCTCATCCTAAATGGAGCATTCTGCTGCAAGTCACATTTTTTGGATTATATAGGAAAGCAACAATAATATGATTAAAAATTTTTTTTCATGGTTATATGGTTCTAGTTCTGTATGGGTTATAGGAGTCGGGTGACATGAATCTGAATAAACATGAATGCTGCTTTAAGATTACCATTTTGTTTGCTTAAATTATACTAAAATACGTCACTAACTCTTTTTACACAACATTAGCTTCAACATTGGGTTTTCTTTATTTAGAAATGGGTGAACAGGGAAATATCCAATTTTGATTACCTCATTCAGTTAAATACTATGGCAGGACGAACCTACAATGATCTTGCACAATATCCTGTTGTAAGTATTATTTATGTCCATTGTTTCTGACTAGAAATAATAATGTATTAAAAAAAATATGAGATTTGAAGAATATTCTCCTTTTTATTCAAGTTTCCATGGATCCTGCAGGATTATACTTCAGAAGAATTGGATTTGAATAATCCTGCAGTATTTCGGGATTTGTCTAAACCTGTTGGTGTAGTGAATGAAAAGAATGTGAGAGCTGTAAAGGAAAGGTATTTCTTTTGAAATAATCATTTAATTGATGTCCTTATTATAGATCTACTTCTACTTAATGTTTATGCGTGTTCTTCTCTTCCAACTAGTAAGTGGAATTTATTGTTCAGATGGTAGTGAAGAATTGAAGAAAACTGTTCAAGTATTCATTGATAAGCAGATTTAGGATAAGAGCATTTTAAATTGTCCCAGCCAATAAAACTGAAGCATAGTTATTGGACGTGGAGGGAAGTAAGCAATAATAAAACTGTTACCAAAAAGAAAGTTGATAGCTATAAATAAAATAATGGTTGTTTACCATTGAGAATTTGGGACTGCATGTCACATTAAGAAATCCCAGTGGAAGAAGCATTGTGAAGTTGGTGTATATGAATGCTTGAACATTTTTTGAATTGAAAGGAATTATTTGGATGATAGGCAGAGTCTTTGTGTTCTATATTAGTATAAAAAATGTAAAATTGTTGTATAAAATATTTTCAGTGCAAAAATTCTTATTTTTTCCTTGCTTTTCAAAGACTCACTATATGTTGTTTATTCAGTATAGAGTCATAACTAAAAAGTCAATACTGGTTTACTTTAGTGTTTCAATCCAGCCTAGTTAAAAAAAGAAAAAAGAAAAACTTGATAGATCAGCTCCCAGATTCTTTTTGTCTATTATTTTTAAAATCTGGTTGTTCTTTATTCTCAGATGGTAAATGATACTAATATAATTTCTCAGAATAAATAAAACAATAAATACCAAAAGATTCAGTTATTTTTCTGTTTTGTTTTTTAAGGTATGATAACTTTGAAGACCCCCTTGGAATTATTGACAAGTTTCACTATGGGACTCACTACTCCAATGCAGCTGGGGTCATGCATTACCTCATTCGGGTTGAACCTTTTACCACTTTGCATATCCAGCTTCAAAGTGGGAGGTATGATATTAAGCGATTTATGTTGTTGGCTGAACGGCTGGATTGCAGAATGTATTACTTTCTTTGAAAGTGAACAAAGTATTATTTCTTCACATGCTAAGGGTAGAAATGTTTGTTTCTCAGAAGAGAAGCCCCCTTGCATATAATTCAGAGGAGCTGCAAATGCAATAGATCCTTTGAGTAAAGGAAGCAAAGAAAAGGCCTCCTTTCCAATAAAACAAAAATATTATTTGTTTGTTTATAAAATTCATCTTATCACAGGATAACTCTGGACAGCTTACAATATTAAAAAAATTATAAGAGATTTAACTTAGGAACTGATAGTGGCTTTCTGATACTTTGCCAGGTAATGTTAACATCTTGGAGACGACCAAATTTCCCATGAAGTCTTATAATGGCCACACCATGCAATTTGTTGCTATCCAGAACTTCATTTATATGCTAATAGCTAAATAGAGTTCTTGAATGGACAAGTTTTGTGTGTTAGTTCAAATGTGATGCAGGAATGTGTGCAAATGATGTGTAGCTCCAGATATGTGTTGTTACCCCAATAAATAGGTATATTACTTTTTTAGAAATTGCATCCATATTTAAATTTATAGGAAGAGCAGTGATCTTAAGTTAAGTGCAATTCCATTATTTAAATGGAATTTCAGTGAAAATATTGATGTGTAATTTGGGGAGTTTGCCTTTGTATTTTCTCTCTGCAGATTTGACTGTGCGGATCGACAGTTCCATTCCATTCATTCTACTTGGCAAGCTCTCATGGAGAATCCAAATGATGTGAAGGAGTTAATCCCAGAATTTTTCTACTTGCCAGAGTTCTTAGAGAATCAAAATCGTAAGAAGTTAAACCAATAATAAGCTGCACAGAATAATGGAATCTCTTTTGTTGTTTAAGTAACACTATGTCAGGTGCAAAGAATCAGGACCATTCATGTGGATTGCAGCATATACATAAAGAATCTAGTTAACATCAGCATTAAATTGACACTAGATAAGAGTCAACAGAATTTGGGGGTGGGCTGGATTTAGATTTTGTGGCAATGCAAAGACTCTAAACTAATGGTGCGTTTTAGTCTCCCCCCTGCCCCCCAAATTCTTTTATTTATTTATTTTATTTTGTCTAGTGATTATTAGATAACAAATGTAAGTATAAACATGGTTATGAATACATGAAATGGATATGAATAAGGAAAAAAAACAACAGGACAGGGATGGTAGGCATGTTGTGCACTTATACATGCCCCCTACAGATCTCTTAGGAAAGGGTCAATAGTAGACAGTCTAAGGTTAAAGTTTTTGGGGTTTGGGGAAGAAACCACAGAGTCACGTAGAGTATTCCAGACATTGATCACTCTGTTGCTGAAGTCATATTTCCTGCAATCAAGTTTGGTGTGGTTTACCTTGAGTTTGTATCTATTGTGTGCTCTTGTGTTTTTGTGGTTGAAGTGAAGTATTCATTGACAGGTAGGACATTGCAATATATAATTTTATGTACTATACTTAGATCAAACTAAAGGCGGCGTAGTTCTAGGTTGTCTAGGTCTAGAATTTCAAGTCTGGTGGCATAAGGTATTCTGCAATGAGTAGAGGAGTGAAGAACTCTTCTTGTGAAATATTTCTGGACTTTCTCAATTGTATTAATATCAGATATGTAATGCGGGTTCCAGACTGATGAACTGTATTCAAGTATTGGTCTAGAAAATATTTTGTGTTCTCTAGTTAGTAGAGTGATATTACCGGAGAAAAAGCTACGCACGATTAGGTTTACAACTCTTAATGCCTTTTTGGCTATGTAGTTACAGTGGACTCTAGCACTTAGATCATTTGAGATGAGTACTCCAAGGTCCTTGACAAAGTTTGGGTCATCAACTTGTTCAGCTGATATTTTATTTTCTGATTTTTTTTGCCAATATGTAAGACAGAGCATTTATTTGTTGAGATTTGAAGTTGCCATTTGTTTGACCATTCTGACACATAGTTGGTCTTTTTGAAGAGTAGCAGTATTGTTGGTGGTGTTGAATAGCTTTACATCATCAGCAAAAAGAATGCAGTTGCTCTTAATATGATCACAGAGGGCATTTATGTAGAGTATGAAGAGAGTTGGTCCCAGAACGCTGCCTTGGGGGACACCACTGTTGACAGGTACAGGATTTGATAGGACACTCCCAATATTGACCATTTGTTACCTGTTTGACAGGAATGCTTCTATCCAGTTATGCAGGTCTCCAGAGATACCATAAGATTTTAGTTTTAGGAATAGTTTGTCGTGTACCACTGAATCAAAGGCTTTACAGAAGTCTATGTAAATTGCGTCAATTGCTTTACCCTGATCGAGTTGTGTAGTCCATATGTTTTTGCAGTGTAAGAGTTGCAGATTACAGGATATTTTTTTCCTGAAACCAAATTGTTTATTGGAGAGTAGGTTGTTTGTCTCTAAGTGGAGGATAATGGATTGGTTAATATTTGATTCCATGATTTTACAGGTGACGCAGCATAAAGAGATTGGTCTGTAATTTTCAACTAAGCTGGGGTCTCCCTTTTTGAAGATGGGGATGACCGTGGCTAACGACCATAAGTTTGGCAAGGAGCTGGTCCTGAAAGATTTTTCAAAGATTATGCTTAGTGGTTCGGCTATGGCAGTGGATAGCTTTTTTAAGAAGTAGGCACATATTCCGTCCAGTCCAATAGTTAGAGATGGTTTTAGATTGCATAGTGCTTTTTCAACATTGTCTTCTGTAAAATCGATATGTATTAGATCATTGTAGTTGTCCGTGGTTCGACTAGGAAATACTGGGCATGATCCATTGTTGTTTACAAATACTGAGCCAAATGTGTTAAAGATGTTGGCTTTAATGGTGTCATCGTTGCAGTCTTTACCATTAGGTCCTTTCAGGGGTGGGATAGACCTTGAGTCATTTAGTTTGTTGTTTACAAAATTGTAGAAAGTGTGGGTGGAATTGGTGCATAGAAGGTTTTCCTCTTGTTTAATGTGATAATTGGTGCATTCAGTCTTTATCTAGTGGAATAAATTGGCAACGTGACCAGATTTGGGATTTCTTTTTGTATTGGAGCTTCCTTATTGTTATGGGTAGTTTGTTTTTCCTGGTTTTGGGAGTTGTCATTGGTACATATAGTTTGATGAGTCTTTTGACTTCAAGTAAAAATATATCATAATGGTTTTCAACAGTTTTGCATCCAGTGAATAGAATTTGCCAATCAAGAGATGAGAGATCGTTGTCTATAAGATCATAGTTGCCTTTTAAAAAAAAATAAATTTTATTTGGGTGTTCACAGAACATAATACAAATAAAACATCTCTTTTTGAGAATAGCATGATCCTGTGTTATCACTTCCTCATACAAACACAAACACAAACTCAATTTCATATTTGTCTTTGTGTTCTATTTCATATCTTATTGCTATTTTAACATTTTCTCAGGGGTGGGATTCAAAATTTTTAACAACCGGTTCTGTGGACATGGCTTAGGTGGTGGGCATGGCTTGGTGGTCATGTGACTGGGTGGACATGGCTTGGTGGTCATCTTATTGGCTGGGTGTGGCCAACTCATTATCACTCACATTGAGGCACACATCTCTTCGCCTGGCCTCTCATGACTGTGGGGATGCTGCAACAATCGTAACTGTAAAAAATGGTCATAAGTCACTTTTTTCAATGCCATTGTAACTTTAAATGGTCACTCCATAGAAGCAAAGTATCAGCAAAGGAGGGGGAAAAACCTCCAGAGAGGTTCCTGAGACAAGAAGTCTAGTCCTGCCAAGAATGTAATAAGGGTTAACGGAGAGACAGTTTCTGTAAGCAACACCAGAATGTTTCCTTCGTGCCTTCCTTATAGGATTAGGCCAGTAATTTCTTCTAACAACGCAAACTCTCTGAACTCCTTAGAATGTTAACAACCGGTTCTAGTGAATAAGTGCGAACTGGTAGAATCCCACCCCTGCATTTTCTCCATAATTCTCCCCTCCCTTAGTTTTCTCAACTTTGTTTTTAATTATCTCATACCTATCTAAAATCAATTATATATCTTTTTCTAAGTTTCAGTGTCTTTCTAATCATTATATTTATACTTTTGTCTGTCCTATTTCAATTTCATATTTTCTTTTCTCATTAAACAAGTTTTCCCCTGTAGTTACTAACTGGAGTATGACACCTTTGTATCTTTTAATTTTGTCCATTCAACTCTTATTTAAACTTCAATTTATGCTTTACAATTTATAAGAATAACACATAACAATCGAATTCTGCTTGGTACATTCTTAAAATACACACTATGTTCTTAAAGAGAATATATATATATAAAACAATAGTAAATAAAACACTTATTCTATTCTAATTCAGCTCTATCATTAATGTTAGTTACAATGTTTAACATCTTTAACATTTCTTTTTAATTGAATATCATACTTCCCTAGGAACACTTATAATATTTCCATAATTTTTTTGCCATATTTCTTTCATATTTCTCTTCACTTAAGTTTTTATAAATCATTAATAATAATTAAATGTTCCCATCCTTTCAATTTCATTCTCTCTTTCTTTCTGATTAACTGCTTTTCTTCTGTCATCTTTTCCTGCAATGGTATCTGGCTTAGAAAACAATAACTTCTGATAAACATTTTATCATCTTAATTGCACCTGAAATCCTTTTATCTTATCTGCAGATTTCAATTTTGGTCAGCTCCAGATTTCAAAAGAAGAGATAAATGATGTTGTCCTTCCAAAATGGGCAGATTCTCCAGAAGACTTCATTTTCAAACATAGGAAAGCATTGGTGAGTTATAGTCCCTCTGGAGAGAGAATGGTTGATTTAAAAATGTGTGTTTAGCACAAAGGACTATCAGAGTATATGTGTAAGTTGACAGGAAATGAAATGAAGGTGTGTTGAATATGTTTCTGCCTTGAGTAATTTGTAAAAATAATAAAGGCAGGATACAAATAAATAAATTTAAACAATTTAAAAGATATGGCATTCATCAATGAATAGTATTCACAATCACATAAAATGATTTTCAGTGGTCTTTCTCTCTTCATTCTTCCTGATATAGTATGGTTCACTATTAATTAATCAATCAACCATGTCAAACATAAATACTAACCACAGTAAAATACAGTAAAATGGGATAAAACACAGTGAAGTGAGATAAAACAGACTAAAATATAGACATGATAAATTGTAGATAAGATAAAATAGTATTAGGTAAAATAACAATTGTGTCAAATGACTGAGTCAAACATATAAAACTGATGCAAATAAATAAAAAATGCAAATAAATGAGAAGAAAACTTAAGTTCATACTATATCATCACCCTATAGTTAGTTCCAATTTATGGTAATCAAGATATTCTTTCCTCTTTGAGGTGGCTTTTGAAATGAGAATTGCAGTTTTATTGATGTTTGCAGGTTTGGAACAAATAAGAGTGTTATAAATAATAATAAATAAATAAGAGTGTTTCTCTTGGGGGCCTGAATATTTTTTTAGTTTTTAAATAAGGGGCTAAATAAGTGGCTGTTTCTGGAGAGTACAGTTTGCAGTTGACAAGAATGTTTCCAGTGTCTTCAATGGCTGGTGCTCCACAAATGCAAAATCTTTCTTCAATTGGGACCAGTGGTGGGACGGCACAAGGAGCGTGAAGGAAGACTTCTCATAAATTCAGGGACTACACCTCTCCCAGTGATGAGTTGACGGCAATCTAATGAAACATCTTTCAGCTCTTAAAGATCGACTTTAAGAGCACCCCCATGGAAGCAGATGAGAACAAGAGCAAAAGTAGCAGAAGTGGGGGCGACAGGGGTGTGTGATGGGTCCCAGTCAGGGGTGACAGTCAGGGCTTCGGCACCTCCTCTTTTCCTCAGAGGTGTGGTGTCTGCCTCCCTTTACACTCCTTCTAGAGGGACAGATGCCCATCACCCCTGCTGTCACTACTTTTGCTCACGGTTTTGCTCATGGCTTCTTCCATGGGGGCACTCTTAAAATTGACCTTTAAGTGGTCCTGGGACCTCACAGCGCCCGCCCTCCCGGAGCACGCTTTCTCCTGGCGGATGCACCTCTTCCAGCCTGGCCCGGCCAGCTAGCAATTGACCACATGTCCCGGGGCTTCTCGTCCCCCTTGTCATGAGATGCCTGCAGCTGCTGCGTGCAGTCCAGCAGGTGCACTGAAAAAAGCATGCCCTGTTCTTTATGCCGGGCCCAGCAAGTCCGAGCAGCAGGGCTGTGCCGGACCGTTGGAGAAGCGGAGTGAAGCCGGAGATCAGTAGCCGCCTCTTTTGCAATGCAGAAATCCTCCCCGAATCAGCTGACCGGTCTTCTCTTTCTCTACCTGTTTGTTTTGTATGACCGAGGGGGAGAACATCAGCTGTCCAAAGGGGCAGCTGCTGGAGGTGACTCTTTTTCGGTCTCCAGCTATATCTTTCGGGCTGAAATCCTCCCCAAATCGAATGGCTGGTCTTCTCTTTCTCCACCTGTTTGTTTTGTATGGCCGAGGGGGAGGACATCAGCCAGCCAAAGGGGTGGCTGATGAAGGTGACTCTTTTTCGGTCTCCAGCCATCTTTTTCAGGCAGAAATCCTCCCCGAATTGGCCGGCTGGTGGTCTCCTCGGCCATGCAGAACAAATAGGCAGAGAAGGAGACGACCAGCCGGCCAATTCAGGGAGGCTTCTTGAGCTGCAAAAGAGGCAGCTACTGATCTCCGGCTTTGCTCTTCTTCTCCAATGGTCTGGTGCCGCCCTATTCTATGCGCCGGCGACTCGGATTTGCCAGGCCCGGCACATAGAACAGGGCATGCTTTTTTTGGTACGGCTGCTGGACTGCAACCGCACCGGAAAAAGCACGCAGCAGCTGCAGGCATCTTGCGCCAAGCGGGGCGAGAAGCTCTGGGACATCCGCCCACCCATCTGCTGGATGGCCAGGCCAGGCTGGGCTGGAAGAGGCACATCCGCCAGGAGAAGGAAGAAAATGTGCTCTGGGAGGGCGGGCAGGTGGGCGGATGTCCCAGGTTGCTGAACATGTGCATTGCATGTGTAGCGGCTGCAAACGCAATGCACATGTGCAGCAGCCCTGGGACATCCGCCCAAGCTGTGCCACGGCATCCACATGGTAGGGAAAGCTAGGAGAGCGACTGGGGCAAGTGGGCGACTGGGTCAGGGGCATGGCCAACTAGGGGTCGCCACCAGTTCGGCAACCCACGCCACATTACCGCTGCCAGTTTGCCCACAACGTGTGAACCGGTTGAATACCACCTCTGATTGGGACCCCATGAAACCTCCCATGTCTTACACCATGGAGTCCAGATGTTCAAATCAAGCTCTAAAAAAACCTCTTCTGAGATGTTGAGGCAGCAAGTAATATATTCGTTATATAGTTTTCTAACCATGAGGCTGATTTGTGTTGAGCCAGGCACTTCAGACATTTGACACATTTAAGTGCTGCAATATCTTCTTAAATAGCCACATTAATAACTCTTTGTTTGAAAGCCTTTTGATTTTATTGGACTGAGAATTGATAGAGAATTGAGAGATAACATTTGAAAGTCGGGTGGCCCAAGCACAATGTTGCTTATTGTGTAATTGCTCTTCAAAACACAGCTACCCATCTGGGTCCATGGATAGCACTTCAGCTAGTAATTAAACATTTAATTACTAAAATTTGTAGATAGTACCTGGTTAATCTGGCCAAGGGTTTTGGAAAAAAATCTTTTTATATTTTTTTGCGATGTAAGTTGTTATGCTTATCCTTAGAGGTTTTACCATAGCTGAATTAAATTGTATTTTTCTGGTACCTATTTTTTTTCTCCTGAATAGTTGTAGTAATTTGGGTTTACTTTCTTATATTTCACAGTTCCTATGTGCGCAAACATTATCATAAAACTAGGATGATCTTTTTCAATGAATGTAAATATGGAGAGCGAAGTGTATTTGGAAAAAGCCTTTTTTTCAAAAATAAAATGGGCTAGAAGTTTTTTTTTAAGAACTTAGGTACTGAACTTAATTTTTTCTTGCTGTCTTAGGAATCAGAATATGTCTCTGCTCATCTCCATGAATGGATAGATCTGATTTTTGGCTATAAACAAAGGGGGCCAGCTGCAGTGGAAGCTCTGAATGTCTTCTACTACTGTACCTATGAAGGTATGAAGCCCCATCTATTCTTGGTTCATAATTGGATCATGTGTTCCCATGAAAGGTTAATAGCAGCTTTAAAAGCTAAACCAAGGAAGGGCAGGAGAGAAGACAATAGGCTTTGATTATGTCGTGGATAAAACTTTGCACTCTACCAAATATTTGCTATCTTATAGCTGTATGATTTGATTAATGCTGCATAGTATTAAATGGGTTGTCTATTATTCTTTTTCATTAGCATCTGTACATGGTTAATTAGGGAGAATGATTAACAATGTGTCAATGACCAACTATTGGGTGATAATATGTATGCATTACATCATGTTTGTGATAACTTATCACAGTGATAGGTGGCAGTATCTAACTGACTTTTGGGTGCTCCAGAAAAAGCTACGCAAGATCAGACCTTGTTAATACAGATAGTCAACTTATGACCACAGTTGAGCCCAACATTTCTATTGCTAAGTGAGAAATGTGTTAAGTGAATTTTGCCCCATTTTACAGTTTTTCTTGCTGCATTTGTTAAGTGAATTTGGCTTTTCAATTGACTTTGCTTGTCAGAAAGTCACAAAAAGTGATCACATGACCCTGGGACACTTCAGCTGTCATAAATGTAAGTCAGTTGTCAAGCATCCGAATGTAAATCATGTGACCATGGGGATACTGCAATGGTCATAAGTGTGAAAAATGATCATAAGTCACTTCTGTCAATGCTGTTGTTCAAATGGTCACTAAGTGAACTGTTGTAAGTCGAGTACTACCTATATTTAGATGGATGGCTACTACAAAATCTGAAAATTGTAAATTAAATTGAAAATTGAAAATACATCCTGGCCAACAATCTTGGTGTAGTTTTATGGACATGTCCATGGCATCACCATTTTACCAGCACTATGAATCAAGTACTTCATTTTGCCTTCATAGCATCGATATATTTAAGATTTGAGGTTGATTTTAACTGACAGAGTTAATGTGATAAAAGTCCAATTTTTATTTGAAATGTTCTCCTTGTCCTCATACAGAGTGTTCCACTCAGTCAACTCTTACTGGACACTGCAGGAAGAGAGAGTAGAGCTGAGGGTGGCATAAAAGTCAGGAAGAGTCTAGTAGCACCTTTTCTGACTAGCAAATTATATTAACAGACATAAGCATTGTCAGATTCATAGAGTGGCTAGACTACATGAAGTTTCCAGGCATCTGATGACCTTAAATACAGCTCATGGAAATTTATGTTTGTTAATAACATCTTTTAGTCAGAAAAGGTGCCACATGGTATTTCTCTAAATACACATGGTATTTCAATCATGTGATTGCCACAGAAATTCTAAGGTTAAAATTCATCAACTTTTAGAAGTCTGTGCCTCTCATGATAAAATGATTCTTTACAGAATAAACTGAAGACCTTCTCTGGGAGGTGGTCCATGTGTAACATCAATCTCTAAATACACCCTGAGCCTTAAATGCTTTTCTTCAGCTCCATTATAAATGGGGGGGGGGGGGGGGGATTGGAAACTTCTGTTTTTATTTGGTCACAGTTTAGCACATCATCTAAACTAGTATGAAGTTGAAGAATAATCCGACTTGAAGAATAACCAGAATTTCTTAGGGCTGAATAATTTTAAAAAATGAAAGGAAATCCTTTGTAAACCATGCTGGAGCAAATGGGATCACAAAGGTCAATCTTTTTCATCATATTAAACTAGGTTCATTCTTGTTCTTCATGTTGCACCCAAATGGATAGGGCAGATTGGTTATAGACCTTGGCATTTAGGCCCTCATGAAATCTGCTCTTTCACTACCAGAGTTTGATTTTCCTTAACCTGATGCTTTTTGGAGTTTGTAATCTGAATAGATCTGAAGGATACCAGATAGATAGAGAGGTTACTGTACTGTAAATACATGGAGAAATGTTACAATAACTGCAAGAGAGGGAGCAAGCATACAATTCCCCATAACAACTTCAAGTGATGAAATATTAAGTAATATATACTTATGAAACCATATACAGAAAGGTATATTGTTGTCTTTGTTTTGCTTGCCATTTGACTATCATTGCAGGAGCTGTAGACCTGGATGCCTTAACTGATGAGAAAGAAAGAAAAGCCTTAGAAGGGATGATTAACAACTTTGGACAAACACCTTGCCAACTATTGAAGGTAAATCCTTTGGAAGCACTAACAGTACCATCTCCAAATGTTTAGTCTGCCTTTGACTGTGTATCATGGTTCTCATGCTTCAGAGGTTTCTCCTCAGGCCTTGCCTGTCATACCTCACAGTCATACACTGTGCCAAATCACATGATCTTTATTCCTCTTATTTCAATAATTTGTTGAAAAATTATTGTGTTCCCAATTCTTTGGATTTATTCTAGGAGCCCCATCCAGCAAGATTATCTGTGGAGGAAGTGCTGCAGAAACAGACCAAAAATGAAAATTCCACCCTCAATCTGTTTCAGCATCTCTCTGAACTAAAATCCTTCTTTATTGAGGTAAAGTTATTTGTTATCAGTTTACAATTGATAATGTTTCACATTATTTATACTTCATATTTTAAAAAGCAGCCTCTAGAGTGTTTGAAAATGAAATAATAATTTCCCACCCAATTGGGTGAACCAAAAATGGATTCTAGGTCCAAAAAGCTTGATGGCTATAGAGACAGAAGTCTGCGCATTACACATATTCTACAATGATGGTAGAAACGGATCTGTATTTTTAGTTTCTGCAAATGCAAAAAGCCTACAGCACTCTTTAATATTGTTTAAATCTGACTAAACAGCAGAGAATGCAGTATTGCAGGCTAATTCTGCTGAGTTCCAGCAGTTTGATTCTCACCAGCTCAAGGTTGATTCAGCCTTCCATCCTTTCACGATCGGTAAAATGTCCCCAGATTGTTGGGGACAATATGCTAACTCTATAAACTGCTCAGAGAGGTCTGTAAAGCACTATGAAATGGTATATAAATCTAAGTGCTATTGCTATTGGTATTACTATCCTCTGAGTGCTTTTGACTTCTAACCACTGTGCCATGTTAACAGAGCTTGATGCTGTAAATAGCTCTCTTTTCTTTCTTTTACAATTCTACTGTAGATATATATTGTGGATGATGGCTTTGACTTCAACATTGTGACAAAGTGTTAAGCCACAAGAAAGTATTCTTAACATTTTAAAATACATTTTTTGTGATGATGGAGGATTTTTTGTCAGTCATAGCACAAGCCATAATCGCATGAGGATTCCAGGACATTTTTGCAGCCAGTTAACAAGGATTGGATAGGAGGATTACATTTTCCCAGCAGATCATAAAATGTCAAGAATCGCATTTCTGAGTATGCTTGAAAGTAACCTCTCTACAATCTTATGTGGACCTCATTACAACTTATTCTGTAGAACAGGGGTGTCAAACTCAAGCCCCGGGGATTGGATCTGGGGTGCTTAGATCTGGCCTGCGGGACTTTCCTGGAAATAACAAAGGACCATAACATAACATGGTGCTTCTGCCAGCAAAAATGGAGCTTGCAAAGGCTGCGCTTGGCCCCTCCAGCTCCATTTTCTCTGGCAGAGCTTTGCAGGAGGCAGTCATAGCCAAAAACAGAGCTCAGGAGCCCGTTTCCACTGGCAGACGGCTTGGGCCACCACAGCTGCCCCGACACAAGTGACATCATGCTGGCCACACACACCCTGGCCACACACACCCAGCCCCCCTGAGGTCAAACACAACTCTGATACAGCCCTCAAGGAAATCGAGTTTGACACCCCTGCTGTAAAAGATGCTCATTCACTTCAATGCTGCTCTGCTGTCATTGAAGCCAAGATTGTTAGTACTTTGGGAATTATTATAGCTGTTCTCCTTATTTAGATAGGTTATTTTTAAGCATGTTTCTGAACATTCCAATGGTTTGTCTTTGTTACTAATAAACTGAGATGACTAGTCATGCTGTACAACAGTCAAAGATGAATTACATAATAGTTTGAGAATAGGATACTATACTGATTCTGTAGTACAGCCATAAAAAGCAAGGAGCACTTTCATACTGATTTAAATGTGTAGGTTTAGAAGATAATAATACATGGTTGCAGTTGCCTTGTTAAGTTTAAAAAAAAAATTCTAAGGTATTGATGGATATTCAATGTAATTATATAAACATCTAATGTAATTAGAAAAATGTTATCCCATCTCCTGTTCCTCATTGTCTTTAGGGAGCCTCTGACTTTTTACCCTCCCATTTATACTTTATTTCTTTATATGCTTTATTTCACACACATTTGGATTATACAAATATTGTGGGATAATTTTGACCATGATAAATATGGCAATTGAGAAACAGAAAAGGTAGCAATGAATAAGCAATCATTATACAAATAGTTCCACATTTTCTTTTTTATTTAAGAGGCAGTTCTAACTAGCTGACACTTCAAGTCTTCAGCAGAATTCTGATTCTGCCTATTCCAGCAAAACCTGAGCAAGTGATTCAGATCCAGGAGTTCCTTCTGCTATTACACTTCAGAATTAGAAACACTTATTTAGAAACTCTATTTAATATTAGCATCCTCATTGGCTGTAAGTTTGAATATCAACTACATGCTAGCATATGTCACAGATTAATTTGTCCTACTTACCATCACCAACTAGCTGTCTGTTTTCCCCTTAGGGAATCAGTGATGGAATCCCCATTGTTAAGGCCATTGTTCCCAGGAACCAATACCGGTCTTTCATGTCACAGGGAAGTCCAGAACTTTTGGTGAGTGACATTTGCAAAAAATGCCAGAAGAAGATCTGATGTGAAATTATCCAAATGACTGGTTATTAATTGTTAGCTTGTTGTCTCTTGTTAATTTATTATTAATCTTTAATTTGTTTCCATCCAAAGGTGGACAGTTTAAGGGTATTATAATATGTATTGAAGTATCTTTTATCATGGTTGGTGTGATAGTTGTGTTTAATGTTTCCTGAGTAGATGTAGTATCTTAATGCTATATATACATAAAAATCAATAGATTTCAGAACTTTCAGAACTATAATTCAAAGATTCACAAAAGAGTAGCCAGATATAAAGGCAGGGAGGAAAGACAAATTGTATTTATATTTGATGTTACTGAAGCTTATATTTCATTTTTTTAAACATTCTTTTCTGAAGGTAACAGTGAATCTCAACTTTATCATTGGAACTCATGGATGGCTACCTTATGACCGAAATATTTCCAATTATTTCACTTTCCTTAAAGATCAAACAGTGACAAATCCCAAGTGAGTAAAAAAACCATAATTTTCTGGGACATATTTTAGCATGCTTTTTACAAATTAGAGCTCGTCTTATAAAATGTATTGATATGATTCTTCATTGGGGATATGCATAGAGAGAAAGAATATTTTCATAGCTCTTCGTGTGTCTTTAATCTGTTTATGCAGAGGAAGATACAAATATATCTGAATCAAGATACAAATATGCATACAGGCAGAGGTTTGTATGTATGCATATATACATTCAGTGTGTATTATCTGTTTTGAACTGCAAATTAGGCTTCTGGATAGGTGATGAAAGCTTCTGCTCAGAGCTGGATGCTGTGGGAAATTATCTGAAGAAATCAGTGGACTTTGCCAAAGGATGAGAATGTTGATGAAAAAGTTCATCATGGGCTCATGGTTAATTTTGGCTTAATAAACTGGCTCATTGAATTCATGTCCTCTTTGCTATTTAATTAACTTTATATTGTTCTCTAGACATTTTCCCAAGGATAGATATATCCTGATTGAACAAAGCTCAGATATGAGCCTGAAGATTCCTGTAATGCAAGATCAAGAGAATGGATGATAAAATCTTAAATCCGCAATTCAGATTTCAGAAACTTGCAATTACTGATAAGAATTGGGAGTAATAATAGTATACCATAATCAATATTTATATGAATGAGGAGGATAAACCCTCTACCTGACCTCTGTCTTGCCCTCTGCCTTCTCCCATCCTAACTGGAAGAAAATAGAATTCATTATGCTGGAAGTTGAAATTTATTCCCCCTTTGGTAAATGCTTATATCGTTGCAAGCAGATGTAATATTATTACGTTATTATATTGCATTTTTATTTGTACTGCAACTTGCTTCATGATTTGGGGCAACAATATACTTTAATAAGTGGGAAATGTAGATCTAATTTAAGTATTTGTTTCCAGAACACAACGAAACATCAGTGGTCCTTTTGCACCAGGATTAGAAATTATTTCAAAGTTGTTTGTAATGTCCCATGATGCAAAGTTGCTTTTCAGTGGAGGGCATTGGGACAATAGCATTCGTGTGACATCTCTCACCAAGGGAAAAATGATGGCCCAGCATATTCGGCACATGGGTAAGGGATTGAGTATTTATTTGTTCGTTTATTTAGATATTTAGTTGTTTAGTTATTTAGAGTGGATTAGACAATGGGCCTATTTAGAATGTCAAGGTGCTCTCACAAAATAGCTGCCACAAAATAGGTGGGATTACTTGTTTATAAATTTGGGCCCCAGGGAGCAGCCAGTTACAAAATTCCTGTTTACTGGGCAAGCAAACTGTAGACTGCCACAGAGATGAACTATGTAGAAATGATTTGGAAAACACACAAGTCTGCATTAAGTTTGGGAAACAGTGAAAGCTGAGACAGAAGTTGAGCCTGGCTGGACCCTAAATCATTCGGCTATAAGAGGGAAGAAAGGGAAAACTCAGACTCAGACTTTGAAGCTCCTGGTTCTATTTGAATAACATATAGTAGTACTAGTTGAAGTTGTGAATCTCAATTTCCTGATCTAGTCTACCTCAAAGGTTGACACATGAGGATGCTTCTACCTCAAAGGGTTGACATGTGAAGAGGCACCTGCGGCCATTCTCAAGAATGCTCCATTTATGGAGGACTTCCGGTTTGAGCTTCTTTGGCGACAAACCGAAACCTCATCTCTCCGAGGCTTCAATCTGTGCTCGCCGCTGGAGCGCCCTGAGCCAGCTGGTTTCGGGGCTAAGCCACCTCGTAGAGGTGGTAAAGAGGGGGGAGACTGCCTGCAGGGTTGAGGAGAGCCGCATCTCTCCTCCCCAGCTGGCCATTACTCCCTTTCCCGAAGGCAGTTGTAGCGGTGGTCAGAAATGGCCACCACAAAGAAGAACTCGACTGGAAAAGAATGTGCAGGAGGAAGATAAGAAGAGAAAGTTTTGGTTGACTGGGTCAAACAGCAAAAACAACAAATAAGGTACCCTGGAATTTAAACTTAACAACATTGTTCCCAAAGAAGATTTTGAAGCTGCGAAGGAGAGAGAGAAGGGAAAGGATTAGGTTTTTTTTCTTCCCTTCCTTATACTGACAGCTAAGAGACTTAAGCAAGAAACTGAAAAAAAATCCACTTTGACATTAATAGGCATCTAAGCTGAAAATAAAAGTCAAAGGGATAATAAAGATTTCTGGACATTTAAAAGTTTTTAAAAGCTGGAAAGGAGAAAAAAAAAGAATAGAAGGGCAGGATCTGGAAAAATGGAGGAGACTGCCTGGAATTAAGGAATGGAACTGTAATTAAAAAGAACTTACAGTGAAATTTTAACAAGATTCCTCAAAGATACATTTTAATGGAAACTTGGTAACAAAATAATAGAACCCCAGGAAGAGAAAGTGGAAAAAAGAAGCAAGTAGAAACAGCCTTGGATTATTTGGATTACTGGGTGATTTTTGGCTTTTGCATCTAGATGACTAAAATTAACCGGGTGGTTGTTTAAAAGTTTTTAAAATGGTATCACTCTTAGAAGAACTGAAAACTGAACTTAAAAAATGAAAAGAAGATGCACAAGAAGGGAGAAGTTCTTTTGACTTCGTGCTTCAATTCTTAGAAATGGAGATCTGGAACTATGAGAAGCAACAAGAAACGCTTGCAGAACAAGAAGACAAAGAAGAAGCCATCTTTAATGATCAAAAAATTTTAAGTGGGGGGAAAAAAGAAAAGGGGGGAAAGAGAGCGAAAGGTTTAAGATTAGAAAAAACAACCAAAAAGAAGAAGAACAATTTGAAAGATAAGTATAATATTAGAAAGCAACAGAAGAGGGGATTACAGATGAGAGAGTTAGAAGTAAAGAGGCGAGGGGGTAAAAAGGGGAGGGAGAAGAAGAGGGGGAAGAAAGAAGGAAAAGAAGTTGTAAAAGACAGAAACAAGAAATGGAGAAACAGGGAAAAGATATAAGGATTGTAACCATAAGTTTGTTTAGAGATAATGGGTGAAAATTTAATTGTAAAAGGGATTCTGCAAAGGTACATAAGATAGCTTTGTTATATTACAAATAGAAATAACTTTAGAAAATATGATGATGGATAAAATATTTATTGTAATGCAGTGGGATGTTTGTTAATAAATAAATGAATTAAAATGATTGAGAGAATTAAAGGAACATTTTTAATTATTAGTAATGATTTATAAAACTATAAGTGAGAAATATGGGGAAAAAAAAGAATTAACTATGGAAAGTTTATAAGTGTTCCCAAGGAAGTATGATATTCAACTGAAAAGAAATGTTAAAGATGTTAAGATTTTAATGCATATTAATGATAGAATTGAATTGGAATGGAATGTGTTTTATTTACATATATATATATATATATATATATATATATATATATATACTTTTTTCTTTTTAAGAATATAGTGTCTATTTTAAGGATGTACCAAGCAGAATTCAATTGGAAGTTATGTATTATATTGAATGCTATAATCTTAAAGCTATACATTGAAACTTAAATAAGAGCTTGAATGGATAAAATTAAAGGATATAAAGGTGTTGTCAGTCTGTGCTCCATTCAAAATCCAAGAAAGAAATACTTAGACTCCATAGATTAGAGAAAAGAATTCTTTTACTGAAAAATGAAATGGTAGCATCAGGTAAGATTCTGAATCTGAGAAATTAGGCGCGCAGATCACATATACAAAGTGATAGAATTGTTCCCACCCCCCAAAGTTCAAAAGATTCTTCCAATTAAAAGTTCTGGATATGATCATGTGGACATCTTCAGGTGGTGATGAGGCCTCGGTCCGTTGACCTTGGCATATTTTGATAAAGGTTTGCAGCTGCACAGAGAAAAGAAAGCTAAGCGAGAAATAGAAACCTAAAAGCAGGAATTTATACTCCCCCCGCCACTCCTCATTTACACAACACAAGAATGTAACACCTCCAGCTCTCTTCCCAGACAATTCCCCCCTTCTCCCCACATTACTTACGGCAGCCAAAACATGCAAAGCAGTAGCAGAAGATCTTGAAGGCTGACATTCAGCCCTCCTAGCAAAAAGATGTTAGTCCTGTAAGAGAGAAAAGAAAAACATAAAAGATACTGATTACCAATCAAAAACATTTCTAGGGTTTGTCAGGATATTTTGTGTGAAAGTCTTTGATCAGCTTAGGGGCTCTAACATCCTTCTCATTGACCCACTCAGCTTGGGAAGAAGGGAAATGTTTCCAGGCTACGAGGTATTGGAGGCGACCCCTCCACTTCCGAGAGTCCAAAATTTCTTTAACTTCAAAATGTTGTTCACCTTCAATCAGCAATGGTATAGGAGGATCAGTCTGGGTTGGTCTCAGACCAGAAGTGTGTTCAGGTTTCAACAAACTAACATGGAAAACCGGATGAATTCGTCGAAGAGTTTTTGGTAGTGTCAATTGGACTGTCACAGGATTTACGATCCTTTCAATCGTGAAAGGACCTACATATTTAGGATCAAGTTTCTTCGACTTTTGAGTGGTTTGTAAGTATTTGGTGGACAAGAAAACTTTGTCACCCACTTGATAGGTCTTCTGTGGAGTTCTCTTTTTATCTGCAAACTTCTTATGAGATTGATGTGCGTCATCTAATGCTTTACGGGCAACTGGCCAGTTAAGTTGGAGTTGAGATATCCATTCGTCTAGCGACTGGATGTTAGGTCTTTCACGAGGAAGCTCAGATATGGGTACAAAGTCTTGTCCTGACGCCACTTTAAAGGGGGTGAACCCAGTACTACTATGGACAGAATTGTTGTATGCCACCTCGGCAAATGGCAATAAGTCAGCCCAATTATCCTGTTGATAATTTATGTAACATCTAAGGCATTGTTCTAACACTGCGTTAGTTCTCTCACAGGCCCCATTGGTTTGGGGATGGTGGGCGGAGCTTAAGCCCTGGGCGGAGCCTATTAACTTCAGGAATTCCCTCCAAAAGTTCGAAGTGAATTGAACCCCTCGGTCAGAAATTATACATTCAGGAACGCCATGCAGTCTATAGATATGTAGTATAAATAGTTTAGCCAACGATTTTGCCGAGGGAATCTTAGAGCAAGGTATGAAATGCACTTGTTTGGAAAACAAATTGGTTACTACCCAAATAACCGTGTGTCCAGTGCTCTCGGGTAACTCTACTATAAAGTCCATAGAGATTTCCTTCCAAGGAGCTGTTGGCCTGGCCACATTTTGTAATAGCCCTGCTGGCTTACCAGGCGGCCTTTTTGCTGAGGAGCAAACTGAGCAGCTAGCCACATAAGTCTCAATGTCCTTTTTCAATGTAGGCCACCAGAATTGTCGCTTAACAAGGTGTAAGGTCTTCACGAATCCAAAGTGACCAGCCGCTTTAGAGTCATGGGCCTGTTGCAATATTTGGCTTCTCAATGTCTCTGGTACATACAGCTTCACTCCCATCCAGGCCAAACCATCTCTAACTGTACAGTTATTCGAATGCGCCAGGAACCACTCATCCAGTTTTAGGGCTTCCTTTAATTGCGCCATCAGATCACTTGACAAATCCCCTTCTTGTTTCTTCTTTCGCGCTCTAGTGACCACCGGGGCGGCTAGCTGTTTGGTTGAAACAATCGGCCGTATCACTTCCGGACAAACACTGTTATATTGAGGCAGTCTAGATAAAGCATCCGCCATAAAATTCCTCCCCCCACCCCCCGGGATGTACTTCAGTGAAAAGTTGAACCACTTAAAATATTGGGCCCACCGAACTTGTTTAGGAGACAGTTTTCGAGGCGTTTTTAAGGCCTCCAAATTCTTATGGTCAGTCCATACCTCAAACGGGTGTTTCGCTCCTTCCAAGAAATGTCTCCATGTCAATAGAGCCCAGCAAACGGCAAAAGCTTCCTTTTCCCAGACGGCCCACCTCCTCTCGGTTTCAGTCAGTTTACGGGAGGTGTAGGAGCTGGGTTGTAGAGTTCCCTTTTCATTGATTTGAAGTAAGACCGCTCCAACTGCCACATCACTCGCATCAGCTTGGATCACGAACGGGGCATCCATATCCGGGTGCTCTAGCACTGGTTCTACAGCGAACAGTCCCTTCAGCTTTTCAAAGGCGGCTTGGCATTCCATGGACCACTCCAGCGGTTTGCTAGGCTTTGGTTTCACCTCCCCCTTAGTTTTCAAGAGATTGGTGATAGGCATTGCTATCTTAGCAAAAGACGGGATGAATTGCCGGTAAAAGTTGGCAAATCCTAAGAAGCTTTGAAGTTGTTTTCAGGTGCGTGGTGGAGCCCACTCCAACACAGCCCGTACTTTCCCTGGATCCATTTCAATGCCCTCATGCGAAATGCGATACCCCAAGTAGTCGATCTTCTCTTGATGGAACTCACATTTGGACAGTTTAGCATACAATTTAGCGGCTCGCAGTTTCTGTAGCACTGAACACACCAGTCTCACATGTTCATCCCGAGTTTCTGTGTAGATAAGGATGTCACCAAGGTAAACCAAAACCCCCTTGTATAAATGTTCGTGTAGCACCTGATTGATCATCTGCATGAATACGGCTGGAGCCCCCTGTACGCCAAAGGGGAGAACATTGAACTGGAAACAACCCATCGGGCAATTAAAAGCGGTTTTCCACTCATCCCCTTCTTTAATTCGGATTCGGTAATACGCTTCTCTCAAGTCCAATTTCGTGAAAATTTTCCCTTTAGCCAGGTGGGTTAACATGTCCTTCATCAGAGGGTACACATTTCCCACAGAAATTGCGTTCAGGTTTCTACCAAACGCTTGGAGCCATCTTTCTTTTCACGGAACAACACTGGGGCCACTACCCAAGGTCTAGCAGGTTGGATGAAACCACATTTCAATTTTTTATCGATAAACGATCTCAGCTCTTCCAATTCCCATGGTGTCATCAAATATAGCTTCGGTTTCGGAAGCGTCACCCCAGGCAGAATTTCAATACTACAATCTGTTGACCGATGAGGGGGAAGCTCATCTGAAGCCTTTTTGCTGAACACTTCTTTTAAGTCCCAATATTCTTTCGGAATTTTTTCCTCCCCCTACAAGTTTTCGGTACCTATGGAGGCTAGCTCAACCGGGTTCTGAAGCTTCTGCTGGGGTCGCCTCTCCCCTTCAGGTCGCTGATTGGTGCGTATGCGCAACGACCCTTTCCTCCAGTTCACATGGGGATTCCACTTGCGGAGCCAGGGCAATCGTAGTATTAACAGTTGCTCCATTCCAGGGGCCACAATAAAGCACCAAGTCTCTTTATGCTCCCCCATGGTCATCTCTAGGGGTTCCGTTATGAAGCGTGCAGGGCAACCCCCCGCCACTGATCCATCCAACTGGCAAAAGGCTATGGGCGTTTCTAAAGTTCTCAGTCTGATGCCCATCTCCTCAACTACTTTCATGTTGATTACACATCTCGTGCACCCAGAGTCTAGCAAGGCTAACATCTCCCCTTCAGTCCCTGAAGTGGGTACCCTTAATTTTACTGGAATGGTCATGGGGCCCTTATTTGGACTTACCAGGAAGTCGTCTTCCGAATCGGATTCACTCTCTTCAAGGAAGATCGGAGGTCCCAGCTCCTCTCCTGCCGGAGGGGCGACCTCTACAACCTCCCCCATCTTTAGCGCGGTTTCGCAAGGCTTGGCTGGGGGATTTTCAGGTTTCCTCCCTCCTCTCTGCGCCCCCTTTGGATCCAACTTGACGCTGCAGTCTGCAATCTGGTGGCCCTCCTTCCCACATTGAAAACAGGTAGTGGATCTGGGTCTTGTCATCACTCCTCCCTTCGGAGGCTTAGGGGCCTCTTGGAAGTGTGGGGGGGGGGATGGCTTGCTCCATTCAGAGTCCCCCCTGCGTCTGCTTCAGGTCAAATCTATTTCCACTTCTTCTGCCAGTAAGTACCACAGCTGCAAATCATTAGGATCCCTTCTGGAAATACACATCTGGTATACGTCTTCATTTAGACCATCTTTGTAGGCTTCTATCAGGGCTCCCTGGGACCAGCCTCGGATATGGCACGCCAGCTGTCTAAACTCTTGGGTGTAGTCGGCCACTGACCTCCTCCCTTGATTTATGGTTTTCATCCTGATCCTGGCCTTTCGCTCCACCCATGGGTCCTCAAATTTTGCCCACAGCGCAGTCATGAATACGTTATAGTTCAGCAGTTGGGGGGAGTTATCATTATACAAAGTCACCATCCACTCTGCAGCTATCCCCTCCAGGGCCCTGGTAACACATCTAACTTTGGCTGCTTCTGAGGTGAACTCTTCCCCGTATTCTTCCATATAGCTCCAAACTTGTGCTAGGAAGAAACCCAAGTCTTTGGGATTTCCCCCAAATTTCACTTCTAATGGAGGCAGCTTGAGGACTCTGTGTCTTCTAGGGATCACATCTCCCGCTGGGGGCCCCGGGGCTGCAGCTGGCTGCTGCGCTGGCGTAGGCTGAATTATGGGGGTGGGGGCAGCTTGGCTGCCCCTGGCTGAACTTGCTCCCACTTCCTCTTCATACCTTGGAGCGACGTGGGGCTGTCCGAAAGCTTCATTGAGGAGCTGCCTGGCTTGATCCAGTAACAATTCTCTCTTCTCCCTCTCTTGCCATGGTGGCTCCTCTCTCCCATGCCGTTGGGAAATGGTGATTCCAGGAGGGGGGGGCTCTTCAGGATCCCTCCAGCCAACACCCAACGACCATCTGGGCTTCTCAGCTGGAACCTCTTCCAGAGTAAGGTCGGCTAGCAATTCAGCTGTTGGCACCTCCGGCATCAGTAATGACTGCCCCCCCACAGCTCCCAGATCCTCCTGATCGCTAGCTGGAGATGACATGATGTAAAACCCCCTTGGAAGAAAACTGGATATTTTCTCCGGGTGGGCTGGTGAGGAGATTCAGAATAATGTCAGTCTGTGCTCCATTCAGAATCCAAGAAAGAAATACTTAGACTCCATAGATTAGAGAAAAGAATTCTTTTACTGAAAAATGAAATGGTAGCATCAGGTAAGATTCTGAATCTGAGAAATAAGGCACACAGATCACATATACAAAGTGATGGAATTGTTCCCACCCCTCAAAGTTCAAAAGATTCTTCCAATTAAAAGTTCTGGATATGATCATGTGGACATCTTCAGGTGGTGATGAGGCCTCTGTCCGTTGACCTTGGCATATTTTGATAAAGGTTTGCAGCTGCGCAGAGAAAAGAAAGCTAAGCGAGAAATAGAAACCTAAAAGCAGGAATTTATACTCCCCCCCCCACTCCTCATTTACACAACACAAGAATGTAACACCTCCAGCTCTCTTCCCAGACAATTCCCCCCTCCTCCCCCCGTTACTTATGGCAGCCAAAAGATGCAAAGCAGTAGCAGAAGATCTTGAAGGCTGACAGGTGTCATACTCTAATTGGTAACTACAGGGAAAAATTTGCTTAATAAGAAAAGATAATGTGAAATTGTAACAGGACAGACAAAAGTATAAATATAATGATTTGAATTGAGATGATTAAAACAAAGTGGAGAAAATTAGAAGAGGTGAAAAACTATGTAGAAAATATAAAATGGTAATAAGATATGGAATAGAATATAAAAATGAGCATGAAATTGAGTTTTGTGTCTGTATGAAGAAGTGATAACCTGGGACTGTGCTATTTTCAAAAAAGATGTGTTATTTGTATTTTGTTTTTGTGAAAACCCAAATAAAATTTTCAAAAAAAAAAGAATGCTCCATTTATTCAAGCTTGGTCTTATTTTCCTGGGTTACGTGTGCATCCTCCAAAACAAAGCATGGGGCTGTAACTGTGTATGCAAAAATGCCTAACAAAAGTGAGAAATGTTCATGAGCATACAGAAGATGCCTGTGCTTTGCTCTGCAGAATGCCCACATCCTGTTCATTTACGTAAGATGGCAAGATATCCATGGAAACACTGATGTTTATAGCCATTGTGTTGTCTACCCAGCAGTAAAGAGGTCCTGAGTTTACAGCAGAAAGAAGCCTTAGAAATACAAAATGATACAGCAAAACATTACTTGGATCTACCAATAAATAAAAAAATAATGCTTAAGCTACAGACAGGAGTGGCACTTTCTTGTTAGACCTTCTTTCTTAATTCTGAATACAGAGAATAGATACAAATACACTGTATTCTTCCATTGTGATATATAAAGAAAATTCACCATGTTGTGAATCTGTAAAGTGACCATTTAGTGGCTGTTACTGTTTATTGCATCTCAGGAAATGATAAACGCATTGTAGGTAACAATATATTACTACTCTGTTGATTAGCATTATCTTTAGTAAGAAGGTAAAAGGTTACCTTCCAGATTTTCAAGATGATAATTGTAGCTTGTTTTATCCCCATTGACAATGATGATTGGACTGAAGTCTACTTTTGATTTTCAAGGACCAAGTGAAGCTTTAAAGTAATGTCACTCTAGGCCTAGTCTAAAGTCTAGTCTAAGTATTAGATTGCATTGGCTCAGAAGCCTCTTCCATTCCACTATCTGTCCACAAGGATCCATTGGAACTTTTGCGATCTTTACAGATAGGCTAAAAAGACAATGGGTCACAATTTAGTCTTACGAGATATTCTTCCTCTGACACCAGCGTTTCTCTTTTTTAATCTTCCATAGCTTGGGGCAAACAAAGCTCCTTCTCTGTTTTTTATTACCACAGACTAGTACTTCTTGGAATAGCATAAATCATATTGTACTTGATCCATTTAAAATGTCTCCTTCCTGACAAACCCCATAGAAATGAATATAATTTAGCTTGAAACAAGGTAAGTAAATGTGCATGAAGGGCTCTGGTGAGCCATATCCATATCCTATGAGAGCTGGCTCTTGAATGATAATATCTAATGGAGGCAAAGTATTTTTACATAACCATTTATGTTTAATGCCTCTTTTTGCTGGGAGCAGAAATATTCTCTTTAGGAATCCTTATTAATATAATTAGGTGTTCCACACGATACATACAATGTTCGCTAATTTATATTCTTTAAAATCTAATGTAGAATCGTTGTTTCATTTTGGGCAGAGCTGACACATCTATGTTTAAACTCATGTTTTTATCTGGCTATTTCAATTTCTACGAATTGAGTATTCCCCTGTTTGTGTTTGTAGACATTGTGACATGCTTAGCCATGGATTTCTGTGGGATCCATTTAATTTCAGGCTCAAGGGACACCACTTGTATGGTGTGGCAAATAGTTCAGCAGGTGAGTTGGCTTTTGTGGAACTCTGCAAGCCGTTTGTGCTGTGGGGTGCCATGTTTTCTGATTGCATTAATTTACAGATGGGATAGAAAGATCAGAAAGTGAGGTATAGTATATTCGTTCAAATGTTATAAAATATAAAAGGGTTACTTGAGTCTAACACAGTTGGGAATTTGTAGAGGGCTTATAGAACCATGAGGGATACATTGTGGCATATCTGAAAAGAAGTACTTGTGCATGAAAACTTACATGAACATGAAAATCACTGGGGTGAGGTGAGGTAAGATGGGAGCCCAGTGATGGCATTTGCATTGCTAATAAATGGGAGAGGATTTGTTTTGGGCTGCTGTTTTTGTTTGGTTTCATTATGACTTTGTGCTGCTCAGAATTGTGATGGGTAGCCATGCAAATCTTTTTAAATAAATTAATAAAAAATAAATTTATAAAAAGGTTGTTCTTGTACTGATTGTTCTTGTAACTCCTTTAAAAATAATACTGTGCATTTAAAAGGCCCAGTCCTTTGTTCACTGTTTAGTCAGTGCTTTAAATGTAAGTGCAAAATAGAACTCTTGCTATATAGGTTAGTTCTGAGGCACAAATGAAGAAATAATTCCTTTTTATTCTTTTATACATCCTGAGATTAAGTTTTCTTTTTGGATTTTTTGAGCTAAAGTGTTGCTTGTGACTCTGAAGAATTAATTGAATTGATATGTTTTCCTCCTGTTTTATCTGTTTTGTTTACTTATTTTGGTAGCAGTTTCAGAAGATCCAGTTTTGTTTTCATCATGGTCAATAAAATGGCAGCTCAGCACCTGCTAGCTGCCATTTTATTAGCAACTATGAGCTGCATTTTATTTTACCTTGGATGAAATAAATCTGCCTTTATACCGTTACGTTACCTTTATTAGCTGCATTTTATTTTACCTTTGGTGACTTTCTAAACTTACAGCTATCATAATAAACTACAGCCCAATTTGAAGCAATGTTAAGTGGGTCTAAATAGTAGGCTAATGATAATCATGATGGTAGTGAGCAGGAAGAGGTAGCTAAACCTTTCCTTCCTTGGCTGCAGAAGTTCTTTAGTCTCTGCCTTCATCTATAATAAGAATGTTTAATATATTAAGAAGCATTATGCTTCATTAAAGTAGAAAGTTTAGGACAAAATGATGTCAGGTTTGGGGCAGATATGCTGCTTTGAAAATATCTTGTCTTTTAATATAACTGCTTCTTTCCAATATTTAACTGCAGGGAGGAGTACCAATAGGATTGGCTCCTAAACCTTTGCAGATTCTCTATGGACATACCAATGAAGTGTCTTCAGTTGGCATCAGTACAGAACTGGACATGGCAGTGTCAGGTGCCAGGGTATGCTTGCTTGTTTGTTTCCTAAGTCTTCATTCAAAATAAGGAATATTGCTTCCCTGGCCTAAAGTACCTAATCAGTCTCAAGTGAACCTTGAATATGCAATTCATTCTTACCAGGCCGTTTACATTTCTAAGTTGTTCCCTTGTGGTAAATGAGCTATGCCCACTTCTTTGGAAGTATTTCCCTTTTTGCACATCTGCTTCCAGGCAAATACATGCATGATAACTTACTGGCAAACATTCAACATAGGACCATTTTGGAGTTTGGTTTTAAAAAAGGTCTTCTATTTTGAAATGTATTTCCAAAAACATTCTTCCTTCCTCTCTTCTGCAGAGAATGGAATGCATTCAACAAAATATATAGAATGTTTTTAAAACTACAATGTGGATGCATAATGAACAGTTGAGGCTGAGAGGAACTGCATTATTTAAAAGTCATTAATATAAAGTGCTGTTATAAATAATTGCTGTTAAAAGTCTTATTTGCCTCATAAAACATTGCTTAGATAGGATAATAGGAACTGCAGTGGAGCAGTAGTTAGAATGCAGGCTACTTCTGCTGACTGCTGGCTGACTGCAATTTGGCAGTTGGAATTTCACCAGCCTCAGGGTTGATTCTGTCTTCCATCCTTCCTTGGTGGGTAAAATGAGGACCCAGGTTGTTGGGGGCAATATGCTGACCCTGTAAACTGCTTAGAGAGGGCTGTAAAAACACTGGGAAGCAGTATACAAGCCTAAGTGCTATTGCTAGAATCCATTGAAAAATTTCTGCCTGGATGGATCTTTTCTGTGTGCCATTCTGGGCATGCTGACTATTGTATTAAAAGCACAGAGGCTAGTGTTATTACACTATGAATTGGTTCTCACATTCTTCCAGTTTTGAGATATCTCTGTTTGGTTTTAATAGGATGGAACTGTGATTGTCCACACAATTCAGAAGGGGCAACATATGAGGACTCTAAGGCCACCTTGTGAGAGTTCTCTCCAGATCATTGTTCCTAATCTGGCTGTATCTTGGGAAGGACACTTAGTTGTTCATACCAGCATAGAAGGAAAAACATCTCTCAAGGTATGAAGACAGCAGAATGCACAGGGGCTGCATTGTTTTTTTTTCTAGAGATGGAGGTAAATTAACTGCGTGATTGCAATAGTAATGGGAGTTTCTTATTGTCATTCAGCATTCTCAAGGCTAGTCCTTCCCTCCATCACACCATGGAATGGTGCATATAAATGTATGTCTAGATACATACAAATATATACCTGTAATCTGGGACTCATAATAGGTGTATATTTATGTTTATATAAACCATTTATTCATGTTTTATTGTCCAGAAAAATAGGCAAAGAGAGATATGGGAAAGCCCTTTCAATGTGTGAATTCAGTTACATAGATGTGGCTTAATCAAAATGCAGCAACTTTTGCCTGTACATGAATTAGTATGGACAAAGTATTGGAATTAATTCTTTACTGTGACTCCTACCTCTATAGTGTAAGGTTGCGCAATTTATTTGGGAGGGAAAGGCTTTGCAACACACAGAAATGACAAAAGTAACTTTGGTCTGAGATTTACTGAAGTAGCCAAAGCTGTATCCAGGATGATGATACTGCTGGAGGGAAGCTTCTATAGCTCTTTTTCCCAAGCAAATCCCAGACATTTCACTGTCTCAGTCTAAGAATTTAGTATCTGTCAGATCTGTGTATCTGCCATTCTTCAGTGGAAGAAGAAAGGAGGGGGGAAGTTGGTACAAGTAAACCTTTTTGATGTAACCTGAATATATTAAATCCTATATTGATCCTGTATAACTTGCATATGATATACAACTGGAAGAGTGGAGCCAGATGTCCAGGATCTTGGCACCTCTTGAAGAGATAAGATGTGAAGGAACCATAAAAATTGCAATTCTGGAAGACTCTCCTGGGAACTCTGCTAAGATACGTTCCAGAGAAGGGGAGGGGGGAATTAACATGTTGGTTCTTTGTTTAACTAAATCCACATCTGAATAAGGGGAGGGATTTTAACTTCTATGACTGTATGTCTGGGGATATTTTAGACTCTGCTTTGCCTAGTGTTGAGATAAAATCCCTTTCAATAAAGGATTCCTTTTGAACCACTTGGTTTTCAGGAGTTCATTCTTTTCGACTAAAGGGAAAAAGTCTAATGCTTACAGAATCCCTATTAGCCTAAACCAGGGGCCTTCAAACTTGACAGCTTTAAGACTTGTGGACTTCAACTCCCAGAATTCCTCCTGCAGTCATGTTAGCTCAGGAATAAAATAGAATGGAATGGAATAGAATAGAATTCTTTATTGGCCAAGTGTTACTGGACACACAAGTCTTGGTGCAAATGCTTTGAGTGTACATAAAAAATAAATTCATCACATTCGTCATACAATTCTGGGAGTTGAAGACCACAAGTCTTAAACTTACCAAGTTTGAAGACCCTTGGCCTAAACTCAATGTTATGTAATAGAATTACCCATTTTGGCTGATTAAATGTTGCCTCTTAATGTTATAATGTTATGGCTATATTTGATATGAATAAAAAGAGTCCTCCAGTCTGCCAGCTTGGAGAGTAATGATGATGATGATGATGATGATTGCTTAGTTTTAATTGCCTTTTCAGCAATGATCTTTTGCAAAATTGGTTCCGGGGTAAAGTTCAAAACCAAATGCCATCATGTATTTGTAATTTAATTGGAAAAAAACAATTTTGAGTTGCGTGGTTGTCATTTTGCTTCTAGATATGCATCTTAACAGTGTTGGAGAAATTGTGGCTTTCTCTTTTCCCAAATGTCAAGATACTGCTTAAGAATTTAGAGGTGGAGCCCAGTTGCCAAGTTGTAGAGACTCTTAGTAGATTTTAGCCTTTCATATCTACTCTTTCTTGAATGTAATCAGTTCTGCAACTGATATTCTGTAACATTCACTTTTCTGTAAATGTTGGCAACCTTTTATTTGCATGTCCTCTGCAGACTAAAATACAGTCATACTCTCCAAATTAAAAAATGGGTAGAATTTCACAAAGTCACCACATTTTGTAAGGTTTTGCATTCTCATATACAAAATTTTAATTTCCATGGGATCTGAAATTATTAACAACCCCTAACTTACACCCTATCTACAAAATTTGATAACATAGACATATTCCCACACTTGTATATGTAAATTTTATGTAAATTCAAAACCCTGAAGAGAGATTACATGCCATGGGCATCTTCTTTTTATAATGGTGCTACAAAAAATACTATTACAGAATTTAAAATTTATATGGGGAAATGTTGTTGCTCAAGGCTTTTCCCTCTCTTTTATTGTTTCTTTGATTTTCTGCCCAGGATAAGAATGCATTGCATCTCTACTCTGTGAATGGGAAGTATTTGGGCTCTGAGAGCTTGAAGGAAGAAGTGTCGGATCTTTGTGTGACTGGAGAGTATATTGTAATAGGGAGTCTACAGGGATTTCTCTCCATAAGAGATCTCTACAGGTAAAGGGAAGCTTGAAAAAGAAGTCTGTTTCCAATGACTTGTAATGTTGACAACTTCAATCCTTGAGGGCCTACGATCAATCAGCAGTTCTCAATTCATAGTCTATGATCCTCCTCCAACAACTATTATTGTTTATATAGAAGGAATCTCATATGCTGAATACTAAGAAGCAAATTAATTCCTTGTTGGTTAGTTATGTGCTGTTTACGAATTTGAGCTCTTATTATTCCTTTAACTACTAATCATGCTTTAGAATATCAGGAAACAATTTATCTGAATCTCAGCCAACTTCCTGATTTGTGTTTTATTGCTGGTCGCTACTGTTTTGTCATTTTTGTCTTTCCACTCTAAACGTTTAGACAGAGCCGTAGTGAATACAGGTAGTCCTCAACTTACGACTACGGTTGAATCCAAAATTTATGTTGCTGAGCAAGAAAGTTGTTAAGTGAGTTTTGCCCCATCTTACAACCTTTCTTGTCATTGTTGTTAAGTGAATCACTGCTGTGGTTAAGTAAGTAACATGCTTGTTACGTGAATCTGGTTTCCCCATTGACTTCTTATGTCAGAAGGTTACAAAAGATGAACATATGACCCTGGGACACTGCAGCTGTCATAAATACATGCCAGTTGCCAAGCATCTGAATTTTGATCACCTGACCATAGGGAAGCTTCTCAGCAGTAATAAGTGTGAAAAATTGACATAAATCACCTTTTTCAGTACAATTTATAAAATTCAAAGTGTAACTTTGAATGGTCAGTAAATGAATGGTTGTAAGTTGTGGAGTTCGTTATTTCATGTTATATTGTGGTAGTTGCTGTGGCTACTTTTCTAGTTCTGCTGGGTACTTCTGGTTAATTGTTGACAACTGTCCATTCCAAATTTCCTTCTGTAGTTTATACAAACGCACACTACACCAAAACACCATTTTTGAGGAGAATTCTGAGAAATTGGGTGGGGGGAGAGATACAAGTACAGTCAAGAGCAGATGTTGCACAACTAGCTTTATTTAGCATGAATCTGAATCCAATCAATAACAGTTATTCGATTTTCAGTGAACTCCCTTGTATCAGCCAATTGGGAACAGAAACAAGTTATATTTTTTGTTTGAGTAGTGCACCATGTCCTAGATACAGGTGTCAAATTAGAAACTCAGTACATAATGCTTCATAAGACTTGCTGGTAGATGTCAGCAATTTCTATCTTTTAATATAAATTGCCTATTTAGTGCTTTTTGGTCTACTGTAAATAATCAATGTTTGTTATTTATTTATTTCAGCCTGAGCCTTAGCTCCTCCCCTTTAGCCATGCGGCTGCCAATTCACTGTGTCTCTGTTACCAAAGAGTTCAGCCACATTCTGGTGGGTCTTGATGATGGCAAGTTGATTATCATTGGTGTTGGAAAGCCAGCAGAGGTAAAACCTACCATCAAGAACTTTATCTACCGAACAATGGGAAGCTCATTTATTTCTGCTTTCCGGCTGAGCAAGCGATCACTTCTGTGGCAGGGCAAACTTCAAAGCAAATTTGACCTTTCAAAAGGAAAGAAATAATTCCCAAGACATTCTTAGAGGTTCTTTAACAGGACTGATGCAAAAGAAAGAGGGAATGTAGAGGGGAACCCACAGGGGGAAAGGTGCTGAACTAACATACAAATTTTATTGACTTAGCCTGAATGTCTAAAAGTGCTTTCTAACTGGAGTGAACCTGCTTAGTGCCACCTGCAATTTAATACTTAATTCTCAACATTAACCTGTCACCACTGTTTAAAATGAATGACATTAGCTTCTAGAAGAGCACTGAATAGACAACAGTGGGCTACTTTGGAACCATTGTGGCTTTGCTTAGCTGCATTCCTACTCCATTTTTTAAAAAAATGCTATTACAGATCCATCTTTTTGTTGTTAATTAGATTTATGCAAAGGGCACTGCTTTTCATCCTCGGAGTGGATGCAACTTGGATGCCAACTAAAATTATACAGTGTTTATTGGGCATTTCCTTTAGTCTACAGCACAAAAGGGATATCACCAAAATATTTTCTAGAGCAAATGAAGCAAAGCCCTTCAATGACCCACTGGGCTTTCTGAGCTGATGGGATACTGCATTATGGCGTCTGTGAAAATGATTCTCCTAATTTCGGAGAGATGCCTACTAGTATTTTCTTAACTCAAGCAAACCTCTGCACTAACCTCTTCAGAAGAAACCAGGAAATGACTGATGCTTATTAGTTTTATTGAGGACAATATAAAAACTTTGCAGGCTGTTTCTCAAGTGGGGGAGGTGTCTAAGCCCTTTTCAAATCTCTGGAATATCCAGGTTATAACTGATATCTAAGCCATTCACTCTCTTAGTTCAAGTTGTCAAGGTGAAGTCAACCTTTGACTTCATTCAAAGTCAGACACAGTCAAATGCTGCACTATTATCATGATTAGTTAAATTATTTACTTGCCAAAAAGATGTGTGTTGTTTACCACAAAACTAGTATGCCTTTAATTGCACAACCCAGCCAGGTCATTTGATTGCTGACCTAGGTTTTGAGTCTCTTATTTATTTACTTATTTATTGCATTATAAATTGCATCATTTAACACTGTTTGCACTGATTAAGATTAATGTATAGGTTTCCCACCACAATAATTTTCTTCTTCCATTCCCTGTTTTTGCTGTTATTTTTCAAACATTGTCAAGTGTTTTACCTCTAAACATATGGTGTAAAGACTATGTGTTCATTTAGCGTTAGCTCTGAAACATATTTAGAAGACTGCCTAGTGAGGTTGTTCAGTTTGCAACCTTAAACAAAATCGATTGTTTTATAGAAGTTCTTTTCTGTTTATATTTTAAAACCAAATAGCGACAAAAGGCACCATAATCTTGATATATAAGTTCTGTTTTCTTCAACCTACAAAGCTTTTTTAGGGCATTCAAGGATGCCTCTTTAAAATCACTTGACAATGTGACTCTTTAACAATGTATTTGAGAGAATTCCACTTTGTGCCCTCTATTTGTTTTCCTTAGGATTGTCCAAACACTGAAATACTTTAGAAATAAATTGCCATTGTGTTGTGTATATGTGCTCTATCTTTTGCTGTCTGCGCTTCTGTAGAACCATCTGAATTTTTTATTTAATTTATCCCCCTTATCCTACTTTCCCCTTCCTTTTTGTGTCTCTGGCTTACTTTAAACAGATGCGTGCTGGCCAACTCTCCCGAAAATTGTGGGGTTCAAGCAAACGGATCAGTCAGATTTCATCTGGAGAAACTGAATATAATACTCAAGATTCCATGTGATATCTGCTACTATCATCTTTTGCGATTCATACATTTATTTAATCTTCCAATCATACCTCCCAACTTTCTCAGTTATATTGCAACTACAGCACAATTTCTACAGGCACATATGTATATTAGTATACAACACTTATTTTGTTGTGCGAAGTAGAAGCAATAAGCTAATTCAATCTTTTTAAACACATTGTGAGCAGTGGTGGGATTCAATTTTTTTTTACTACTGATTCTGTGGGCATGGCTTGGTGGGCGTGGCAGGGGAAGAATACTGTAAAATCTCCAGTCAGAGGGGGTATTTGCTGGTTCTCCAAACTGTTCAAAATTTCCGCTACCAGTTCTCCAGAATTGGTCAGAACCTGCTGAATACCACCACTGATTGTGAGATTAGACAGACAGACAGACAGACAGACAGACAGATAAATGGACAGACAGACAGACAGACAGATTGTAAGTATGGGTGTATATGTTTGTGTTTTAAAGTGAATGCTGAAAATTTAACTGACATATGACAAACCAGTAGATTTAACAACTATCAACAATGTAAAATATTTTGACAGTCACTAAATTTGCTTGTACTGACAGTTGGACATAAATGTCAGAATCAGTAATTATATGGCTATTCATTATAACATTATTCTATACCCTCCTTTACATAACATGCTGCTGTTTTGGCATAATAGAATTCACAGTTTGTGTTCAAAGTGGCCTTGGCCACTGGAGAAGTAGTTGCTGTCATGCCAAAAAAGAATTAGAGATCTAGTTTTCATGTCCTCCTTGACAAAAGGCGTCTTCTGGATCTTGGTCAATGTCTCTATACATTATTTAACTATATAAATCAACAAAACAATTATTTAAAAAAACAAACCAATGCCTTTCTAGCTCTTGGAAACTGAATGAGAAATTTATTTAAACTCACCTATTTAAGGTGGGAAATGGATGGCTGTCAGTGCAATTTGCTGTACTCAGAAGTCAGCTTTCTGAAAGTAGATCTGTTGAACAGGTTGAAGGTGCAAGTTGAATGGTTAATATATGAACATAAATGACAAAAATAGAGGACCAACAGATGAGTTCTTAATTTTGTGGGATTTAGCACAGAAATTTCATTCTTCAGGGTATCTGATTCAGTATTATTAAATGGTAACTGAAACCATTTTTCCTGCTAAATATTAAATTTGAGTATTAATACATTAATGTACTCCATGCATAAAAACATTGGGATAGTCCTCCTGATTTTACATTTGCAATAGCAGGGAGAGGGAGATACCATATATAGGGCTAGATAGTTCTTTTGGTCAGAAAATGGTAGCTTAGCAGCTTTGCTTGGTTCTTTAAAGGCCAGTGTATATATGCATGATTGAATCTCATCTTACACATCTGAAAGAGCTACCAGTTCTATGCTGTAAATGGTAATCATTTTTATAACGGAATTATGCAGAATTATGGTATAATAACATTTCTTAACTGTACAAATTATTTCAGTGCTGGGAAATGTAAATAAGAGATGCTACAAATATATATCTTCTCTGTATTTCTCCAGGTTTTATTTTGCACAGTGTGAATTGTAATCCTGAGGATTTATTTTTAAACAAATTAGATGTTAAATATAGGCAATTGTGTACTGGGAAAATGATGCCTTGGTTGCAAAGTCTTTGAGTTGACAATTTTCTGATTCCTCAAGTGAAAAACATCTTTTTGTTATAATACCCTTTTATGTTCACTGTTGTAAGAAAAAATGCAGGCTTATCAAGTACATGAATATTCTAGTGTGCCATATATACCTTATGGAGGTGGATTTATAACTTTCTCCTGGTTCCTTTGAGGCTCAAAAGTTGAACTACAAGAGAAACACAAGAAAATATCAAGTTAACCCTTAATTTTGGGTTGAAATTTTATAGACTGTATCACCGATACAGATCATTCATTTTTATTATTATTTCTTCAAAGACTGTATTGTCTTTTATTCTGCTTAGATACATACATTTTTAAATATCTTTCTGTAGTCTAAGCTTCAATCTTTTCCTTGGATAAGACTAATTGAAAACGGGACTAATATTTAAGGGGATATGCAGAATGTTCTGGAAAAATGTTATATTTTACTAATTTTGAGTGTAAAATAATTGTGGGCAAAAAGCAGACTTGGGGTTAATCTTAAAGTTAAGCAGAGTCTGGACTGTTTAGTACATAGATGGAAATAGCTGTGGGAACTCCAGAGTTGTGAAGTAGATAAGGAAGTTGAAAGCACAGCCCAGAAGAAGGGAACTGCAAGCTATTTCTGAATTGTTGCCAAGAAAGTGACATAGATATATCTATGAAGTCACCAGGAGCTCTACTGAAAGTTGACTTTTTCAACAATTTTATAGAAGAGTCTAAAGAAAGGTCACACAAGATTGAACTTCAAAATATGTTAAAAGATGTATGAGAAAGTTGGAATAGAAAACATTAGCATTACCAAAGATAATCAAAAAGCATTTGATGTTTTTGACATGAAGTTGGGTTGTGAGAATTTAAAAACTGAAGGATTATTAATCAATGTTGCAGACTGAACCATTTCTGTAAAAGCATCTAGATGCTAAATTTAAATATGGACTGCATGTAAAGGATATTCTAGGGCATTATATTAATGGTTTTGCAATTGTATATTTGATATGTATATATTTTGAAATGTGTTTAAAATTTCAGAGATTTCAAGTGAGCCAATTCGAAGACCTCCATTCCAGGAAAATAATGTATATTTTCTATATAAAACTCTCTTATATGAGCTTCAAAAAGCCTCTTGCTAGAAATTTCTCAGCTATTTACCAGAGCCTACAGAACATTTTGGTTTCTTGGAGATAATTTATAATTTAAAAAATGAAATGTTAGTGTATATTCAAAAATAATCACATTTTTAAAATGGTTTTTTATTAAAAACTGGTAGCGGAAGCCATCCAAATGTCCTTTTTAAATGCGGTATGATTATTTATTTATTCAAGATGTGCAAAAGATTTTCTGGGCTCTTTGCTATATAAGGCTAAGAATAGTTTTGACAATTAGTAATTTTAACTCCTGTTTTAGTAACTGTATTTTATATAGTTATTCATGTACTTCTTTTAGGATGCAGAAAGTGTCTCAAAATTGATTTAATATCTGTTGTAACAAAAATATATGAAATATCAGATGTCATTCTCTCAATATTTTACAAAAAGCAAATATTAATTTGCATTAGTTTTGGTGATAATTTACTAGTATAGAGAATGATACCCCCCCCCTAATGCAAATTAATATTTGCTTTTTGTAAGATGTTGTTTATGGGAATCAACATTAAAAATAGATTCAATGGTGTACTAAAACACTATAATACAAATTCACATTTTGTTTCCAAAGATACTACAGAATTGATGATGTTCCATAGCATGTGAGGGAGGCCCCAGAATCAATCAGTCAATCAATCTCTGTTATCTTGGCTCAAATACTTCGTTGGGAGCAGGTGTCTGTAACACTCATGTCTAGCTGTCTCCCTAGCTCCAAGGAGACATGACTAGGACCAGAGCATGGCGGGAATGATTGTGGGCTTAAATCTGAAAATTATACATATGCATTCTGTGGTATTCTTCTGACTGGTGCTCTAACTGGTGCCTTTGAATTGAGTTTGATACCTAGCAACTGGATGGATGGATGGATGCTTGCTATCTTGGCTGTCTTTAGAAAAAAGACTCTTAGTATATTAATTAACTTTTAATGTTTTCTTACAAGTGTCATACATTTGAATATCAGAAAAGTGCAGGATTAATATTTCTCAGTATTTAAATCAGGCTTTTTTAAAAAAACAACAACAACCCTTTCTCAATATTTGCTCAGTTTTTCCAGGACTGTGCTTATGTTCAGATCAGTCAGAGGATAGCACTTCTCAGTGCTCCAGGTTAGTCCAGTGGCAGTCTTTTTGCATAGCTACCTGTGCACATCCATGATATTCGTGATATTTGTACTATTTACATGCCATTGAAATTCACCATCAGAGATTGCTAATTCTAACTTAAAACAAATTGAACCACTTTAGGAAAATGTCTGCAGTTTTCAGGGCTGTGCTGTCATGAATTGTAAAGAAATAATTTCCATTGTTAAAGCTTCCTTCCAACACCACTTTGCTATCAAAAATGCATATATTAGTAGGCATGAAGTTTGCCTTATTTGATACTACGAGAGAGAGAGAAAGTGCCACAAAAGCTAGCATTTTAGACTGTCTTCCATTAATTAAGAACTGGCTTTGGAAATTGTCCTGGCATCAAACAAATTTTCTTTTACGAAATTCAGCATTACACCTAACCAGTGCCTCTGCATTTGCTTAAAACATCACACTTAAAAGTAAAAAGAACACGAAGCCTTCTATATATGAGGGCAAATAATCTAATGCTGATTATTCTAATAATACAATCTTGACTTCAAATGCCAAAAATGCCTTCAAATTTTAGATGGAAGTGTTTTTATATAATTAAATTTTACCTAGCCATCATGGAATGTTAAAACCTAGCTCTCAATCTTTTGTGCAATATCTTTTCTTTATTTCTGGTGCTTTGAAGATTAAATAATATTCTATTTAACGTTTAATGATTTTAAGCTTGTATGTATGTATATTAGCTAACAGTGAACTGGTTTCTGTACAACATGGTGAGAAATGTTTTAAAAATTGCACTTTGTAGGATTTGTAATTTAAACCTTTTTAAAATGCTTGCATATTTTGTACATAAAATGATTGTCAAATTAGCTTTGTATATAACAAGGTTTGAAGCCAATTAAATTTTAAAAATGGACCTATGACTAGTCTCTTAATGAATGATAGAATTGTTTCCTATTTCCCAAAATACAGTGCCAGTGTATCTGGCTAGATACAGTCTCATGGGCAGAATTCAGATGTCCATATGGACTTTTAACCTTCATTCTCCTGGAGAAAATAAATTCAAATGGTAGCAGTTCTGAGCATGTTCAGAAGAGAGACTGGAGTATGACTGGAGGGGTGCAGTCTTTCACTTGTCTGAAAAGAAGCTTAATTTGTATGTTTTTACTGAGCTTTGTAGACTTTTTTAGAGTAAAGCATTGCAAATTACAGAAAATACTAATTTTAGGCAGGAAAACATATTGTGTCTTTCAAAAATACATTTTAATCCTATAATTTTTAAAAAATGCAATGTTTTCAGCTAGGAGGCAGGAGGCAGATCACTGTGCAGGTGGCAGTGGCCAGATGTTTTCATTCAAACAGGTTTGGGAAGTCACTGTCTCTCCTCCCATCCCTTCATGGAATAATAGTGCATAATAGCAGAGAGCAGGGTTTTTGCAAGGTATGAACAACCTTTATGGATCTCTTACAGCACATCAATTGTAAGCCATAGTCCTTTACCACCAACTCACACTGTGGAAACTCTCAAGGACACTGGAGGGAAAATAAATCTAGTTGTGCTCATTGCTGGATATGTTTAGGAAATGTTCATTTCAGAAACAGCATTTTGTTGAACTTTCTATTAATGATTTCAAAAAGGACACCTTTTATATTTAAACAAAAAAAATGAAGCACATCATTAAACACTAGCTCATGGATTTCATTAAAAAGATCAGCAGTTGGCTTGGGGGAGTGACTCTGCAAAGTATTCAATTTACTTCATTTACAAAGGGACAAAAGCCACCTAGAGTTGAGAGTCAGACGACATACAAATTTAACAAATTATTACTATATAACTCAACAATGTAAAATCACAGCTGGCATTTCCTTAACTGGTATTGGTCTTCTAATGCAGAGGTTGCCCATCAGTGGTCCATGAGAAAATTTTGGTGGTCCGCAGTGCACCTGTGTCTGCAACAAGTGCCACCAAGCCTCCTCCAATTGTGCTTCTCTTCCTCGCCAGAAGCACTCACATGCCCAGTGGGAAGGAGGAAGCTTGGCGGGTGCCAGAGGGGTGGTGAGCACTTTGCTGATCCTGAGGGTAAGGGTTGAGCCTCCCCCTCGCAACATCTTCACCTGAGGGCATTGCTGGCAGCCGTTCAGCCTCCTCAATGCGCAGAGGCAGGATGCAACACAAGTTCAGAGATTCCTTTCCCCCCATCTCCACTCCCTCGCAGGCCAGGGAACACCAGGAAGGGCTCCAATGCCGCGATCTGCGCGCTACCCTCCCTCCCCATGTGCATCAGTCCATCTGCCACCGGTATCATCCCCTGTAGTCCTATCACCCCACCAGCCATCTACAGCCTGTGGCTTGTCGGCCTCCAGACATCAGATTCCCACCACCCACCACAGTTCAGAGGCTCCCTTCCCCCCACCCCCAGGGACCGGGGGGGGGGGAGAAAGAGAAGAGAAAGAGGGAGAAAAGGAGGGAAAGGAAAGAGAGATATGAGAGAGAAATCCCAGTGCTTTGTTTTCTGTGGGAAACGGGTCCAAATGACTCTGAGTATATAAGGTTGCAGAAACAGGCAGCCAAGCTAAGTGCCTGAAGGACCCCATCCCATCAGTGGGAGTCCAGGCGCTTCAGCAAGCGGCATGCTGGACGTGGTCCATGGGATTTATAATTACGAGTTTGGTGGTCCCTGTGGTCTAAAAGGTTGGCGACCCCATTCTAATGCATTGATTGTGAATAAATCCAGATTTATTAAGACTCTAAAGAGTCTCTAAAGAGACTTCAAACAGGATGAATTAGCTTTATACAATATTCCCATAAAGCTCTAATTTAAAACTTTTATCCCAGTTATTTTTTATTTTTTATTTTTATTATATACAAACAATCCATCTTTTGATTAAACAATGTATCTGGGTACAAATAATGTTGTGCAACAACAATTACAATTTATACATATTCAAATATCCATACTCTA